TGTGTGGGTTTGCGGTGGGGAGGAGTGTTTATTGGAAGGGGGAGGGGGGACAGCTGGAGGGGGACCAGGGGGGGGTGGTTGTTGAGGTTAAGTAAGGGATGTTACAGGATCAAGGTGCAAATTTGGGAAGGGGGGGGGGGTAAGAGATGACCGTGTTTTGTCATGGGGGATGAATAAGGGTACTGGGGTTGTGAGTTTCTACGGTTTGTTTCGTTGGATCTTGTTTCTGTCACTGTAGTTTTATATTGTGAAGTATCCTTTTCTGTTCTCTCTCGTGAGGGGGGAGGTGGTTGTTGTTGAGGTTCAAGAGGGGAGAGAATCTTAGAATTATTATGATGGGATGCTGGGGGTTTTTGAGGATTTTTTATCGGTTTTCGGTCCCTTGGTAGTGTTCCTTGGAAGGGGTGTGTTTCGGTTTTCTGAGGGAGGGTGGATTATTTCTGTACGTTTTGGGTCTGCTTCTTCTCCCGCAGTGTCTTTCCTAGCTCCTACCACTTATCTCGTGGCTTAATCTCAAGTTCTTGAACTCTCCTCTTCTCCTTACGGGGGTTGGTCACTCCTTCATTCCTCTCCTATTCGTCTCGGTGTGTTCTGAGTGACAGAAGCGCCCGGAATAGTTGGCTGTGTTGGCTGAGTCTACATACACAGTACCTAGTTTTATCTCCAATCCACGGTTGTATCTCGAATGTTTGATCTTGTCTTCCTCACCAGCCTCCTGGTGCTTGTGGAATTTACCACCTTAAAGTCTTTAAACTGACTGACTATGAATTGCCACAAATAGAATGACACCTTGGTCGTATCAGGGGGGCGATACACTTTATCAGGGCTTCCTTTTACATGTCTAGCGAAGTGTAGCACAACGCATGAGAAATGGCCGTCACTGGCCGTCATGAGAATGTCGATTGAGCAACTATATACAGAGATCTCATTATACATGTCGCGCGACTGGTGTTTTCCAGGCCCTTCAACCGTTTTGCCTGGGTTATAGAGCCTCCCCAGCCCATCAAGGAACTTCTCCACGGAACGGTTCAATTACTCGGCCCGATGCTCCTAGAGATGTGCTACAGCTACAATCCGCCGGGTGGACGATGAGGGCCGCGAGATGGACGAGCCTAAGGATGTGGAATGGGCGCTGATATAGAACATCATATTCGACCTCCTTTTTTGTCTCTCTTTGTTTTTTTTTTTTTGGGTGTTTTTGTCTCTCTCTTTTTTGTCTTCTTTTTTTTCTTCTTCTTCTTTTTTTCTTTGTGGAGCAGTGGGAGAAGTTTTAGTAACAGTTTCGAGAGTACTTGACGGAGCTCGGGTTGGGTGTTTGGAGGGGCGTTTGTGTAGATAGCTAACCTTGTCGGCACAAATCCCAAGCTGGCTGGTTGTAAACAACACTTGAAATGTAGGTTGGACAGGGCCGATTGCGGTGACCCATTTTAGCTTGCTTCGTATAAAGAGATTTTTCCATCGTAGCAGCTTTTATCTGCTCGACGAGGTGGCGCGCTTCGTTCGTCCTCCAAAATGCTGCCGCGGGTTCTTCTCCCTTGTCCACCCAATCTTGGATAGCCAGTTTGGTCTCAACCTCGAGCTGCTTGGTTGATGTATCACATACGGCGGCAGCCGAGGTCCAGTACTTCGTGTCAAAGCTGTTCGACGGTTTGACTCGTTTCCTCGCTTCTTCGGCTTTGCCGTTCAGAAATGTGAGTTGATTCAAGAGATCCGCTCGCCCTCGTTTGCTTGATAACCCTCGTTTGCTCGATGTTCGTTCCGGAATCGTTGGCAGGCCGATTGGCGGGCCGGTTGGCCTTGCTTCTAACAACGGCATTGTAATGGGGCGGGCGTTCCTTGCTTTCGTGGGCTGGGTGGGCTTTTGTGGATAGGTGAGGAAGGAATTCCGGTGATTTAAGAACTGAGTTGTAGGAAGCAGGAGTATTTAAAACAAGAATTTCTAGTTCATACAGGCCCAAGCACTTAAACCTTAGATAAAGTATTGTGGGAGGTTCGCAGGGGTCTGGCTATAGTCTTAAAGGAGCGAATGTAAGCTGTAGCCAAGTGGGGCAAGCCCGAGAGTTGTTTCCCTCTGTTCTAGAAAAATAACTTGGGGAAGGTACTTTAAAATCGTTTCAGTTACGATCTCTGACTTGGAAAATTCGTTCGGCAAACTCAGCTATTTCCCCGTCACCCATGAAACATGATGTGTAGTCTGGAGAGGTGTTTCGTGCAGCACCTGGCTCCTTGAGACCAATGTCTTCACCTCCTGATAATTGTTATGTGCATACCTTGGTCTAATGCGGTGGATTAATGATGCTCTCAACCTGCGATAGGGTCGAGGAGGGGCACGGATATAGTATCCCAGCGGGTCAGACCCAGCCACTATTCACACAGAAACCGCCGATGGACTCCCTACGCGAGTTTCGTCGAATGCTTCAGAAGCTATTACATAACAACGTTACCCAAGAGCTTTGCAAACGGCAGCCCCCATGGCACTGAATTAAGTAACCCGATCAAATAAACCCACCGTCTACTTTCTACTAAGTTTTACTCTCCTGAAATAAAAAGCAAATATCCCAAAAAGCTCACCACCAAGCCCTATCCCCATCCGGAAGAATAGCGGTTGGTAGCTACGAAAACTCTTTCCGGTGAAAGAACTTTTCTTCGCTGGCCCCGGGAATCGAACCCGGGGTCACTTCGATTTACGACGGCGATGCTCCCCCCAACGCCGCTGCGCCAAACACGGTTGTTTGGCATGTTGGGAGGAGCTGGTGACTGTTTCGGTGCGGGATCTAAAATAAGTATATAGTGTGGGAGGGAAGGAGGGTATGGAAGGAGGGTGTTTGGGTTCTTTGTAGAGCAGCCGGAGCAGTTTCAAATAACAGTTTCGAGAGTATTTGACGGAGCTCGGGTTGGGTGTTTGAAAGGGGGGTTTATGTGGATAGCGGCCATGTTTGTTCTGCTGAGCTCTCAACTAGGATAATCTAAGTGATGTGGAAGACAACGACGTTTAGTTCTCTACTGCTTGATCTGGTCACTTTTTACCCACGGTAGGGTACTGCGTAAGTCTTCCTCGTAGTCACCTTGGCCGTCTCGGCTTATACCCTAGTAGGTTAAAAGGGCTGTTGTGCATGGAGGAGCATTGCAATCGACCGACCGTCTTACTTCCACTTACGTTAATTTTCTCCGGCTCAACCCTCTCGGAACGCCGTATTGCTTGCTGGAGCGGCCGAAGCTCGACCGAACCGTCCGGTTCTAGTCTGGGATTATCTTGCTGTTAAGGCTCAGTTCATACGAGTAAAGCCACTACACCCCCGACGTAGCCCCCAAAATCCGCTCCAGCACCCGATCCCTCACCCCCTCCACATCCCCCATCGAGTCAACCTCAGCCACATTCCCCCCCGACGGCCGGCACGGCGCCTCAAACCGCCTCCTAAAAAGCGCCCGCGAATCCTCACCTTGCCTCTCAACCCTCGCAGCCTCCGGCGGCCTCTCCACACCAGTCCGCTGACTCCTCATCGGTGTCCGCGCGCGCATCCGCTGGTCTAACACGTCCAGGTCTGCGACTCGACACTCAACGTACCAGTACACCATGCCGTGTTCCTCGGCGATGGCGGAGCCCTGGTCGAGGCCTTCTTGGAAATTACAGGGGCTGTCGATGATTATGTTGCAGCCTTGGGAGGCGATATCGCGGGCGAGGGCCCATTGGAGGTTGTAGGCTTGTTTGGCGATGGTGTCGAAGGTGAGGTTGGTGTCTTCGAGGAGGGACGATCGGAGGACATCGTGGTCGAGGACGACGCCGCCGAGGGACTGGCGGAGGAGTCGGGCCAACGTACTTTTGCCGGAACCGGGGGCGCCGGACATTTGGATGAAGACGCGGGGCTGCGATGGGGGGTTATCGGACGCGGGGTCCTTTACGGTGCCCATCTTTTCTCGAGATCTCGAGATCGGGGTGCACACTTTTAGGGTGCACACTTGTGTACTGACCTTGGAGACTTTGTCCAGACCCCGCGGGAATGAGAAGAACGGGTGAAAGGAGCGTTGCGAAAAGGTGTTCGCAGCTCAAAGTCCCCCTCCCCCCCCGTTCGTAACTCCCACGATGCCGACCGTTCCGTGAACGAATGTGTCGATATTTAGCGAGCGGCGAATGCTTCCACAAGCCGGCCAGGCTCGGCTCCTCCTAGTATTGTTGCGCGTCCCTCTTGTGCCGTCTCTCCGACCCACAGTTCAACCCACAGCTTAATCCGGCCCCATTCGTTATGCAAAGCCTTTTTACGCAGGTGCGCCTGCCGGCCAGGGGGACGGGTCTGACTGAGTCTCTAACAAGTCGGAAAAGTCGGTGGGTGGCGGAGGTGGCAGGTTTGGGGCCGTTTTATGTCTCGTCTGATTTGGAAGAGAAGGAGGGGGGGTCTTGGCTGGTTCAGCTCGGGTTGATGACAAGTAAGTACTAGTAAGGCGGAGGTTCAGCTTGGCGGGGCACTGAGACTGAGGCTTGCTGACAAGGCGGCGGCGTGGGACGGTCGAGGTGGGTCGGTTGGAAGAAGGCGGAATTTTGTCCGTTTATTTTACGAATGGATGGAAGGGGGATTGGGACGGGCGGGAGGCAGGCAATGGCCTGAAACTGGGAGACAGTGGGAGTGAAAGATGGATGTTGGGAGGTAGTTACACCAAGACAGTGGAAGGTCGTACGATGTCTCGAACTGATACCGATATGGGAGAACTGTAGATGGGTACCCCACAATTGGTTGAGCTCTTGGCATCGGCACTTGTGCTTGGCACGGGCTTGGCGAAGAGATTCCTCAGCGCTACACCCAATCAGGAATGGAGCAACCCTGAGGGTCCACAAATGTTGGTAATCTTCAAACCCCGGAACTCCATTCCTCAGCCCTGTAGATCTCCCGACTGTTCTCGGCCCGGAACTTTCATCAGGCAACCTCAAATATCCGCTGAATAGGTACTTCCTTCAAAAGAGGTCCCTGTCTTGAATTGAATTGAGCAGAGGGCTGCTCACGGGAATACGCAATGGCCAAGAACATCCACCCAGCTTCATCTATCCCCGTGCCAATCCCGATCCAGGCTGGACTTGTGACCAACGAAAGTCCAGTGTCACTGCGCAACTTGTGGACTGTTTGGTGCGTGTCGCGGTTTTGGGTCTTGACCACGGCCGTGTGCCTCGGATTCTAGGTTTGGCGCAATCCAACGTCGTCCTTCTGGTGGTGCTGATGGGGGTGGCATTGGCTAGGAAATTCGGATGATTACTCCTTCGTACCGCAGTTTCGCGGTCGCCCGAACAGTGCAGCAAATCCATCGGGCCCCGCCGCAGCCCACTGCTACCCACTTACCTGCAGAAACCTAGGTTACCCCCAACTCGATGCGCTTACCTCAAGTACCATTTGCTAAAGGAGCATAGCTGGCCGTCAACTTGCGTCTCCGACTCCTCTATTATGAAGGGTGGCTTGGCAGCTTCCCCCCTTACCTTCGTCGTATGCCCCCGTATACGGTGCCTGTGCCGCGCCTGGTGTAAGCCTTTTCTAGTTTCCGTCACGTTCGCCGTGGAAACATCGGTTGGCCGGCCTGGAACGGACGGAACTCGACTAGTTGGCTACGGATGAGGCATGGGGGGGCGGCCCGGAGCTGCTTGCAGGCAAACATACCAAGCAGGGGAAGGGGGAAGGGGAATGGGGGATGGGGGAGAAGAGCAGAAGCAGACATCCGGGTTGGGCTAGTGGCGTTCGGCCGTTTCGAAGTCAAGCCCTCTTTCTCCCAGCCAGCCTGCCCCTGTCCGCCCAATCCGGCCTCGTCCCCGTCGTTGAGACTGAGGAAGAAAATTCCGATCTGGTTCAGTCGATCAGAGATGATGACGTGCTGTTCAGACTTGGGTCTTGGTCCGGTCGAGGCCTGGACATCCAACGTTCAACACCCAACGTCCAACGTCCAAGCCAAGCCAAGCCATCGATCGACCCGCGGCATCCCCCGTGGATCTGTGAATCTGTGTTTTGCGTCTGCCCAGCCCAGAGGCGCCTGTGTCTGAAGAACAGTTCCTCGAACAGGTCCCCGACCGGGCCCACGCCGCGTCTGCTTGCCTCTGGATGGTGGACATGATGGGATAGTGGGACGACGGACGGCCCAGGTACCACGCCGCCCCAGAGTTGAGTGCCCGCGGACGATGGCCGTCTGGAGCTCTGGACTTTTCGAGAGGGAGAGGCAAGGACAGGGAGAGAGGACCAGGGATATAAGGATGGTGTTGAGTCCCCCTCAATCGTCTTGAAATTCCTCATCCTCACACTCTCTCACCAACCACTCCAGTCCTTCCTTAGGCTTCAGCTTCTTCATTGCCTGGTGCAATATCCTTTCCTTCCACACTCCTTCACAGCAGTTCTCGTTGATCGGGCCTGCACGACATTCCTTTTCAGGACAAGACACAGTTTCTAGTATCGCACTAGCTCTCTCACTCTCCTTCCTTTTACGGTCTTTTATTTTTTGAAATAATACCCCCTATTCCAAACCCATCCTTCAAGATGTTCACTCTCAAGTCTTTCGTCATGGCCTATGGCCTCGCGGCTGTCGCTGACGCCCACATGCTCCTGCGTCTGCCTGCCCCTTACACCAGCCCCGCCATCCAGAGCAGCCCGCTCGCCGCCGATGGCAGCAACTTCCCGTGCCAGAGCACTGGCGGCCCGTTCCAGGGTACCCCGACCAAGATGGCTAAGGGCTCCAAGCAGCAGCTCGGCTTCACCGGCTCGGCCGTCCACGGTGGTGGCTCGTGCCAGGTCTCCATCACCTACGACAAGAACCCCACCAAGGACAGCTCCTTCAAGGTCATCCACTCCATCATCGGCGGCTGCCCCGCCCGCAACACCGCCGGCAACCTGCCCCCCAACCCTGACGGTGCCGCCCCGGACACCTACGACTTCACCATCCCCGACGACATCCCCAGCGGCGAGGCCACCCTCGCCTGGTCGTGGGTCAACAAGATCGGTAACCGTGAGTTCTACATGAACTGCGCCCCTGTCACCATCGACGGCGAGGGTGGCTCCGAGTCTGCTCTCGCTGCCCTCCCGGACATGTTTGTCGCCAACATCGCTTCCCAGGGTACCTGCGCTACCAAGGAGGGTGTCGACACCGAGTACCCCAACCCGGGCAAGTCGGTCGAGAAAGCGCCTGGCGCTGCTCTCGGGCCCCCGGTTGGCGAGTGCGGTGCTTCCAGCGGCGGCGGCTCCGGTGGCTCGGCCACTGCCAGCGCTTCGCCCGCCGGTACCCCCGCTGCCCGCTTCCGTCGCGCTCCCCTCGTTGTGTAAATCGACTATTTGTACGAAACGAACACAATACTTTCCGCTTTTGGCTCTCTTTGGCCTTTGAGTAAGATCTGAGTGATTGGATATTTACTCGGGGCTGGGGCTCACGTTCGCTTTTTTGCACATTCGTTCTTTTGCACACTGGGGACTGGGCTCTTTCTTTTGAGAGACGCTGCGGTCTTGGTCACTCGCTTACAACGACGATTCGCCGGGGAAGTCGGCACACAAACACACTCGCTTAGACAATTTACGGGGCACTCGCTACAGATGACAATTGGGGACATTCGCTTGATGATGAAGACACTCGCTTGGGCAACACACTCGCTTGAGAGACAGAACAGAACAGACAATCAAGGACACACTCGCTTGTTGGTCATTCGCTTGGACAACAACAGCTGGAACACACACTCGTTTGGAATAGGATTTTCAGAAAAGAGAGACGGGTAGACGGAACTGGAAGATGGAGAACGGAGGAGTAGCTTTCGAGCTGGAAACATTCTTTCCCGCGCCTGGGTAAAGGCTAGAGTGGATGGTGGTTGAGGACAGTCATTCCTTCAGATTTAGATCTCAATTGCATTCCTTTATGATTGATGATGATGAAAATTATTTCCCAGCTTGATTATTTGGTGATTACTGGGTTGAATTGTGGTACAATCAGAATTCTTTTCAATTCCCGCTTGAGGGCGCAGTCTCTCAAGTCCTCTAATTATTCATCCACTTTTCAGTCGCTCCTTGGATTGTTTTCCACAGGTATGACATTGGCAGAGCAGCCACCGACACCTTCACGTGTAAGTCGGGGAGGGGCGATAAGATAAGCTCCTCTAGGTACGTACCGCTCCGCATAGTCCGGATAACCGGGCGCAGTGCCAAGACAAATCAAACCACCAATCACACGCAAGTAGTGGAGAACACTAGCCCCGGAGAAACGTTCTTGCACGCCTAGCGCACTTTGATTTCGCGGCAGCATCCCCCAGCTTCGCGTACCCTCTGGGGTTTTTTTGATCAACGCGCATCGAGAAGCAGAGCATTGGCCTTGCTTGCTGGGAGCTACCCTTAAACCCGTCCGACGAGATACCCCTTCCACACTCTTTCTCTTCACAACTCATCGCCAAACTAATGAAAGTACATTTGACCATTCGACATAATTCATTCGATTTGTGATATACCGCGCCACAGTCGACCGTACATTTAAAGGTTATTTCGACTCTCGGCTGCTAATTAGCATCATCCAACCACTTTCACCTTCAAGAAGCTTCGCATGCGCGAGTCCAGCTTTCAACCGCAACGATCACAGCCGAATGCTCCCGCAACCGACGCTGCACAATTGGAATAACCCCGCGATTTGACTTGGTAGAGGGCGATCCCCGTTATCGCCGTGCCTCCCGGAAGGGTGCATGTCGCAACCATGGCGAGCAGTCTCATCGAGGATGTGGTGAGGAAGTTGAGCGTCGCAGAGATCGGTGAGGCATTGCCCCCTTATGCGCCCGCCATTCCCATTCCCACGGCTCATTGCACGGGGAGTCATGGCAGAGAACTAACTACTGATTACTACCACAGAGCCTCGTATCAAGGTCGAGGCCGCATCGGCGCTGCGCGACAGTCTTGACCATTACACCAGCGGCCCCGCATACCCGATCTTCCTGAAGCGATTGATGCCGATATTCGTCAACATCCTCCGCCAACCATGCATCCTCTACACCTCCACCCCCGAACAGACCAACACGCAAAAGCTGCGCAACTGCTTGCTCGAGATCTTCCACCGATTGCCCACCTCGTCGTCCCCGACCGAACCGTTCGAGCCGTACGCCGAGGAAGTGGTAGATTTGCTGATGCAGCTGGTCCGGAACGACAACGAGGATAATGCCGTGCTCTCCGTGAAGATTATCTCCGACATCATGCGCCACCAGCACAAGCTGATGGCCAACAAGGTCCAGGGGTTCCTGTCCCTGATCCAAGAGCTGTTCCAGCAGCTGAGCCGCGTCGTCCGGGAGCAGCTCGACAACACCCCCCCAGCCGCCGCCCCGACAGTACCGCCGTCTACGCCGGGGAGTACACATACCAGCCTGCTTCCACATCAGCAGTCGCCGAGGGCGGGCTCACCAGCGGCCGTGGGGGCCGATTTCAACGTCGATGCAGGCCAGCAGTCGAACCGCAACTTGCTGAAGGGGATGCAGTCATTTAAGGTCTTGGCTGAGTGCCCGATCATCGTCGTTTCGATTTTCCAGGTGTACCGCGGGAGCGTCGCGCAGAATGTTAAGGCCTTCGTGCCCCTGATTAAGGAAGCCCTGCAGTGCCAGGCCATGGCGCAGGAGCAGGCACACGCCGACGCGGCCGCGAAAGGCACCATCCATACGGGCGTCAGTCCCAATATCAAGAACCGCGCGGCATTTGGGGAGTTCATTACGGCCCAGGTCAAGACGATGAGCTTTTTGGCCTACCTGCTCCGGCAGTATGCTAATTTGCTGTCCGACTTTTTGGCGAGTCTCCCTGACATCACTGTTCGTCTGTTGAAGGATTGCCCGAGGGAGAAGTCAGGGGCACGTAAGGAGTTGCTCGTGGCGATACGGCACATTATCAACTTTAATTTTAGGAAAATCTTTCTACCCAAAATTGACGACTTGCTGGACGAGCGAACGCTTATCGGCGACGGCCTGACCGTCCACGAAACGATGCGGCCCCTAGCGTTCAGCATGCTCGCAGACCTCATACACCACGTCCGGGAGAGCCTGTCGCCCGAGCAGATCCGGAAGACGGTCGAGGTCTACACGCGGAACCTGCAGGACAACTTCCCGGGCACCAGCTTCCAGACGATGAGCGCCAAGCTCCTCCTTAATATGGCTGAGTTCATCGCCCGTCTGCCGAACAAGGTCGATGCGCGACACTACCTCATTATGATCCTCAACGCCATCGGCGACAAGTTTGCTGCCATGAACAGGCAATATTTGAACGCTGTGAAACTCTCTAAGCAGTACGATCAGTTGGCCATTGATAACACACCCGAGACCTATCTTCCCGATAAGGAGACCCCGCCGGACTGGGACGAGGTCGATATCTTCAACGCCATGCCGATCAAGGCGTCGAACCCGCGGGACCGCGCGGCCAACCCGGTCGTTGACAACAAGTTTCTCTTTCGGAATCTGATGAACGGGCTCAAAAACACCTTTTACCAGCTCAAAAGCTGCAATCAGCCGGGGGCCGTCGACCTTACTGGGGCGCCTGCACACTGGACTGACGCCGCGTACGGGTTCACCGCCGAGGAGGTCAACGTGATCGTCAAGCTCTTCCGCGAGGGCGCTTATGTGTTCCGGTACTACGAGATAGAAAAGCCGGCGGCCGAGTCACCCTACAGCTCGCCCGTGGAGTACATGGCCAACTTCTACATGATTTCTAGTAGCAAGGAGGAGAAGGACCTACTCGAGACGTTCGCCACGGTCTTCCATGCCATCGACCCGGCCACGTTCCACGAGGTATTCCAGCAAGAGATCCCACGACTTTACGACATGATTCACGAACATACTGCTCTACTTCATATCCCCCAATTCTTCCTCGCCAGCGAGGCCACTTCGCCCAGTTTTTGTGGTATGCTCCTGCGCTTCTTGATGGAGCGCATTGAGGACGTGGGCTCGGCCGACATCAAGAAGTCGTCGATTCTGCTTCGTCTGTTTAAGCTTGCGTTTATGGCGGTCACTCTGTTCGCCTCGCAGAACGAGCAGGTACTGCTCCCCCACGTTGTCGACATTGTCACCAAGTCGATTGAGTTATCGACCAAGGCCGAGGAGCCGATGAACTATTTCCTCTTGCTGCGATCTCTGTTCAGGAGCATCGGCGGCGGCAAGTTCGAGCACCTCTACAAGCAGATTCTTCCACTGCTAGAGATGTTGCTCGACGTGTTGAACAACCTCCTCCTGGCGGCCCGCAAACCCGCCGAGCGGGATCTCTACGTCGAGCTCTGTCTGACGGTGCCGGCTCGTTTGAGCAACCTGCTACCGCATCTCAGCTTCCTCATGCGCCCGCTGGTGGTCGCCCTGCGTGCAGGCACGGATCTGGTCGGCCAAGGACTGCGTACGCTCGAGCTCTGCGTTGACAATCTCACGGCTGACTACCTGGATCCCATCATGGCGCCCGTGATCGATGACCTTATGACCGCCCTCTTTGATCACCTGAAGCCTCACCCTTACAGCCATTTTCATGCTCACACAACCTTGAGGATCCTGGGCAAGCTGGGCGGGCGGAACCGGAAATTCATGACGGACGCGCTGCCTGTGACGTTCCAGGAGTACGTCGATGACCGGACGAGCTTCGATGTCCGTTTGATTGGGTCCAAGCGGGACAGGGCGTTCCCGGCGCACCTTGGCGTGGAGCTTGCTATCCAAAAGCTGATGGAAGTCCCCCGGCCGGCCAAGGGACCACAGCCGTCGGCGTCGAAGCAGTACGATCCTTACTACAAGCGGCAGGCGCTGAGCTTGATCATTGCGCAGGTCAAGTTGCGCGTGGGATTTGACAACTTGCCGGACGACCTCCCCCGGATTCTCCGGCTCCAGGTGCAGGATCTCATCGGACGCAACAAGTCGGTCGACATTTCGCCGTTTGAGACGTCAGACCGGGAGCGCTCGACGGCGAAGAAGGACGACGAGGAACAACTCCTCAAGCGGCTCATCAAGGCGCTCATGTACGCGCAATCCATGCCTGAGTTCAAGGCGGAGGTGGATGCACTGCTGCTCAACCTAGCACGCCACTTTACCATTCTCGAGGTCGGCCGGGCGCTGGTCGACATGAAGCGGGCGTACAGTCCCTTCGACACCAAGTCGGGCGACGGCCCGCTGTTCCTCGACAGCCGGGTCCTGTCGGACGCCATCTTGGAGTCGTTGGCCTCGGAGAACGTGGACATTCGCGACGCGGCGGAGCGTCTGATCAAGGAGATGCACAGCTCGGCCGTCATTATCTTTGGGTCGCCTGCGCATGTGGCTCGTCTGACACTGTTCAACAGCCTGGCATCCACGTTCTGCCATGGGTGTTACCAAGAAGAGTGGTTCACCAAGACGGGCGGGACGCTCGGCATCAAGGCGCTCCTGACGGATGTCGAGCTCGGCGATCTCTGGGTCGCGGCCAAGCAGATCGATTTCGTCCGTGCGCTCATGTATGTCATCAAGGACATGCCGCAGGATCTGCCGGAGAAAACAAGGCGGTCGGCACAGGTCACGCTGGAGGCTCTCTTGACTAAGCTCACCAAGAATATAAAAAAGGCGGACTGTCTTCCTGCGCCCCCAGCATCCGCTGCCACGGCTGGGGGTGCGGCCCAGCCGCTGCCGCAACCGCAACCGCATCCCAAACACTCGCGCATGGCCCAGATCGTCATGATGCTCAACGGGGAGCTGTCGCATATGAACCGACACGTCCGGGATACGGCAAGGCGGTCGCTGGAGTTGATTGCCAAGGCTTCGGGGGCCGAGGTCTGGGAACTGGTCGAGCCGCATCGCAAGCAGCTGCTGCAACCTATCTACGCCAAGCCGCTGCGGGCACTACCCTTCGCCATTCAGATCGGCTTTATCGATGCCGTGACCTACTACATGTCGCTGAAACGCGACTTTGTGGCCTTTGACGAGAACCTGAACCGGCTACTGATGGAGTCGCTGGCTCTAGCGGACGCTACCGACGAGTCGCTGGCCGGCAAAACGCTCGAGTTCCGCACGCACGACTTCATTGTGAACTTGCGGGTGTCGTGCATTAAGATCCTCAGCAGCGCCATGTGCTTTGACGAGTTCGGCAGCGGCACTAACAACCCGACCCGGCTCAAGGTCGTCTCGGTGTTCTTCAAGTGTTTGTACTCGGACTCCACGCCGACCATTGAGGCTGCCAACGACGCGCTCAAGCTGGTCCTGCAGCATACGAATAAGCTTCCTAAGGACCTGCTGCAGTCCGGCCTTCGGCCTGTGCTGGCTAGTCTCCAGGATGCTAAGCGCTTGACTGTTCATAGTTTGGACAATCTTGGTCGGTTGCTGCGGCTGTTGACGACGTACTTCAAAGTTGAGATTGGGGCGCGGTTACTGGAGCACGCTAGGCAGATAGCAGAGCCTGCGTTCTTGCAACAGATCTCGTTCACGTTTTTCGAGCAGCACAACTCGCTGAAGGTGATTGCGGCGATCTTCAACATCTTCCACCTGCTTCCGGACGCGGCCAAGCAGTTCAAGGAGCGGGTCATCGACAACGTGCTGGACCTCGAGGAGAAGCTGCGCCGCACGCACCACAGCCCGTTCCGGCTGCCGGTGTACAAGTACCTCAACAAGTACCCGTCGGATGTGTGGGCGTTTAGCCTGGCCAAGCTGGAGGAGCTCAAGTACGGCCGGTTCCTGTCGCAGGTGTTGCGCCACGCAGACAGCGGCGTGTTGCGAGATTGGGGGGCGGCTAATGTTGAGTTCATCATCAAGACGTGCAACAACAGTATCTCGCAGGGCCGGGACAGCCGGTTCACGGCTATTATTAACACCATCAATATGCTGGACGCGCTGTGTCAGTTCCCCAACACGCTGTCATGGCTGGACAACAAGGAGCATATCGACTGGCTGAAGACGGTTGGTAAGGAGCTGGAGCGGAATCTCAAGGCGAACTCGCTGCCACCGAACTTGCGTCTGCCGGCTGACCAGGCCTCGGAGCAGCTCATGGCGATACTGACGAAGGCGCTTGCAAGGAACCCCAAGGAGCTGGATCCGCTGTTTGGGCTGATTGAGTCCATCACGGCCGATGACTTCCGCGAGTCGCCGGCCTTGCTGTCGCACATCTACAAGCATGTTGTGTGCAACGAGTCGATTGATTTCTGGAGGACGACAGTCCTGCGTTGTCTGGAGGTGTACGCTGGGAAGACTGCGTCGCAGCGGACAAAGTGGTATCTCCTGCACAATATTGTGAATCCCATCGTTGCGATGGACGTGATGCGGCACTGGAACAATGGTGAATCGACGACAACGGTCAACAATAAGAGTCCTCGATTCCTAGACAAGTCGGTCATCGACTCGATCAACACCAAGATCTGGAAGGTCAACCTGCCAGATCCGCAAGACGATCTCGTGCAGCCACGCATCGACCACACGCGCATGGAGGTGCTCCAGCTCTCGGCCATGATCGTCAAGTACCACCACTCGATCCTACAGGACGCGCGGAAAGACTTCATCAAGTTTGGGTGGGCCTACATCCGACTGGACGATGTCATCAACAAGCACGCGGCGTACGTGGTCATCGGGTACTTTATCGCGCACTACGAGACTCCAGCCAAGATTGTCACGCAGATCTACATCTCGTTGCTCAAGACGAACCAGAACGAAGGGCGGGCGCTTGTGACGCAAGCGCTCGAGTTGATGGCGCCGGTCATGCCGAAGCGCTGCAACACGGCGTTGACGGACCGTAACCCGGTGTGGGCGGTCGCGCCGCGGCGGATCTTGGCCGAGGAGAGCCAGAACGTGCAGCAGATGACGTGCATTTTCCACTTCCTGGTGCGACATCCGGACCTGTTCTACCACACGCGCGACAAGTTTGCCATGTTGATCATCCAGTGCCTGCGCAAGGTCGCGTCGCCGCCGAACCCGTCCAACGAGAGCCGGAAGCTGGCACTTAACATGATGTGGCTAATCTGGCAGTGGGAAGAGCGGCGGGTCGAGGGGAAACTGAGCGAGCCCCTGCGCGCGGTGTCGGAGTCGCCCAACACCAAGAAGAGGAAGTTGGGGGGTGAGTTGGTGACAGCTTCGTCGCCTTCCACTGCAAGGCAGCAGCCGGAGAAAGCCGAGTTCCAGATCCCGCTGATAGGCCGACAGAAGATGGTTAAGTACCTGGTCGAGTTCATCGCGCAGCTTAATGAGCGGTACCAGCTTCCCTCGGCCAAACCGCGCGACCCGACATTGCCCGTGCTCCCCTCGCCAACGACGGAGCTGTGCAAGAAGGCCATGACGCTGCTGTACAACCTGCTGCAGCCGCAGTACTGGGGTGACCTGGAAATGGACCTGTTCCCCAACGTCACGGATGTGGTGCTGGCCAGCGAGAAGTCGGCCGGGTTGCTCGCGGGGGATCCTTCGGAGACGGAAAAGGGCGACGAGAAGTTTATTACGAACATCATCAACACGCTGCAGGTGGTGCGCATCATCCTCAACTTCCAGACGGACGAGTGGATCCTCAAGAACATGACGCACGCGCAAAAGATCCTGGAGAAGTGCCTCAAGTCGGAGAACCCGGAGGTCCAGGACTGTCTGCACGTGGCCGACAAAAAGTATGATGGCGGGCGGGACATCAAGCCGATCGTGCGGCGGATTCTGGATGCGGTGCCTAAGGACGTGCCAATGGAGGATGCCGATGCGGACGGGGAGTCGGAGGCGCAGACCTCGGAAATCATCGCCTTCTTCTCCGGGATCGCGACGGAGAGCATGGCCGCGTCGAACTACGTGTCGGGCATCAACGTGCTGTGGTCGCTGGGCAACTGCAAGCCGTCGACGATCGACCAGCACATCACCGCCATCATGAAGTCCCTACAGACAAAGCTCGCGCGGGATCATGTCTCGCACTACGCCGCGCTGGCGCACCAGGCCAGTGGGATCCGCCCCCCGCAGCAGGATCCCAACGCGCCGACCGAGATGAACGCGTACGACCTCGAGATCCAGACGGGGCTGATCCTCAAGGCTGTCGAGGTCACGTCGATGCGCATGGAGATTCTGGGGGATAACCGCCGGCCGTTTCTCAGCGTGTTGGCGACCATTGTGGAGAAGTCGCTGCATGTGGCGCTGTGCGAGAAGATCCTGGAGATGGTGGAGGGCTGGGTGTTCCGGTCCGAGGGGACGTGGCCGACGCTTAAGGAAAAGACGGCTGTGCTGCATAAGATGATCTCGTTTGAGCACCGCCAGGACCCGACGATGCTGATGCGGTTTTTGGATCTCGTGCTGCGCATCTACGAGGACCCCAAGATCACGCGGACGGAGCTGACGGTGCGTATGGAGCATGCGTTTTTGATCGGCACGCGGGCGCAGGATGTCGAGACGCGCAACAAGTTCTTGTCTATCTTTGACAAGTCGCTGTCCAAGACGGCCAGCGCGCGGCTGAGTTATATTATCTTGTCGCAGAACTGGGACACGCTTGCGGACTCGTACTGGCTCGCGCAGGCCACGCAGTTGTTGCTGGGTGGCGTGGATACAAACCCGACCGTTCAGCTGCACGCTGAGGACTTCCGCACACTGCAGCTGTCACAGCTGGCCAACACGTACGCCCGCGATAGCCGCGAACCAAGCAGCATGAGCGATGACAAGTACGAGGCGTTTATGGCTGGCCACCGACGGTTTGTGGCCGAGTTGGGCGAGGTGCGGGTGCGTGATATTCTGGATCCCATCACGCAGCTGCAGCATGTTGATTCCAGCTTTGCGCACGAACTCTGGGTCGCGCTGTTCCCGATGTTCTGGTCGGCCACGGCCAAGGAAGACCGGCCCGATCTCGAGCGCGGGCTTGTCGCGCTGCTGACCAAGGACTACCACTCGCGGCAGATGGACAAGCGGCCGAACGTCGTGCAGTCGTTACTCGCGGGCGCCGTTAAGACGTGGCCGCTGTGCAAAATCCCCCCCCACGTGCTCAAGTTCGAGGCTAAGACCTACGACGCTTGGTACACGGCGCTGTATCAACTGGAGAACTCGGCGCTGCAACCCGAGATCGACTCGGCCACCGTGCGCGAGAGCAATCTGGACGCGCTGGTGGACCTGTACGCGTCGCTTGGGGAGGATGATTTGTTCTACGGCACGTGGCGCCGGCGCTGCCAGTTCGTCGAGACCAACGCGGCGCTGTCGTATGAGCAGCACGGCATGTGGGAGAAGGCGCAGCGCATGTATGAGACGGCGCAGATCAAGGCGCGCACGGGGGTGATTCCGTTCTCCGAGTCGGAGTACATGCTGTGGGAGGACCACTGGGTGCTGTGCGCGCAGAAGCTGCAGCAGTGGGAGGTGCTGCAGGATTTTGCTAAGCATGAGAACTTTCAGGATCTGTTGCTGGAGTGTGCGTGGCGGAACCCGGAGTACTGGCAAAATCAGGAGAACCGCGACCAGCTGGACACGCTCATCAAGGGGGTCATGGATGCGCCCACGCCGCGCCGGTCTTTCTTCCAGGCCTTCATGTCGCTGCTGAAGCTGCACAACAAGCAGGAGACCATGCCGGACTTTAGTCGGGTGGTTGATGAGGCGATTCAGTTGTCAATTCGCAAATGGCACCAGCTGCCAAAGCGGCTGACGTCGGCTCATATCCCGGTGCTCCAGAACTTCCAGCAGCTGGTCGAGCTGCACGATGCTAGCGTCATCTCGCAGAGCCTCAACAGCACCATCGCCAGTAATCTTGATGTCAAGTCTGGCGAGCTGAAGTTGCTGCTGGGCTCATGGCGCGATCGCCTGCCCAATCCGTGGGACGACATCGTGGCCTGGCAAGATCTGGTTACATGGCGCCAGCACATCTTTGGGTTGATCAACGGGACGTACTTGGGGTTGGTGCCGCAGCAGCCGCAGAATCCCGGGGGGGTGTCGTTTGCGTATCGGGGTTATCACGAGACGGCGTGGATCATCAACCGGTTCGCGCACGTCGCGCGCAAGCACGCACTCCCCGAGGTGTGCATCAACCAGCTCAGCCGCATCTACACGCTGCCCAACATCGAGATCCAAGAGGCGTTCCTCAAGCTGCGCGAGCAGGCCAAGTGCCACTACCAGAACCCGGACGAACTCACCAGCGGCCTGGACGTCATCAACAACACCAACCTCAACTACTTCAGCGCCCCGCAAAAGGCCGAGTTCTACACCCTCAAGGGCATGTTCCTCGAGAAGCTCAACCAAAAGGAAGAAGCCGACAGCGCCTACGGCACCGCTCTGTACTTCGACATCACCGCCGCCAAGGCCTGGGCCGAGTGGGGGTACTTTAACGATCGCAAGTTCAAGGAAAACCCGACCGATCTGGCCGCCGCCAAACAAGCCCTCACCAGCTACCTTCAGGCCGCGTCCAGCTACAAGGACCACAAGTCGCGCAAGCTGATCGCCCGCATCCTGTGGCTGCTGAGTCTAGACGACGCCAACGGCACCATTGCGTCTGGGTTTGACGATTTCAAGGGCGAGGTGCTGGTGTGGTGGTGGATCACTTTTATTCCGCAGCTGCTGGTCGGGCTGGGGCATAAGGAGGCGCCTCGCGTGCAGAACATTTTGCTCAAGATTGCCAAGACGTATCCGCAGGCGCTGTATTTCCAGCTGCGCACCAACAGGGAGGATATGTTGGCTATCAAGAAAAATCAGGATGCGAAAGAGCGGGCGAAGAGGGTGCAGCAGCAGCAGGCTGCTGGCAAGGCGAATGGGTCGGCCCCGGCTTCGGCGTCGGCTTCGGTGTCACCGCAGTTGGCGAAGAAGGAGCCGGGTTCGGCGGGGGGTGCTGAATCGACGAGTCGGCCGGCTACGGCTAATGGTGCAGAAGGCAAGACGGAAACCAAGGCTGAGGGCGAGGCTGCTGCTGCTGTCAGCACACCTGTGACGGCTACCGCTCAGACGCCGTCATCTGCTGGTCCTGCCGGTAATCCCAATGCTGGGAATGCTGGTGAAAGTTCCGGTGCCGCCGGCCAAAAGAAACCCCCTTGGGAACTGACGGAGGAAATTATGAGCGTTCTCAAAACGGCGTTCCCGCTGCTCGCACTGTCAATGGAGACCATGGTTGACCAGATCCAGAAGCACTTCAAGTGTCCGCCCGATGAGGACGCGTATAGGCTCATCGTTGCTCTTCTCAACGACGGCCTGGCCTACGTCAGCCGCATGCCGACCTCGTACGCGCGCGACGTGAAGCTACCCCAGGCGACGGAGAATAACATCACCCGCTTCGCCGAAACCATCCTCCCCAGCCACATCCGCGGCACCTTCGAGGCCGACTTCGTCAAGGTCAAACCCACCATGTACGAGTACATCCACAACCTGCGCAAATGGCGCGACAAATTCGAAGAGAAACTCGACCGCCGCACCACGCCCGTCCCCCTCGAAAGCTTCGCCCACTACTCCCCGCACCTCAGCGAGTTCCGCTACCAGAAATTCGACGACGTCGAGGTCCCCGGTCAATACCTACAACACAAGGATAAGAACCAAGACTTTGTCCGCATCGACCGCTTCCTGCCCGACGTCGACCTGGTGCGCACCATCGGCGCATCCCACCGCCGTCTGCAGATCCGCGGGCACGACGGCAGCGTACACGCGTTTGCGGTCCAACACCCCGCCGCGCGCCACTGTCGCCGTGAGGAACGCATCCTGCAGCTGTTCCGCCAACTCAACCAGACGCTGGCGGGCAAGAAGGAGAGTCGTCGGCGGGACTTGCAGTTTACCCTCCCGCTGATGGTGCCGCTGGCGCCGCATATTCGCCTAGTACAGGAGGACGTGTCGTATATCACGCTGCAGGGGGTGTATGAGGACCATTGTCGCCGGCATGGGATTCAGAAGGATGAGCCGGTGTTGTATACGATGGAGAAGCTGCGCGGGTTGGTGGATGCTAAGGGACCGGTACGCTCTTCTTTCCTTATTTTTATTACTTCTTTCCCACAGTATGATTCTAACAGGTCACAGAAACTAGCCGAGCACGCCGTAACAGCCCGCCTCGAAGTAATGCGCGCCATCCAAGAAAAATTCGTCGACACCACCCTCGCCCTCGAATACTTCCAAGCCGCCTTCCCCGACTTCGCCGAATTCTGGCTCTTCCGCCGCCGCTTCTCCTACCAAATGGCCGCGCTCACCTTCATGACCTACATCCTGCACATCGACAAGCGCTACCCACACAAAATCAACATCGCCCGCGGGTCTGGCAACATCTGGGGGTCCGAACTCATCTCCTTCATGGCCACCAACAGACCGTATTTCCATAACCAGGAACCTGTGCCGTTCCGGTTGACGCCGAACCTGCAGACGCTTATGGGCCCGCTGGCGACGGAGGGGATTTTTGCGAGTGCGATTATGGCGATTGCAAGGTGTTTGACGGAACCGGAGTTTCAGTTGGAACATGCGCTGACGCTGTTTGTGAGGGATGAGATGATGTTTTGGTTTACTAGTGCGCACCATCATCATCGACCTAGCGCTGCCGGAGGCGCCTCCGGCGCCGGAGGCAGTGGTGCAGGTGCTGGCGGTGCGGGTGGTTCAGGTGCAGGCGGTCTTGGAGCGGGTGGCTTGACGGAGGCCCAGCTGAGGGACACGGTGCAAGGGAACAGTGAGATGATTGTGAAAAAGGCGGTGTCGCTTGCTCAGGCGCCTGCGGGGAATCTGCCGGCGCATCAGACGGTGATTGATTTGATCGCGAAGGCGGTTAATCCGATGAATTTGGCTATGTGTGATGCGTTGTGGATGCCGTATTTGTAGGGGGGCATCCTAGGGAGGATATGGGAAGGAAATCGAAAAGGGAAGGGGAGATATCACGATAGGGGTGGATTTAACTCCTCGAGGCATCGGGGTTTACCTGGGTTTTTTACTTCGATTTTAGAGCCTTTGCCGGATAACGGGAACGACGGGAATTCCTTTCATCTCTGTATTCAGTTATGTATTTTTCTCTCTGATTTTACTTCCCTGTTTAGGGTCGGTGATGATGGGCGGGTAAAACAGGAGTTGGGGGCTGGGGAGCTGTATCGCGGTGTTAATAGGTTGATTGATATTGAGGTTCAGGGTTACGTTAGGTCATTCCAGCTTACTTGCGTGTTTTGTGTTTGGAGATTTTATTTATTTACTTACCTGGGTATCATCTCAGAACTGCACTCCAATCAAACGCCTTGGAGTGTGATTGACTACTATCCTCACTCATGCTCAGAGATAATTAGCTGCTTCGGCCCGGAAAAGACCCGCAGCGATCTGGGGGTGCTTTTCCCGATTACCGAGAACTCCAACCACGATCCACAGCGAGCGTAGCCGCAACGACCCCGGAATCGGAAATGCAGCGGGCTCTAAATGCGGGGTTAACTGGGGAGTCCCTTAATCACTAACTGGAAAGAGCGAGGGCAGGGGTGTTTTACCTGTATCTCTCAAGCAGTGTCGACAAGCGGTTGTTGTGTTCCGCGGGCGGTCGGAGTCCGGAGTTGGAGGTTGCGGAGCCGAGGCTGGGGTTTGCGTTGATCTTTTGGCCTTTGACTTTGTTTGCTTTCCTTCGGTTTTGTTCTTTTCCTCGTTTTTTAGTTCGGCTTCGATTTTGGCTTGATGAATTCGACCATTTGAATTGCCATTGACTTGAATTGGCTCTTCATTGTTGTACTGCGTGAGTGACAGGGCAACTGCTGTGGTGCAACTGAGACAGCACCGCTGTTTGTCAACTCTGGCTTTTGACTCAAAACTTCCGATCTTGACCTCCGATCTCGACTCCGACTTCGACACAACACATTTGACATCTCAAGATGGCGGAGAGCGGGCAGCAGGCGGTCGCCGTGCCACGGAAGCTTTGGTATGTTCAATTGATCTCTTTTGCTCGTTTTATAGCTTCCGCTCTTGGTCTCAAGCAAGTGGAGTTGAGTCGGTGAGATGAGACGACTGACCGGACAGGCAACATCCCGATCCGCAGAGCACGCAGATGTACCGGTTCATGCAGGACGTCAACCGCCAGCACGGCCAGCAGATCAAGGTATTTCTCTCATTTTCTGCTTAATAAAAAAATACAAAGGATGAAGACAGGTGCTAAGTATATGACAGACCTTCGCCGAACTCCACGCCTGGGCACTCACCCACCGCTCGGCCTTCTGGGCGCACCTCTTCCACGACGCCCACCTCATCCACTCCGGCACCTACAACACCGTGGTCGACGAGTCCCTCCCCATCGACGCCATCCCGCGCTGGTTCGAGGGCGTGCACCTCAACTTTGCCGAGAATGTCCTCTACTCAGCAGCCGACAACAACACGGCTGAACGCAGCGTGCGGCACAAGGAAGACGACAAGGTCGCGATTACCGAAGTCCGCGAGGGCGGGAGCAGTACCCGGAAGGTGACGTATGGCGAGCTGAGGCGGTTGGCCAGGGAGATGGCCAAGGCGATGAAGGTGCGCGGGGTGGAAAAGGGGGATCGCGTGGTGATTATGGGGTCGAATAGTGTTGAGACGCTGGTGGTGTGGTTGGCGACCGCGTGGTTGGGGGCTGTGTTTAGCAGTAGCTCGACGGATATGGGGGTGAAGGGGATTTTACAGCGGGCGGTGCAGGTTAACCCCAAGGTTGGTTTCGTCTCTCTTCTACTTACATGATACAAGGAGACGAGGTACTGACTGGGCAGCTCCTCTTCATGGACGACGCGGCGCTGTACAACGGCAAGGTGGTGGACCTGCGCGACAAGATGGCCGAGGTGGTCAACGGACTCAAAGACTGCTCCAACTTTGCGGCCGTCGTGTCGATCCGCCGCTTCGACGAGGCCCGCGACATCACACGCGTCCCCAAAGCCGAGACCTACACGGCCTTCCTCTCCTCGGCCAACCCCAACACCCCCCCACCGCAGTTCGTCCGCGTGCCGTACCACGAGCCGTTCCTGATCTGCTACTCGTCCGGCACGACGGGCATCCCCAAGGCCATCGTGCACTCGGTCGGCGGGATTCTCACCAACAGCTACAAAGAAGCCGTCCTGCACGAGGGGCTCGGCCCGGACAGCGTCACCCTACAATACACCACCACAGGCTGGATCATGTACCTCTCCAACTGCGGCGCCCTCCTCTTCGGCGGCCACGCCATCTTCTACGACGGCTCGCCCTTCCAACCCGACGCCACCATCCTCATCCGCCTCGCGGGCGAGCACCGCATCACCAAACTCGGCATCAGCCCCCGCTGGATGTTCGAAGTCAGCAAAGCCGGCCTGCGCCCGCGCGACATGGCCGACCTCTCCTCCCTCCGCACCGTCACCTCCACCGGCATGGTCCTCTCCGACCAACTCTTCGAATGGTTCTACGACGTCGGCTTCCCGGCCCACACCCACCTCGCCAACATCTCCGGCGGCACCGACATCGCCGGCTGTTTCGGCGCCATGAACCCTCTCGAACCCGTCTACGTCGGCGGCACTCAGGGCCCCAGTCTCGGCGTCCACGTCGCCCTCTACGACTCCCTCTTGCCCGAGGGAACCCCCGGCAAGGAAGTCCCCCCCGGCACCCCGGGGGAACTCGTCGCTGTCACCGCCTTCCCCAACATCCCCTGCTTCCTCTGGGGCGACGACCTCACCCACGGCGCCGCATCCACAGGAACCAAATTCCACTCGGCCTACTTCGCCCGGTTCCCGCACGTCTGGGCCCACGGCGACTTTTGCGTTATCCACCCCACAACGGGCAACATCTCCTTCCTAGGCCGGGCCGACGGCGTTCTCAACCCATCGGGTGTGCGGTTCGGCTCGGCGGAGGTGTATTCGGTGATTGAGCGGCGGTTTACGGACCGTGTGCAGGATTCGTTGTGTGTGGGGCAGAGGAGGCCGCAGGATAGTGATGAGTCGGTGATGCTGTTTTTGCTGATGCGGCCGGGGAAGCGGTTTGAGAGGGGGCTGGTGGAGGAGATTAGGGACGCGATTAAGGGGGATTTGAGTAAGAGGCATGTGCCGAGGTATATTTTTCCCACGCCTGAGATTCCGGTATGTTTGTCTCTCTTTTTTTGCCTTTGTTTTGTCTCCTTTGATTACCCCCTTCATCATGGCCCCGCTTTTCCTATTTACTGTTTACTTCCCCTGAAATCCCCTGAATCCACCACACACAACACACCCAAGATGAGAGACACACGCAAAAAAGGTACTAACGAGAAACGAAAACAGACCACAATCAACCTCAAAAAAGTCGAACTCCCCGTCAAGCAGATCGTCTCGGGCCACACCATCAAACCCAGCGGCACCCTGGCCAACCCGCAGAGCCTGCAGTACTACTACCAGTTTGCCAGGGTTGAGGAGCTGCTAGCCCGGGCGCCTAAGGGGAAGTTGTAGGGATTCTACGTGGTTAGATGGTTTCAAGTTAATAATTTGACTGCCAATGAGTCATTATGAAACTGTTAATTTATTAGTTGGTGTTGCCTCACCGAGAACGTAGGAACGTAAGAGCATAAGAAGGCGCGTAATTCTCAACTGGGTATTATTACCGTGCCGTGTAATGCATGTATGTATCGTGCCATATTACCTGCTAACGTTATACAAATACCCAGCGCCAACGCTATGATATGCCCGCCATGCTACCGATGCCATAATAATCCCCCGTAAATGCATACCTCATCTCCCTCTCACCATGGATCTCCCGTCTCTCTGCAAACACCACCACCTAAAAATCATCACTCGTATCCATCATGACATCCCCCCCCGCATCATCCCCTTCTATCCCTCCACCCCCACCCAATCCTCCTCCTCTTCTCCCAGGTCCAGGTGTAGTAGTCCCACCGCCACTCCTTCCATCATTCCCCCTCACCACCCCCTTCCCTTTCCCCTTCCCCTTGCCTCTAGTCCCCTTTTCCTCACTCTCCCCCGCAGCAGCAGCAAACCGACCCCTCCGTCCCCCCCCTCCAGTCTCCATCATCCTCGCTCTCGCAGCCATCTTCCTCCCTTCCAACTCTGCCTCGAACCGGTCCATAGCAGCCAGTTCCGGATTCCCTTCCCCTTCTCCCCCTTCTTCCCCTCCGTTCCCGTCTTCTTCTTCTTCTTCTTCTTCAAGATCCAACCCCCCCGCATTCAACCTCCCCACCAAACTCCCCGCCTCAACAACCACATCCCCCACCCCCGCCTCCTCCAACGCTTTATTCAACAACTCCGTGGCGACCGGATCCTGCGGGTTCACAGCCAGTGCTTCATGCAACACCCGCGCCGCATCATCCGCGCGTCCGGAATCGAGCAAGATCAGTGCTTTCGCACATAGCACCGCTGCATTCTTCCCCCCTCCGTCGCGGAGAACGGCATCGAATTCTTCCAGCGCCGCGTCGAGATATCGCATGCGGCGGTAGGCGTGAGCGAGGTTGGTGCGTGCGCCGAGCCAAGCGCGGGGGTCAGCGCCCGTGTCAGCGGCTACGAGGAGGGCTTGACGAAAGAATTTGGCGGAGTCCTTCAGACGGCCCTGGTGGTAGAGGACGACGCCCATTTCGTTGAGGAGGAGGGGATCGGTGCGGCAGAGCTGGTAGGCGGATTTGAGGTATTCTTCTGCGGCGGTCATGTTGTTCATGGCGTGGTTTTGCATGCCCAGGAACACAGGGGGCAGGTGGGTGCCGGTGAAGAGGCGGGCGGCGGTGGAGTAGGCGGTGATGGCTTGGTCGTGTTCGCCTTCGGCGGCAAAGGTGTGGGCGAAGCCGATCCAGGCCGGGCCGAAGGTGGCGTCCATCATGGAGGACTTGGAGAAGTAGCGGCGGGCGTCGGCGATTTTTCCCGTGGCGAGGTAGTAGGTGCCGACGGCGAGCCAGGTGCAGGCGTGGTCCGGGTGGTGGTCGGCGAGGTCGTGGGCCACGAGGAAGAGTTCGTTGGTTTGGCGGAGTTCGTAGAGGCAGGCGAGGTGGATGGGGTAGGCGGGGAAGTCGGTTTTGTCGTCTTGGAGGATGGATGAGGTGATGACTAGTGCGTCTTTGAAGCGGCATTGGGTGTAGAGTAGGTCGGCGCGGGCGAGGAGGAGGTCGGCGTTCTCGGCGAGTCCGTAGTGGGTTGATAGCGACTCGACGGCGGTGTTGAACGCCCCCGGGTTGCCGTACTTGGACAGGTGCGTCTGGTACAGCATCTGCACGTAGTCCCCCGGTTCCGTTTGTAGGTCTGAACCCTCCCCGTTCCCATCACCGTCACCACCGGGACCCACCGCCCGTACCCCGTTAAAGTCCAGCGACTGCATAAACTCGGCCTCCTCATCCGCCGACATCAGCGCGTTGCGCACCAGCTGCGTGAACGCCTCATAGCACTGCACATCGATCCGCAGCGCGTCCTTGTACGCCTCCTTGGCCCGGTCGAACGCGTTCTCCTTGGCGTAGCAGAGCCCTCGCAGGTAACACATGCCCGCCTCGTACCTCCGCGTCGACCATTCCTCCTCGTTCTTCGCCTCCTCCTGGGCTTGTTGGTTGTGTTGAATCTGATTCTTATTCTGTGACTGAGCCCGATCATGTCCCTGTCTCGACCTCGATCCCGCTCTTCCCCCCCGGCCCGTCGTCGTCATCGTTGTCCCAGTCCCAGTCCCAGTCCCAGTCCCAGCACCTATCCCCGCAGTCATAGCCGTAGCCCCCTTACCCACCCCCCCACCAGCAACAATCTTCCTCTTCGCCCTCCTCCCCGCCACCAACAAATGCGCGGGCGTAACCTCCCCCAACAACCCCAACGCCTCAGCAAAACACCCCTGCTTAATCAGACAATGCGCAGCCAAGTACCGACACGACGGGTTCGACCCAATCAAGCTGTGTTTGCGCAGCAGGTCGTGGGCGCGCGCGTGGTGGCCGGCGGCGAAATGCACCTGGGCCAGCCAGAAGGCGTCGTTGTCGTCGCGGGTGAGGGCGAGCAGCTTGTCGCCGATGAAGATGGCGGATTCGTATTGCGCTTTGTTGAGGGCGTCTTGGCGCCAGTCGCGGAGGAAGCGCTCCATGTTGGGTTGGGAGGTCATGGTTAGGTCGGGTCTGGGTCTGGGGAATACCCAGCAGGAAGGGTGAAGAAAAGCAAAGCAAAGCGAGGAGAGGCGAAGGGAAGCAATCGAGGTTCGGTATCGTGTGTGATTCGAAGAGTCGGGGAAATTTAAATTGGTCTGTCTTCGGTTTCTTCGTCTTGTAGAGTCCGTCGTCGAGTTCGTCGTCGAGTTCGTCGTCGAGTTCGTCGTCGGGTTCGTTGTCGATTAGTACGGTCAACCCCTCCGTCAGCGGCCAGCCGTGTCAATTCGATTCCGGCTCGTGGGTTGAAAACAGAGGCTCGCAGATGCTCAGGTTAGTCTGCAACGCGTTGATGTTTGGAAGAATCACTGGACGCGCTAATGGCGGGGCAAGCTGGGCGAGCTCACTGCCAAAATAGGCTTAGCCTGGGGGTCCAGCGCTGGAAAGTGCTGTCGGACAGGGGTCCACTGTGCTATTCACTGAAGCCCACAAGTTCTACTGCACCTAGGTAACCGGTAGGTCAGGTAGGTAGGTATGAATACCTAGCTATGTAAACGGTAAACACCATAACGTTCAATAGTGTATCAATTTTTTCATTTAGAAATTACTCATTCATCAGCCAGAATCATTGCCGACCCCAAAATAGATATTTCCCTCCCCATTACCCCAACATATCATGTCATCCCAGCCTACAACTTAACAGGCCCCTTGCCCTTCCCCTTCCCCTTACCATGCCCGTCCCCCGGATGCCCGGGGTGCTCCACCGTCTTGTTGTGCGGGTGCCCCAAGCCCAGGCAGCTAGCAATCTTGTAAAACACATCAATATTGCTGTAGGTACCACCAAAAGTCTCCTGGCACGGCCCACGCGCAAAGATAGGCACGTCCGTCAGGGAGTGCACGCCCTGCGCCTCGTCGGTCGGCAGCGTGCCGTTGACGACGAAGCCGCCGGGCCGGTCCGTGTTCTCGACGTACACCTCGCCGTTGGCGCCCACGGCCGCGGGCACGCGGGGCTTGTGGCCGAGACCATAGTCCTCGCGGTGGTCCGGGTTGGCGCCCAGGCCGGCTGCGATCGCATACCGCGGGTCCCAGTTGAGCGGGAAGTTGGCGCCCGTGCCGTATTGCACGCCCTCCTTGGGCTGCGTGTACTGCGACAGACCTGACCGCTCGTACACGCCGACGGCGCTGCGCTTGGACCGGTCGTCCTCCTGGGCCCGCAAGTACTTGGTGTCGGCGCTGCCAAAGACATCTGCGTGATTGTTAGGACTCGGGATTCGGGGCTGGCAGCATAGCAACGTATGTAATAGGAACTCACCAAAGCCGTGGCCGTGGTCGGCAGTGACCACAATCAGGGTCTCCTCGAGAATGCCAAGGTCCTCCAGCTTCTTAATCGTCGCCCGCACCGTGTCGTCCAGCTCAAGGAGATCACCCAGCGCACGCTCGTAGTCGAGGGTGTGCATCTGCTTGTCGATCGACGCGGCCTCCGACATGAGGAAGAAGCCCTTGTCGCCGCCGCGCTTGTTCAGAATCTCGATCGCCTTGAGCGTCATGTCCTTCTGCCCGGGCAGGTCCGTAGCCGGGCCCTTGGCACCAGACGGGTTGTTTTCGAGCGTCGCCAGGTTATCGGTGTAGATGTTCCGGTCCAGCCACACAGGTAAGTTAGACCTGCAGAAGATGCCCAGAGCCTTCTGGTCATTCGGTGCCGCAAGGAGCGCCGTCTTGTTCCAGCTAACCGAGTACCCCTCGTTCGCAAACTCAGCGTAGTAATCCTTGCCCTGGTACGAGCCCGAGCCGGGGATGAACTGCTCGGCACCACCGCCAAAGTAGGCGTCGGGGCCGGCCGTCCGGGTCCACGAGTAGTTGCTCACGCCGTGCAGCGCCTGGTCGATCAGGACGCCGTACTCGGACCGGCGGCGGGTGTGACCGGTCAGCGCGATTGGAGTGGCGTCGGCGATGAACGCAGTCGAGACCGCGCCCCAAGCAGAGCCCTAAGCACAATCTCGTCAATTGATGTCCTCTCCGCATAGGAAGTCAGATGGTAGTTCACTCACCCAAACACGGTACAGAAGCTCAACAATGGTCTCGACCTTAGGGTCGTCGTGCGTGTCAGGGGAAGAGTCGACGTAAACACTGGAAGGGATACCGTCAGCTTGCGAAAGTTCCCATTTCTCCCCTCAATGCCCACCCACTTACCCCATGGCGTTCACCGAGCTCTTGTGTCCGCTGTACAGAGCGGAAGCCGAGTTGGCACTGTCCGTGATGAAGGTGTCGATCGAGTGCGACTATTGCAAATGTCAATGTCAGCTCAATTCCCCGCCATTGGCCTTTCTTGGATCCAAACCCACCATCTGATGACCCAGGACCGGGAACTCATCGAGCGCGAGCAGGCTCTGGTACCGACCGTTGACGGTCTTGTGTCCCAACAGGCGGGCAGCCGTGATCATGTTGGTGGTCATGCCATCACCTAGTCAATGTGTTAGGCCCCATCACCTCTCCCGCCGATCAAAGCATTGGCCGACATACCAATAAAGAAGACGACATTCTTGGCCTTCTTCTTGGTGGCCAGCGGGCGGACGGTCCAGTGGGCCTTGGTGGTCTGCCCGTCGTAGTACTTGAGTGTAACCGTGTACTCGCCGGGCTCGTACAGCGCCACGCGGCGGAAGGCCTTGGACGCGACATTGACCACCGACGGCTTGTTAGCGTCCTCGGCGAACAGGTCCTCGAACCACGAGAAGGTCCATTTCTCCAGCGCCGGCTCGCTGTGCTTGAAGAACTCGGCGATGCTCTTGGGCTTCTGGCCGTCCTTGGCGATGGTGGCCGTGAACTTCTCGTCCGGCACACCGTTGTTGAACGCCTCGGAGCCGTTCTTGGGCGCGTGGATCTCGAAGCGGATGTCGAACTCCTGGCCGGGGAGGAAGTCCTGCTGGTCCGGGGGAAGCACACAGCCGAGATCGGGGCAGGTACCCAGCCGCTGGAAGGTCTGTGCCGACGCCGCAGACAGCGACGCCGCGAGGCAGAGCGCGACGGAGTTAGCTTTCACCATCTTGGCGGTCAACCGAAGAGAGTGAAGGAGAAAACAAAAAAACGGCTTGGCTGAGCGACGATCACAAAGACTCGAAGCTGCTCACGAGAGCTTGGGGCAACGCGGATCGGCCAGCCCCGCGCCAACTTATATAGTTACTCTCCCGCGCGATAGATTTTCCGCCTGCAGTGTACCCAAACAACGTGCGTCCCCATCGGTGAACCATGTCTTACCAAACCCTCGCAGGACCTTGGCCCGAGCTGCCGAGCCACGGGGGGATGTGCGATCTCACGACTGGGCTTTGCGACCTGGAAAGCGCGAACCGGGGCAACACAAAGTTGACAAGAAGGGAAGGCCAAGAAATCGAGTAACACGGCCAAGCAATGGCCTTGCCCGATTGAAAACCGAGCCCTTCCTATGACTTTCTTCAAATCTCATGGCGAGCCTCTCAGACACGTGGGCGCGGTTGACATCCAGCCGAGCTGGAGGCCAATTCGAGAGCCCAACGTCCGGAGCCTTCCTCCACGACCGGGGGTGACGACCATGAAGCCTCAACGCCAAGATCTCCGTCCCGTCCGTCGTCTGAACGTGCTCCGGCCCGGCTGTCTAATTGGCGCCCGCCACATCCGTGATGCCAAGAACTGCCATTTTCTCCGCCGGGCCTGCAGGAACGCAGACTTGGGTTCCCTCGGTTGAGCTTTTCAATGGAGAGCTGAGGATGGAGTGGTGGGTTGCATGCAGAGAAACGATTGATAAGATTACTTTTGAGGTCAACAGCCGTTGGCTCGTCAAAATTTTTGAGGTCAGCATGTTCAAGTATCAAGAAACGCCGTGTCAACTTGTATGGGCGAGTTGGCGAGGTAAGAATCAGAGAAGTGAAAAAATCTGGACGAGGTCGAGGAAAGAAGGTCCATCAAAAAAAGCCCAGTGGCATAGGTATTGAACCCTATCCGAGAAAAGCCCGAGCATGAGGAAACCACGAAGGAACAAGACACCAACCGCCAAGAAATAAGCCGGGGGGATCCTTCTCGAAAAGGAAGTCGCGAAGAAGCGAGGCGGTTTTGCAGAAAAGCTTCACCGGGGACGGTTCTTTCCCCGAGAAGTCTCAGATCCCCACATTCGCCAACCACTAGTTAGTTATACATAGAACATGTCTAGGATGGTCTCGAAGAATGTCGACCCCCACGGATACCACTAGTGGATGTACGCCGCCACGCCTGCCAACCGTCCGGGACATATCGCACACCACTATCACGTTGTTATGAGTATCGATGTCAACCTCGTGCGCCTTTGCTGAGAGCTGGAGGAGTCGATACCTCCTCCTGATTCGTGGGCAGCCGGGCCGAGGATAATTCCCGCCTTCTCCTCCAGCAGCTTTCGGCTGAAACAACCGACCTTGCCAGGAAAGACAGGCGTAAAACGGAATAGGGGGCTTGAAGCCAAAACATACTCACATATTTGATTCGTGTCTTTAGGCCCTGGAATGGCTTCTCACTCATCCTATGCTTTTGACCGTCATCCCTTCCTAATGGAGATGCCTTGGACATTGCACCTGCTTTCATACTTCAAGGAAACCGTAATTCACGTTTGTGCCATTGACCTTCTAGCGACTGTAGTGTACTGTACAATCAGCTGCATCGTCACCATGTCACGCCGTCTGTTATACAACATCAACAAGTATCGTATATCCAAGTCTAGATTTAAACAACCACAACATCCCACTCGACTAAGCAAGCCGAATCATCACTTGGCCCCGAGCATCTTACGGTCCTGAAGCATATCACGAAAAGCGTCCCGAACCGGCCACCGTTTCCCCCTTCCGCGCTCCGTCTCACCCAGCCTTTCGTCCACCGACGCCGGGAAAGCAGCCGCCTCCCACAGGCGCACGAATCCAAGCACCACCCACGCTAAAACCAAGATTCCAAACGGCGACAACATGCCCGACATAGACTCGGAGGACGAATTCTTGATGCCTGATCGTTGTCTTTCGCCCAGGTCGAGAGTTGAACGTCGGATTCAACGAGGCGATCTCATTGTCCTGACACCGCCGTTAGCAGTCGACGTTGTGCCCAAAAGACGGACGAGGCGCATGTTAGCCGGGCTCACGACACCAAATCCAGATCATGGCCTGAATCGGAGCCCGACGGGGAGAGTTCGCAGTTGTCGGATTGCGGCCCAGCAAAGGGCTGCACCCGCCGCCGTACCGTCGAAGGGGAAGAAAAAGGGGGAGAAGGAGAAACGCAGCGGGGGTAAAACTAAGAAGAAGACGAAAGCTCGAGGCAAAAAGTCACAACACACGTAGACGTTTTAGGATGTTTTCACCAACGAAATGTCTCTCAATTGACGACCGAGCCGCTCGATGCGAAAACCACAAGGAAGAGCGTACCGGCGGGATGGGAACCGACACATAGGAAACCTACCCATGTGGTGTATCTCGGGACACCGCTCACCCGCCCCTTCCGGCGACGGTTTCCAAGGATGGGTCTTCTGATGAAGGTTCAAGATGCCGGTTAGGGTCAAGGCGCTAGGGAATTCGTAATCAGTATCGAAGTCGAAGGCCCGCAATGGTGAAGGAAGGATTAAGGCATACTTATACACGTAGTAGTTGAGTACCAGATCAATAGCTAGCATCCATACGAGATACCCAAGGTCGGGCCTTAGCCTTAAGGGCGACCGTAATTATACCAAGGTTCCGTGCCTTATACAATTCCTACCTGATATCTCCCCTTTTTTTTCACACCCACAAAGGTGCTCCGACGTCCGCTTTCAGTCGTAAACTAGGCACGAAGCCTCAACAACCCCCGTTTCCCAGGCCCATGGATCACACCGACCCTGCTTAACCCTCCCTCAGCACATCCACCAAACCCTTCACCTCATCCCCATCAAACTCCCCTCCCTTCAAACAAGAAGAGTGAAACCAAATTCCCCCTCCTGCAAATCCACCACCACCACCACCACCACCACCACCACCACCCAACAACCCCCCCAAATTCTCCTTCCTCACCCCCCCGCCCACAATAACCTCCACCCCCTTCTCCCTCCCAACCTCCACAACAACCCTCAACCTCTCCACATTCCCCACCGCATCCCCTTTCCCGCCCGACGTCAACATCCCATCAAACCCACACATCCTCACCTCCTCTATCACCTTTTCCACCCCCTCACGATCATCCGTCGGGATGTCATCGAATAGATCATCCACTGCTCGGTGTAGTATACATTTCAGGCTCCTCTCCTCGGAAGAGGCGGACTTGACTAACTTGATCAAGGCCGAGTTTTGGTCTCGGTTGAGGGCCAGTTTGTTTGTGTGGGGGTTGTGGTGGAGGATGCCGAAGACGAAGCCGTCGTTGTGGGCGGGGGAGAGGAGGTTGGGGGAGAGGAATTTGGGGATGGAGGTGGTCATGGTGGAGAGTTCGGTTGGGGTGTAGATGAAGTCTTGGGTTTGGTCTTGGGGTTGGTCTTGTTGGTCCTGGTCCTCGTGAGGTTGTTGTTGTTGTTGTTGTTGTTGTTGTTGTTGTTGGGGCTGGGATAGGGAAGGGGGTCCGCGGGGACGGATCATTATGCGGATTGTTGGGCGTGGAGGGGTGGTGGTTGGTGAGGAAAGGGGGAAAGAGGCGAGGAGGGAGCTGAGTTCGGCGATGGTGGGTGTCGTACCGCCGAGGGCTGGTTGTGGGGTTGTCAGGGGGTTGTTATTTCAAGAGGTAAGATATTTCAGAAGAGGTAAAATAAATAAGAGAAAATGAGCGAGTCGGAGAAGAGGAAGTCAGTGGGGAAGATGTAGAACAGGGGAACGACTTACAGTATGACCCGGCCCGGTTCAACTCCAGCCGACGAGCGCCGAGAGACACGGCTAGTACGCCATGATCAGGGCCGAAGATGGGCACTTCTAAGTCCGGATGTGTGCTGGAAGTCATGTTAAAGTTAGACTCGCTGCTGACAGTTAGTGGGTCGATTGTTGTGAAGGAAGACGCAAAGGGCTAGGAATTATAACGGGGTGAGTGAAATCGAAATGTAAGGTGTCGAGCGAGTGCTCCACAATTAAGTCCCCAATGAACCCCAACCAGACCTAAACAATCCCTTTTCTTAACCTCAATCCTAGATACAACCCCATCACGCCCATTTTTACGACCCTTCTCTCTACTAGCACTCGGGGTTTATATTTTTCTCCAGTGTAATATTTTGTGGGTTGTGGTAAGGAAGAAATTCCCCGCATTGTAGCTAATTAACTACGCCAAGATACAGTATATTCTATCATCCCCGGATCCGAGGCTCACAATCCACAGCATCGTATTTCTGTTTCATCCGCTCCATAACTACCAACGGCCAACACGCCATTCGTTCTCTTGTAAACCACAACATTACTTCAAAATAATATTTGTTTAGACTTGATTTATGCTAGAAAGTGAGCCCCGTATGGCATGTCTCTCAGAAACAGACTCCCACTGGTTTGTCTTGACCCCCTGTCTCCTCGGGCTTGGGAAATACGTAACTTGCAGAGACCGACTCGTAACTCCTAACTGCAAACAACCAATATACGACTTTCCCAACAATTAGTAACCTTTCATGGCTCCTAGAAGACTCGCACAGACAACGGCACCCTACATTCTAGTGCCTAGGAACAAGTCCCTCCCTATCAACTTCACTTCCAATAAGCTGCTAATCGATCCCCTCAGCTCACACAAAACAAACCTTAACCAGACGACACCTACCCCGTTAAATTTAGGAAGCCGTAGATTGAGGCCTTCACATTTTTCTATCCCCCAAAGCCTGAACGCTCACTCATTATGCCACCGACTCCGAACAGACATAGACCCGATTTTAAAGACGAGGTGTATTTCTGTCCCAGCGGCTCGTATCTCACCTAAAAAGACCTTCAGCTACACTGAATGGCGCTCGTCTTTAAGGAATACAGAAAGTCACAGGGCTTTTCTGTTTAGACGTGTTCTGAGCCTAGGCATCAACCCCCTTGGTCCTGCGGGCCGGTAATGACAGAGTTCGTTGACTTAAAAACAGCATATTTCTATTCTAACTATGTACCCACACAAAGACAAAGATAGCCTTAACCGCACAACACATATCTTCTAGCCCCCACATTTCCATAACGAACAGTGACCAAGGCACACCCGGTTCACCAGCACAGAGATGTGTGCCTGTGAAACAGACTAAGAACTCTGTATGCGCTTGCTTGCTCGTGATACACACATGCACACCACAGCCTCCACGGACGCACAGTAAGGTAGGGGACGAGGGCGGACAAAGAAAAAAGAGAGTGCCTATTAAGAAACGCACACGATAGTATTTCGGGCTGAAATAAGGGAGGCAGCAATCAAAACAGGAGTCACAGCACAGCACAGCACAGCACAGAATTTGATGTGTCCTGTGATCTTGACGATGCCATCTATGCTATATTGCCAGAAGTATCGCCATGCTAAGTAATGTCACTAACGCCCAACGCTGAACCCCCAAACTATGCTGTGTCGCCTGAATAATGTGGGCAAAGCTCCAGACGCCACCGATGCATTCCCCTCCAGCCAGTTCCAAAGCATGTCTATTGCCCCCACTCCCATGCTACCAGGGTATCATAAAAAATGCAGATTGTAAAGAATTCGTACCGTGGCCGGCCGTCCCAGCCATAGACGAGAAACACCGGCGTTTCTTAGCGAAGCACCAACGTACCCCGCTGTGCGATGGACGACCTTGAGTGTGCCTTGTCCTTCTATAAGATTTCATCTGGTCAGCTCTGGTCGCCGGAAATGGCCAGGCCACGCAGCCACTTTACAGCCAAGGGGCGTGGGGCGTGGGGAAGGATACTAACAATCGATGACGATGGAGTGATCCGTCTGGCCGTTCTGGCTGGCGATCTCGGCTGCGGCGTTGTCCACCAAGGCCCTCACACCCTGTGGCTCGTTGGGCGATTCGGCGGCCACAGCAGGGCTGGCAGATCCGCCAGCAGAAGCAGCAGCAGTGCTGGCCTCTCCGTTGCCAGCTTGGTCGGCTGGCTCCGGCTGGTTGCCCTGCTTGCGCTTCTTGGCCTCTTTCTCTAGGTGTGTGTTAATAAAGCGCTTTGATGTAGAGGTTGAGACTGGGGCCGGGTGTTCAAAGGGGGCTTCGTACCAGCCTTCCAGTACTTGTAGTGCATGGTGCCGATATTCGGCGAGAACCTGCACTGGTGGACGTTGAGGAAGAAGTGCTCAACTGCGCGCAGCGGTTAGCCGTCAGTGGCTGGTTACAGCCAAGGGGAAAGTGTTGTGGCGTTGCGAATACTTACAGGCACCCAATCCGGTGTATTTACGGCGGGCGTTATCGCCCATCTTCGCCGTCATCTGCTTCGCGACCCATTCCCAGCTTTGTTCCTCATTCTGGAGGTCGGCACCGAGACGCCGAGGGGAATGGGGCACCAGTTGGAGCCAGAAGATTCTCTCTTCGGCCCTCGACCAGATTCGGCCACCCATGTTGGATGGCGATAGAAAGTGATGAAGGTGGTAGTATATCGATGAGTGTATCGATGATTAGCCGTGAGAGATGGAAGACCACGACGGGGGTAAACCGCTGGCTGGCAATTGATGGAAGTGGGTTGTGTGGTGCAGAAGAAGGGGAGGAAAAGAACTGGAGGTTGGGAGAGCACGGGGATCGTTATATAGGCCAAGGGGGTGGAACTGTGTGCTCTGCCGTCCGAACCCTCCTCCGCTGTGAACATTGAAGCTGTGCTTCTCGAGTAAACAGTCATGACCAAGGTCACGCAGCCGTCCGCCCCAACCCTCACTTCCCCAGCGAACAATGAGGCCAGTGAGTCAGTGACCAAGCACACGAGGCCAAGGAGCCTCCCATCCCAACGATTTGCCGCCGTAAACAATGAAACCGCCCTTCCGAGGTGAACATTCATGGTCAAGTTCAAGTAGCTGTCTTGCCCAAACCTGCCCCTTCCAGTAGACAATAAGGCCTGTGACCAGGCATAGCCAATCCTGGGCAACCTCCTGTACGAAATATCCACCTTGGCAGACAAAGAAGTAGTTTTTCCGGGGATAAGAGTCATAACCAAGGCCGAGTAGCTGTCCCGCCCTACCTTTCCCTCTCCAGGAACAATGGGGCCGATACTGAGAGCAACCAGTCATGGTCGAGGATATTAGCTGCCCCATCCGAATCTCCCCTCTTCACAAACAATGAAGCTGGCTTTCAGGGAGAGCATCCACAGCCAAAGCCAGGTAGCGTAGCCTTCCGAGTTACCATTACCCCGCCATGAGCAGCCAAGCTGTTCCGAAGCGTGATAAACCATAACCATGTGGCCTAGGCTATACAGAGCCTCGGCCGTATATGGCCACGACCAACGTGGCCCATGGTGTCGTCCTCAGAAAGGCGGCAACACAAATAATGGCATATCCGGAGCGATAATCCACGGCGAGGTCACTGCTTCAAAACCCTGACGCTGAAGAGTTCGGGTTACTTCAATGGTGTTCAAGACACATTTTGTTCACGGCTGCTGACGAATCGTCCGATTGTCTCTTTATTCAAAGGGACTCGAAGGCTCAGGAGCCAGGTATCCATGAGCAAGCAAGTAAGGCCCAAGTCGTCTTTCAACCCTCGAGAACTAACAACCGTGGTCAGTAAAATCAAAGACTCCAACACCCAACCACCCCCCACTCTACTCTCAAGGACATACAATACTCTTCTTCTGCAGAGGCACAACCCCATCCCGGATCCAAATCCCCCAGCTGCCCATCATATTGGCGAGCATCATATCGGTAGCCAGGCGGTCGCCCACAACAGCAATCTGGTGAGGGCTTGTCACGCCCGTTTCTGGGTGCTGGCGGAAGTAGGACATGATCTCCTCGCCACAGCCGGGCTTTTTCACAGCATGTGCCAGGACATGAACGCCGGTGGACGTCCCAGTTGCTTCGGCTAGCTTTCCGTCTACATCGTAGCTTGTCGCGCCCGCCGTGTTGGACACGATTAGGAGTCGTCGTCCGGGGTAGGCGGCTCTTAAGGCTTGGAACCGGCGCTTCACAGTCTTAGTATGGGGTCGAGAAGCAAGGCAGAACAAAACCAGAATACAATCCAGGAGAGGGGGGGGGCAAGATCAAAACACAGTGGCAACATCGAGAAGCAAAGCAATACGAGAGCAATATCAAATAAAGTACCTGGTACGGTTCATAAACCTCACTGTGGTCGGGGATAGCAAAACAGTCGTCCTTATCCAACACCACAGCTCTGATATCGGCCTCCTTTCCACTCTTCGGGGAAAATGCCTTGTTCAGTGGAACGGGTAGGTCATCGAATGTCTTGACCGTTGCATGTGGAAGACAAAGGGACGGTTTTGCCAAGAGCTTGAAAATGTTGAGGGAGGCCGACAAGTTTAGGTTCATGATGTGTGGTCGTTGTCCGTCAGAAAAACGAGAAAAAATTAAGGGTGTGTTAAGACAGCAAAGTTCTTTTACTGACGGGCGCAGGGCAATATTTGGCGACGTAAAAGATTGAGAAATCTACTTTTGCTTACACAAGGTCGCTCACCCAAAAAGGAGTTGAAGTTAAAAAGGCGCTTGGGCCACCAAAGTTAACTTACAGGGAAGTCGCGTTGAGGAAATAATACGGAAGCTAAAAGTAGCATGTGGGAATGAACTTTCGCAGCTCATTGTGGGCAAAAGAAGCGGCAGATCAAGACCCTGGATAACTTACTTTTCTACAAAGTGAAAAAAAGATTAAAAAGGATAAACAAAAAAACGAAAGAAGACAAAAAGAGTCCATTAATCAAAATCTGTTAAAATTTGATCGAATGTTAATGTAGTTATTAGACTGCAGGTATCTGTTTTAGCCTGCCGCTTTTTTTGGCCACAGCGAGGCGGGTTCAATGGCAACCAGCAGGTCGGCAGCGGTACGAAGTTGGCGATGTGTTTTGCGAACTGCGGTTCTCAACATAGATAAATATGGATACTGTTAACACTTTAATTATTGACCGCTGCGGGCGGAAGGAATCTCGTTGCTAGGCGTGAGATAACTAGCTGTGGTGTGGGGCTAACCATGTAACTACGTTTTTGGTGACAAAAGCGCCAATCTGCTCGCTTGGTCTTCTCGGCTTCCATACAAAGTCGCGTCTCACGAACTTCATCCCATCAGCCGTTCCCAAACGCATCGAAGCCAGCGGTAAATCGTCGGCCAACTCCGCCGCAATTCGATACTCCCGAAGCTAAGAAAATGGCTCGTAAAAAGTCCGCAACCGAAGCGCCAGCACTACGCGCCTCTCGAAAACGCGACCTCTCACCAGACCCCTACGACATCCCCGAAGAGAATGAGACCCCGAAACGACGAAAGCGCTCGGAAGCCACAGTCGCCGTCGCGGCAGACGGGAGCGACGGGGATGAGAATGGCACCATTGAGGCGTCAAACCCCACGATTCAGCTGACACCCGCGAAACGACGAGGCCGCCCTCCAAAATCCGCGACCGCAGGAACGCCAAAGGCCCAAGCAACAACACCGAAGAGACGCGCACAGAAACCGCTTGCCGAGACCCCAATACGGCTCAATGGCACCGATACGCCTAGCAGACGGAACATCGCCGACAGATCGGCAAGGAGGAAAAGCGCCAGGGCCCTCATCGACCGAGTGATTGGAGGCGAGGTCAGCGACGATGAGGTAGAAGGAGGAGACATTGCTCGGGAGATCTACGAGTCGAGCGAGGAAGAGGATGAAGAAGTACAAGAGGAAGTGGCAGTGGGCGAGGGAGAAGGCGAGGAGGAAGAAGACGCACAGGAGCCAGAAACCCCCTCAAAAACACCAGGGCGAAAGCGGAGGACCACCACCCGCAAGCGATCACCAACTCCTCCACGCGACCTGCCACCGCACGAGCAATACTTCTACCAAAACAAACCCGGCCTAGCACGAACCTCCAACAACACGCTCTCCTCCCTCAACCTCCTCACCCACGACGAATACTTCACCATCATCCGCCAACTCAAAGACCCCCACGCGGCCAACGTCACATCCCTCGAGTCCTTCCACGCCGAGTCCTTCCCCCAATGGGCCTTCGAGCTCTCCCAGGGTTTCAGCACCTGCTTCTACGGCTACGGCTCCAAACGCCGTCTCCTCCACAACTTTGCAACCTACCTCGCCTCCCAGGACCCCCCCACCCAAAAAATCGTCATCATCAACGGCTACGTCCGAACACTCACCCAGCGGGACATCATCTCCACCCTGGCCTCTGCCCTCCCATCCTCCTCCTCCTCCTCCTCCTCCTCCGCACCCCGCCCAACAACCCTCCAATCCCTCCTCACCACCCTCTCCTCCCTCTCCCCCCCAACAATCACCCTAACAATCCTAATAAACTCCATCGACGCCCCCCCCCTCCGGCGCCCCGCCCTCCAATCCCTCCTCACCCACCTCGCCTCCCACCCTGCCATCCACCTCGCCTGCACAGCCGACACCCCCGATTTCCCCTTCCTCTGGGACGCCGCCCAACGCGCCTCCTTCAACCTTCTCTTCCACGACTGCACGACTTTCGCCACTCCAGCGCCCTGCGAACTAGATGTCGTGGATGAAGTGCACGAGTTGCTGGGTCGGAAAGCGAGACGGGTGGGCGGGAAGGAGGGCGTGGCGTTTGTGTTGAGGAGTTTGCCGGAGAATGCGAGGGCGCTGTTTCGGTTGTTGGTGGGGGAGGTTTTGGTTGCTGCTGAGGAGGGCCAGGGGGGAGGGGGACAACCTGGTGGTGGTGGAGGGGGGGATGAGGAGATGGCGGTGGACTATCGGATGGTGTATAATAAGGCGGTGGAGGAGTTTATTTGCAGTTCGGAGATGGCGTTTCGGACGTTGTTGAAGGAGTATGTTTTTTTTCCCACCCTCCCATGATTCACTTACCCTCTCATAATGTTTCATTCGAGCATGGATACTAACGCAAGAAACACAGATTCCACGACCACCAAATCATCACCAGCCACAAGGACTCGATCGGCACGGAACTGCTGAGCCTGCCGTTCCGTAGAGAGGAGTTGGAGTCTATTTTGGAGGAGTTGACAACATGATAGACGGCATTTCAGTATCTATAACCTATTATTTCGGTGAATAGCATGCATGGTTAGCGGGGTTCTCAAGAATAAAGAAATAAAATACTGGTAAATAATGACAAGATAGATTATATGGACTCTATTTTTGATCTGCTGAAATCCAATTGCCACACCGTTCGAAGGATCTAGTATTTGTTCATGTTCCCGACATTAATCAAGGCCCAGGCAGGAGCACGAATCTGGATTGGTGTTCGGCGTATAATGATATTGTTAGTCGGAAACGGTAGTCAGTTGAATCTTGGGCGACACATCACATGACAACATCACAATGCAGCAAACATAAAACAGTAAGTGGTTTTTTTCGGACTCCTCAGTAAGACTATGGTCTCGAGCCACGAAGAACCGAAGCCACTGCTCGAGATGTCGCTCGGTTCGATAAACCGAGGCCCTGCAAAAGCCTTGACCCATTGCGCACCCAATGTTTCCCTGTGCGCGTTTTGCCCGTCCTTCGCAGATCGCCGGCCGTTATGTTCCCAGTGTGCCAACGATGAGAGCCCAGAAGCAATTTTCCCCTCTTCCGGCCGTAATCATCAAAGGGGTATCATGCTCCATCAACCGCGCTCCCAGTCCTCAACTGCCGAAAAGATTACCAGCCCATCTCTCTCAAGCTCCTTCAGGAGTGCCTCCCGAAATCCTCCCTGGACCTGAGACCTCTTGGTCGAAGTCGAATCGCCGAATCGCCGAGTCGCCGGCTCGACCAGAGATGAAAGAACCGAGAAATCCACTTTTGTCTATGAGATGTGTCGTCAAAAGGAAAAAAAAAAAACGTGAGATGAAAGCTCAGAAAAGAGAAAAAATAAAAAAACAATGGAAAGAGCCTGCGGCGTGCCATGACCCCCCATTTCTATGTGAACGCATCGTGAGAGGCCCCCTCCGAAAAGCAGGCCGAGGGCAAGGAAACGTGACGATCGTGAGGGTTGATGAGGTCTAGTGTCCAGATCAGGTCAACCAGGCCTGCAATCCATGCCGGATCGCGGCATGCGCGGACAGCAGCAGAGGCGTCGTTGTTGACGTCCCGCAATTCTCTGGTCTAAGGGTATCAAGTCGTCGAATAGAGTCGTCCCGTCCCGGTGAACAGGAAAAAACCCTGGTCTATCGTCAAAGCCGTGGAGGCAAAGCTTTGGCATCAAAACCTGCCGTGGCCCCGTCGGAGATGTAAAAGCCGTAGTCGCCGCATTAGATATTCCGAAAGGTCCCAGGTCCGAGAGCTAGAGCCCCGGACGTAAAACCGAAAACAACGCGCGGCGTGTGTACGTAAAAACGATGCAGTACCATGAAGAAAGAAAGAACAAGGCGACGCGGAGGCCGAGTGCGGCATTGCGGCACTATCCTGGTGTATATTTTTACCACCAGGACTGGCCACCACCACCGCCGGGGTTGCCGTAACCGCCGCCGCCATAGCCACCATAACCACCGCCGCCGTAGCCGCCGCTGGGGGGAGGAGCACCACCGCCGTAGCCACCACCACCACCACCGCTGCCGAAGCCGCCACCGCCGCCGCCGCCGTGCTGGTTGCCGCCGAAGCCTCCGCCGAAGCCACCGCCGCCTCCACCACCGCCGTACTTGCGGAAATCGGTGTTACCGCCACGGCCACGACCGCGACCACCACCACCACGGCCACGGCCGCCGCCGCCGAAGGACGACTCACGAGCGATGGTCTCGAGGAACGAGGGAACCTCCTGGTTGGCCTCCTTGAGAAGGTCGACAAGCTCGCGGACAATACCGCGGTTGCCACGGTTGAAGAAGGCAGTAGCGATACCCGTGTTACCAGCACGACCGGTACGACCGATACGGTGGACATAGTCGTCCACATCGGTGGGGAGATCGTAGTTGATGACGTGAGTGACGTTGGGGATATCGAGACCACGAGCAGCGACAGCAGTGGCCACCAGAATGGGGCATTTGCCGCCGCGGAAGAGCTCGAGGGCGCGCTCACGCTCACGCTGGGTGCGGTCACCGTGAATCGAGGTGGCCGGGAACGTCTGGTTAATAAGGAAGTCCGACAGGGAGTCGGCCATGCGCTTGGTCTCCACGAATATAAGGGTCAGACCACCAGCGTGGGTGTGGAGGATGTCCAGAAGCACAGAGCGCTTGTCGATGTCCTCGACGTACTCGATCTTCTGGGTGATGTTCTCCGAGGTGGAACCCACACGGCCGACGGAAAGGAAGACGTAGTCGCTGAGGAAGTCCTGGGCGAGCATCTGGATGTCACGGGGGAAAGTGGCCGAAAACATGAGCGTCTGGCGCGAGCCGGCGGGGGGCATGTCCTCGCCCTGCACGATGCGGCGAATCTGGGGCTCGAAACCCATGTCCAACATGCGATCAGCCTCGTCGAGGACGAGATACTTGATGTTGCACAGCGAGATGCGACCACGCTCTATGAGGTCGACCAATCTGCCCGGAGTGGCAACAAGAAGATCACAGCCACGCTCAATCTGGCGGAGCTGCGAGCCGATGTCGGCACCACCATAGACGACGCAGGGGCGCACCCACGAACGGTAGGCGAACTTGCGGGCCTCATCGTAGATCTGAGACACCAGCTCACGAGTGGGAGCCAGGATCAAGGCAGTCGGGTACGCCTTGCGCTGACGGCCGTAGCCACCGCCGCCCTGGACGGGAGCAGGGGACGGGCCCTGGGTGAACGACTGGTGCATAATAGGGAACAAGAAACCGCCAGTCTTGCCGGAACCTGTTTGGGCGCAGGCCATGAGATCGCGGCCGTTGATGACAATGGGAATCGAGTACTTCTGGACCGGGGTGGGGATCTTGTAGCGAGCCAGCTCGATGTTGGACAGCAGGTGCTCGTCCAGCGGGGGGTTGCTGAAGGTCAGCACCGGCTCAGGCACATCGCGGCCAGAGGGCGTGACCGGAATGTCGTCGTACTTCTCGAAGTTGATACCGGTATGCTGCTTGCTCGGGTCGTCGGGGGTGCCGAAGAGATCACGCTCCATGCGAGGGTCGCTGGGGCCAATGACGTGCTTGCCGTCGACCCAGCGACCTTCGCCGCGACCAACAGGGCCACCACCACCACCGCCCATGCCACCACCGCCGCCTTGAGGGCCACGGTAAGCGCCGCGGTTAAAGCCGCCCTGGCGACCGCCGCCACCGCCCCAAGACTGGTTCGGGCCGTCGTAACCGCCGCCGCCGCCTCCAGCGCCCCAGTTACCACCACCACCGGCGCGGGCGTCGAAGTTGTTGTTGCTAGTTACGAGTTAGAACCAAGCTGACGATACAGGGCACTTAAATATGCCCAATATGAGGAACGAGGAATGAGGAACGCATGTGTAACTTACCCAGCCCAAGCGCTGCTGTTGAGACCACCCATGGGGCTGCCGGGACCACCGGGACCACCAGGACCACCGGGGCCGCCGGAGCCGGGAGGAGAGCTCAAGGGAGGAGAGTTGACCGGGCTGCTACCGGCCCCCATCTTGTTACGCATGTGGGGCGGGATGTAAGAGCGGGCAGGAGGCTGCTGGTTGCCCTGCGGGGCCGAGTCGAGGGACAAATTGCCCATGGTACCGTTGAGTTGGTCCGCCATGATTGTTGTTGATGAACGATCGGTGAAAAACGGCGTTGGTTGGTTCTTGTCTTCGTTTTTGTTTTGTTGGCTCGAAATCAATCGAAATCGGTCGAAATTTCTTCTCAACTCTCGAAAAGAACGCGGGGTTCAAATGAGAGTGGGTCGGAAAAAAAGTCGGGAGACTTGGGAAGGAAAGAACGGAGAAAGAACTGATGGGGACGCGAGGAGAATTTCAGAAATTCGTCTCGCACACGCGTTCCACGGTTGGAATGGCCGAAAACTCGGGTTTCGGAGCTGGCCTCGGATAACGTAAATCAGGGAGCGTGTTTCCTGCGATCCTTCAAAGAACCCGAAATGCAGATTCTCAAAAGGAAAAAGGAAAGACGAGTGATGAAAAAGGGAAATGCGGTTCGGATGTGGGTTGGATTCAAGAATCCTGGGATGTGTGGGAAGAAGAGGAAGATTTTTTGGGAGGGAGAATCGAGGCGGGAGGACCAGAAAAAGAGTTTTGGATCGGGGTGTCGGGTCCCCACTTTTACTGACAGTTTTGGCAAGGCGAAGTTGAAGAGGCCAAGAACAACAGTGCAAGGATCCAGGTGGCACACTGGGAGACTGGGTCTGGGGCATTGGCCACCCACGCTTTCTTTCCTTGCCTGATGCTGGTCAAGCCCCCAAGCCCACGAAACTTTTTGGTGGGGCAACGACGATGTGATGGCGAAAAAGAGATGTTGCTGTTGCGTGCCGCGGGTTTCCATCGAATTCAGCGGGAGTATTTATCATTATTTTCTAATTCTCGAGTCTTTAACTAACCATGATGACGAGTCAAAATTCGAGTGGAAATTCCAAAACCCGTTCTTCCATCCCACCTACGAATACTACCTAGCAAGAACCATAGACTCAGCAAGTGAAAATAACTCGCACAGTACGGTATCCGTCTCAGACCGTCGGAGGCGAGATCCAGGATTTTGATCTCAGTGCATCTACCCGGCTACCAGGATCGAAAGAACAAGCAAGCGAGGCAAATCTGATCTCACACGTGGCGCCTGACGATTCTTTGAAACAGAACCTCCCTAGTCGACCATGAGAGACTTTTCTGAATCGAAAGCTGGGTAGGTTGCCTCACCGCGCCGGCTGCCCCGCTGTTTCCTTCCTCTTGGTCTTTCATTCATCCACGTGCCAATTCTGCCAGTATAAACGTTTTTTTCTCTCATCGTACGCTCCATGCTATCAACCGTAAGACGAATAATGAGCTGAAAATATTCCCTTCTTTTCCTCCTATAGTCAACAGCCATCATAAGATAGCCTGATTGCTCCGGTGGTCCCGACAAGCACATGCACCTCATGCATGGGAAAACAAGACGGATACATGGCAACAAAGGGGCTGTCAGCTCACCGCCTCACAAGGCTTCCGTTCCCGCATTTGATGGATGGGGGAAAGGGGGGCCGCAACAACGCAGACAGCCAACCCAATCTCGTGTCTTGATAGTTAGACGCCAACCCGGCACCAACCGACAGACAGTTCTCAATTTTGGAACCAACGGTTGGATTGATAGTTGGCCCCCATCGGAAGTGCCAACAACAAAGAAAGCACACACAAAAGGTGGCAAAGAACTGCTGTTGGAAAACTGTTTGCGGCTCCAAGCCCTTCTACTGTGTACCGCTGCCCGTCCGTTGCATCTTCGGTAGTGCTCCTGCGGGATGGACCGCTGGGTGGTCAGAACCCCCCGCCCCCCTGTCGAAGAAATTCCTCAACGGAGGGGCTGAACAGAAGAGGTCCCCCATGCCGCATGCGGTTAGAACCCCCGCAACATGTCGTTCGATCCGACAGGTTTCCACCCGCGTCATGAACGAAATGACGGTGACGGGAGTGCTGTGAGGTAGGGTTAGGAGTGTATGTTTACGAGTCTCCAACGTCATGTCAGAGACGCACATCGAAACGGCGCACGTGAGCGCTTTTCATTGCTGATTACGCTGCTAGTTACACCTGGTATGGCTCTTTAGAACCGCCAAGCCAGATACCAGGTTCTGTGCTCAGCCTTCCAGGGGGTTGAATTTGGGGCCGGCCGAGTAGGGATGTCTTCCATCGTGGATTTAAAGAATGTTGGCAATCACGAGCGTGTGGTTTTTTATTCTGTCTTTTTGCCCTATTTGTGAGCAGTCCGGGGTAATACAGTGCTGCGAAGCAAGTATGATCGGCTATTGGTGCAACCGGTGGGTGTCACCGATCAGGAGTTGAAACCGGGACAATAGGCCTCAACGGACGTATCACGGTCCAAACCGAGGGCGCAATGGGGAAAACCATCAGTCGTCGAGCAAGCGCCTTGTAACCGGGTATTATACACAACTTTATTTAGCCCCACTCTCCACTGCTGCTCAGACGCTCAAGGGGTCTTGACTACCCTGTTATCATCAAATGGGACGTTCTTGATCCCCTCCTTAGTCACCACCTTCACTACTAGCCCCTTGAAATCTATCGGTAACCTCCTCTTCAATTCGTCGGCGCAAAGGGTGAGAAGCTCCAAGCCTCGCTCGAAGGGGATGTCGGGGTGATGGTGTTTGTCCAGGAGGGAAAGGCAGTAGTACCTGCAGCAAGCATTAGGGATCATCATCTTCTGTGTGTTGGGAGTTCTGAGTCTGCAGAAACATACTGAGCATAACCATGCGCCGCATATGGAACGGCAGCCAGCGACGCGAGGTAGTCCAGCCAGTACAGGCTGGGCTTGTCTGTGATGGGGTCAACACCCCCAAGGAGGAGGTTGACGTTGTAAGGCTTCCGGGACCGGAGGCTAGATGCTAGCTCGCCGCGCACAAAGTGTGCTAGAGCTGAGGGTGACAAATCTGTCTCATTGCGCATCGAGTAGAGCTGGGCGTTGGCCTGGATGTATTCCGCAAACTGGACTGTCAAAGAGGGGAAAGATATTAGCGAGGGTCGGCGAGTGCGTTGCTGCTTCTCCATAGCCACCAACCTGTGTCGCCGGCCTCCCCAGAGTATGCCATCAACGTGTGCTCATTTAGCCGGCTCGTCTTGTCGTCGGATGCCTTCAAGATGGTCGGCCCGCGCATCGCGGCCTTGGACGCCGCAATTATGACAAAGTCCTTGCCACTGATACCGAGAAGAACCTCCCTGACAGACTAGTTAGCTAGAAGCTTCAGAGCCGCAAATTAACTGGGTGTCTTACATGTTGGCGTAGTGTTAGTTCCGAAAAGTGGTTGTTGTTGCTGTTGTGATTTCGGTAGGTAGCTTCCCTCGACTCGGCTTTCCAACACGATGGAGCTCGGGCAGGCAGGAGGGAACGCGCACTTGGAGCTTCAGCCTGAGTGCACGGACACCACCCCGCCAAAGGGCCAGGCTTCGAAAGCCCCACCATTTGGCTGCTTCAGCCTCAGCCCACCTTGACCGTTTGGGGCTGAATGTGGCTCTGTGGCTTCAGGTCGAGAGGTCCACTCACGGGCGTCGGTCGCATCGGGGTCTTGCTCCACCGATGCAAGGCAACTTTTTTTTCTAAGAGACCCGCTCAGAAATTTTGAGAGCAGGACCAGGCGAAAGGCGATCCCAAAAAAAAGTTGCACACGACGGCTTCGACAGCCAGCACTACGGGCTGCAACCGCCATCATGTCATCTTTTTTTACAGCCCCGAGCGCCCAAAAGAAGAGGAAACGTACTGTGGCAACAGAAGCACCAAAAAAGAGATTGGCAACGTCGAAAGCCTCATCGAAACCACCAAGTCGCGGCCCCGCCAAACCTCCGGCCGCGCCCAAGAAGAAAGCAATTGAACGCGACGAATCCATATCGGGCAGCGACATCGACAGCGACGAGAGCGACGATGACGTCCGGAACGGGACCGACTCCGAGGGAGGCTCAGACGAGTCTGGAGACGAAGGAGAGACTGCCGCGGAGAAGCGATTGAGGTTAGCACAGCGCTACCTCGAGAAGACCAAGAAGGAGGTGGAATTGGAGGACGAATATGCCTTCGACGCGGAGGAAATCGACCGAGATCTCCTCGCGGAGCGATTACAAGAGGACGTAGCCGAATCTAAAGGCAAAGTTTACCGGCGGCTGGCGGCCGAACTGAATTTTGAGGGGGCATCTCACACTCAATTCCGGTGGAACTCCGGGTCGGTAACCTCAGTGGCCGTGTGTGCTCCATACGCCTACACCACGACAAAGGACGGTTATCTCACAAAATGGAGGTTGCAAGACCTACCAAAGGATCAATGGCCACAGACAACACGGAAGAAGCCCAAGAAGCCTCCTGCGCCGCCCAAGCGGAGACCGGAACGGATATGCTTTGCCAAAGCCAACCCAAGCAAAAGCAAAGACAAGACCTATCAAGGCCACACCGGGGCTCCCATCACCGTCAAGGCGTCCCAAGACGGCAAGTTCGTCGTCACAGGCGGCGTCGACCGCCGTATGGTGGTCTACAACGCAGACGACCTCAAGCCCATCCGCGCCTTCACCCAACACCGCGACGCCGTGACAGGCCTCGCCTTCCGCCGAGGCACCAACCAAATCTTCTCCTGCTCCAAAGACCGCACCGTCAAGGTGTGGTCACTCGACGAACTCGCTTACGTCGAGACCCTCTTCGGCCACCAAGATGAGATCCTCGACGTCGACGCCCTCGCCCAGGAACGCTGCGTCAGCGTCGGCGCGCGCGACCGCACCGCGCGTTACTGGAAAGTACCCGAGGAGTCCCAGCTCGTCTTCCGCGGCGGCGCAGGTGAAGGCAAAAAGACCAGGGTCCCCGCCGGCCTCGATCCGGCCTCGGCCGCCCATGAGGGCAGCATGGACCGCGTGGCCATGCTCGACGACGAGATTTTTGTCACCGGCAGCGACAACGGCGATCTCGCGCTGTGGAGTATCCAGCGCAAGAAAGCCCTGCACGTGGTCCCGCGTGCCCACGGCATCGAGCCCCCCTTGCGGCCGTCCCAGTCCTCCGCCGACGAGACCCCCGACCCGAGCGTCGTGCCTGCGCCACAGCCGCGCGGCATCACTGCCCTGCGGACGATCCCGTACTCCGACGTTATTCTCAGCGGGAGCTGGGATGGGTGCGTACGGGTGTGGCGGCTGAGCGAGGACAAACGGAAGATTGAGGTTGTTGGCGTATTGGGCGGACCATCCCCCTCGACACCACCACCGGCCTCGAGCTCGAAACCCAACGGGATACTAAAACCCACAGCAAACGACCATGGCGACGACGCACAGGGGGCGAACCAGGATATCGTCCGCGGCATCGTCAACGACATCGCCATGTTCGAGCGGGGCGAGCGTGGTCGGGACGGGCTTTGCGTGGTGGCGGTGACAGGCAAGGAGATGCGGCTAGGGCGGTGGAAGAGCGTGAAGGAAGGGCGGTGTGGTGCGGTCATCTTTGAGGTGCCCAAGGTACTGCTGTCGAAGAAGCAGGGCAATGATGAGGAGGAGGGGGATGAGGAAGAGGAGTCAAGTTAGACAGGGAAGGGGTATGCATAATTGAAGCGTTGTGATCAAAACCGTACGATGTGGAAGGTTTATGTTATTGCTATTGTAGTCAATACCCGAGGGCGGATGGGCAAGATAGAGAACAGCATTTATCAGTTCTCATGAAAAGAAGGCTGTCAAATCAAAATATCTCCTGCGAAAGCTGGTGGGAGTGTTCTTTCACCATAGATTCCCAATAACCATTACCACCCCATTATCACTTCATATGCACGCACACCAACACGCCCTTGTTCTCTCCCTCCTTCCCTCACACACAAATGAATAGCCACAAAACACTGTCTTACAACCTTTAATCAGATTCTCTATTCTTCTTCCCCCTTGAAAATACACACTTGACGCCGATGCTAAAAAGGCTACAGTCTACCCGCAATCCATGCATGCATAAAATGCATACTAACTAACGTTACTCACGAATAACGTTAACCACCCGCAAACTTAGCAATGCTCCGTCAACAAGAACACCTTTGCCTTCTCCCTAGACAGGTCATCACACTTCATTTCATCCATGCATCCACGCACCCTTCATGTCTTGTCAAGTTGCCGAGTCTAGAAACTTCACCCATTGCGCCAGGCATGACTCGCATAAAAGAATAGGAGAAAATCAAAAGCCAGCTTTAGCAAAGCGCAAGTGCAAGTTGCAAAGTGAGAAAATCATCGAAATTTGTATGTGCCTGGTTCGTGTGAATGGGGGCTCGCTAGGCTGGGCTCAACTCGAGAAAAAAGGAAAACAGAATGAAAGAAAAGTAATGCAGCTAGAAAGGGGGAAAAGGGAAGGGGGCAGAAAATGACCCGTCCAAGTATCCCACCGGCAGAAGGTAGGGAGCAAGCAAAACCGCCTGTGACCACCGGACCTAGCCAGACCGGACTAGACCAGATCAGACTTGTCCGGCTGTCCTAGGTCTCGGAAACGTCAACCTCCCTTTCAAAGCATCAAAACCGCTTGTATGTTTTCCATCCACCCATTGTCCCGCACTCCATGACTCCATGAATAAACGTCCCAACCGGCCCATCCGAAAAAAGAAATTAGCCATTTCTTGAACCCGTTCGAGCAAAAAGCAGCCCGAAAATGAACCCCATGCATGTAACACCGAAACAAACTCCCCGACCACCCACCAGTGAGTCAATCGACCAACTGTCCTGTCATTCACCATCGACCTCAATCGGGGAGTCATCCCTCAAAACCTCGGCCCTCACGACCTCAGCCGTCTCCACCACCGCATCCAAATCATCCTCCGTAGCAGCAGCAGGACGATCGGGCGGACTCGGAGTGGGAGTAAAAGTAATCTTCTGATAAACGACGGTCCCATCGTCATTGTCGTCGTAAAGAAGGCCATCACTAAGCTCCTCATCATCATCAATATCATCGACGACAAACCGGCCCGTGGTGTGCTGCTGTTGATGACTCTGCGGCTCTTGTCCCCGCGGTGTCTGTGCTTGTGCCTGCGTCTGTCCCAACCCACGCTTCCCATGGCTCGAAGAAGATTTCTTCGCACTCAGCCTCTCCCGCGCCCGCGCCCTGACTTCATCCTGCATCTGGGCATGCTTCTGCGCTGGCGTCTGCTGGACAGGGTGATTCTGATTCTGCTTCTGCTGCTGCGCATACGTCGACGGAGTTTTGATCAGGCTCTCGGCGTAACTGCGATTCTTAGTCCGAACCGGACCGGGTGTCCGCGACGGGGGTTGTTGTTGCGGCCGGGAATGTGACTGCGGCTGGGCCTGCTGGTGGGCTCGGCGAGTGGCTGCGGAGGGCGTGTTCGTCGCTGCGACGGGTGGGGAGTAGTCGTTGTGCTTGGACCGGAACGACGACGATGACTTTGGACGGGCGGAGGGTCCAGCGGTGCGGGAAGCTGCGTAGAACGAGCTTGGCTGCGCGCCGATGCCAGGCTTCATTTTGCCGGGGTCATAGGCAGCAGAGGCCCGCTCCAAAGGTGACGGTGATGACGAGACGGGGAGCTGGCCGATGAACTGGGGTGTGTCATCGTCGTCATCATCATCATCGTGGTCATGGCCATTCCTGTTCTTGTCCTTCAGCGACAGGTAGCCCTTGGTGTAGTCCATATCCTGCGAGATATAGACAGTTTGAGGGCGCTTGGATATCGATCGAAGCTCAACGATCTCAGGAGACTTTGCAAAGGGGAGGGCGGCCTTTGAAGCGGCCAAGGGCCGGGAATTTTCAACCTCCTTAGAGGGGAGTGGGGTCTCTGGATCGGGAAGTTCACCCCTGTGCCGGGGCCGTGGAGAATTCGGCGACGGGTGGGCAGAGACCGAGGCCGGCACGGAAGGCAGTGATTTCCCCTTGCCATCCTGTGGCATGCCCGGCTGCGCCGATGTGGAATCAGGCCCATTCATGCCAACGCCATTTGAGCCCTTGGAAGGGCCAACAGCTGGCTGTGGCTGGCTCGGTCCTGTCTCCGGCTTTGGCGTTTGGCTCACTTCTGTGGTTCGTGGCCTCTTTTTCTTTGCCCTCAGCCGGAGCTGCTCTTTCTGGTACTCCTGCTGCTCCCGGAGAATAATGTCACGCCATGTAATGCGTAGCCCGGAGGGGTTGAAATCCCATTCGAGCTTCTCCCGCTTGAGAAGCTCCCGGACAAAGCCGTCTGGATTCCTAAGAAACTCGTGGATATATCCGAGAAGATAAACGCCACAGTCACACAAGTTGTTCTGGACTGGGATGTTCACGGCCTTCATCCCGATCTGTTGTGGTATGTCGGTGATCACCTTGTTGCGCTTGTCTTCAAACTCGGCAAGAAGGTACTTCTTAAGGTGACCCACAGCGAGAGGATGGGCTGACCCCAAGGAGTCAAGGGTAATGATCCTGGGGTCTTTGGGATCATAGATCCTCGGCGGCGGCCCTTTGCTCTTCCTCGACTTCTTAGATCGAGCTCGTGAAGGGGAGCTGCCGACGTTGTTGCCGATATCGTTGGTGTCAGCAACTAAATCAATGAGATCCGACTTGACCATAGGCGGGAGGTCATCGGGTCCGGGAGACTGCCGTGATTGGGAGGACCGGGGCTCCGGAGCGTCAGGCATTTCCACATCATCAGAGGCCGGCAGTTCTTTGGGGCCCTTGGTGGCTGTGGGGGATCCGTCGCTCTTGTCGGCGTCCTTTCTGACATCCGGGTCTAGCCTTCCCGGGTTACAGATGATGGCCACCCACCAGTGGTAGTTCTCATTGACAGGGACGACAATGAAATCGTAGGATAGCAAATCCACCTTTGCTGTCCAGTTCTTCACACCATCATAGTTGATCTCACCCCTTGGTGCCTTGAGTTTCTCGTAAAAGAACGAGTTGTGCATGTAGACACGCTTGGGCAGATCGGCATCGTCCCGAGATAAAGCCTCGATGGTGTATCGTAGGCCATATCCGATGATGTTGTCGTTCAGGCACTCCCCTTCATCCAGTCTGGGAATGTCGTCTTTATCCACAGTCGTGCGCCGCACCATCAGCGGCATCTTCCAGTCGGTCGCCCAATCACGGTTTGCGTACGACCAGCGGTAGTGCGGCCGAGAATTTGGAGCGGGTTCCTCGACATCCGCATTTCCAGCGGCGCGCTGGGTCGACCTCAAAGACCGTGACCCCCGGGTGGGCTCTTGCACAGGGCCGCCCTTGGCATCATTGCCTTGGGCAAGGGGGTCCGTTGAATTGTTGGGTGAAACCTGCATCTGCTGCCGAATGGGGGTTCGAGAGACTGTTGCCACAGCGCCTTGCCGATTCTCCCTTTCTTCAGTGACCTCGCTCTCGGACTGGAGGTTTCTCCTTTGGTTAGCACTTATAGCCTCGGGTGAATTGTGCGCCCGTTGTTCCAACGCCGCCCTGAACTCGGGATACCTGTCGGTAACGGTCTTAAGCGCCCTCGACCAGATATCGCATAATTTTTCCCTAGATCATGTTAACACGGAAGTCGCAACGTCTTTATATGGACAGGGGGTCGTTAGTACCTTGACATCTCAACCACTTTGGTCAATGGGAGATGTTCCTGTGCCCAGTTGGCAACCATCATGGCCCCCGAGGTCTCGGTGAATTTGATAACCATGCCACCTCTAATCATTCCCCCGTTCTCCGCTGCTGAAAAGACCCTCACAACGTCACACTGTGGGTTGTACGCCAAACTTTTTGCTTTTTCCGTGATCTTAAGCCAATCGTACCTCTCGGTCGATTCGCCAGAGATCTCGCGAACCCTGAGCTCCCCAGCCCCGGTTTTGTGAAGACGATATTGTTTGCTGTCACTGGGGAGTGGGCAATGGTAGTATGGTTCACACACAGCGCCATAGATCACAGCGCCAGTACTGTCAGCTACGGTGACCTTCTTTGCGCTTGATGGTTTCTGTTTCTGGTCCTCGGTAACAGATCCACCAGTGGGATCACCCTCATCACCCTCATCACCGTCGACCTCAATCATCTCATCCTTCTGATCGTTGGCACTGATCGCTGACCGTTTGTTGGCGCGGTTGGTAGAGTTCCGGAAACGATTGGCAGATGGTCGGGTGGCTCCCCGAAGGATGTGGGCATCGGCTGGGTCAGAAATCGATATGTCTGATGTTGTTCTGCCTGTGGCAACCAGACGAGCGGTCCGCTGCCGATCTTTAGAGGGCCTCGGTGCCGGTGCCAACTCATCAAAGCTCTCAATATCCTCCTCCGGTTGACGAGATGGTCCTGGTCCAGTTTCGGAGCCGGTTGCCGCTAAAGAAGTGGCTGGTTTCGGGCGGCGGCTGCGGCGGTTAGAACGGCCAGCACCCTTTCCGGCTGCCTCAACGGTCTGGTACTCGGGAATTCCAGGAGACACAGAGTGCGCCAAGCTTGCCTGGCTGCCTTGAGGCTCCCTCCATGATGCCTGGTCGTGTTCGATCTCGGATATTTCTTCATCTGGGCCTCGGGCTGAATGGTCGGTGAGAGTTTTTCGGCGTTTCGAAGGGGAAGGGCCGTCACGAGGTCGGGACTCATTCGTTTGAAGCGCGATGGGAGGACATCCTCGATTTGAGTCGAGGGTGTTCACGTGCGTTTGGGGCCTGAACCGATTCTACTAAATGTCAGCAACGCGACTCGACTCTACCAGTTCGCAGGGGGAAACTCACAAGAATACTGGAAACCCCTTTTATTGCGCCCATGGCTTTTGACGCTGCGCCAGGGGACTAAAGTCCTCAGTCCCCGCGATGCCGTGAGAATTGTGCCGGGGTGCCCCGGTGTTGCGCCGAGACGTGGTCAGAGGAGAGTTAGGGTTGGTCGCTCGAAAATCGCACGCTTTCGGGTTCTGCACATTCTGAGGATTTGGCGGCGGAGCGGGGTTCGGCTTTTTGGAGCGGAAGGAGAAGGTGCGCGTTGACTTGAAAGAAGTTTTGTTCAGTTCGGATCGTTGAACGAGGGTGCCGGTGGGTCTGGGGAAGGCATTTCAGTTTTTTGGTGGAGCCTCCGATGGGAAAGTGATGGGATAAAAGCGGGTGTCCGCATACTAGACACAGTTCACAAAGAGTGTCGACCTAGTGATTTGCGGTGACTCTTTTGTTCTCTGTTCGCGGCATCCCCGGGTGCGCAAACGGCAGTAACGAAAACGAAGCGTCGTTGTTCCTATCGTCAAACGACAAAAGTGGGTGAATGCGTCCACTGGCTACACGGGTGTCACGAGGCTGCAACCACAGGCCCCAGGACTGCGGTACCTCCCAGGATTGGGCCACCAACTCCAGGTTCCAGGTGCCACCCACAGGTGGATCACGGCCAGCCTAGGCTGCTGTGGGCCAGCCGGCTTCCCGTTTACAACTGTGGGTCCCAAACCGGAAGGAACCAACCTTCACGTACATAGCAAAAGGCACAAAGGAAAAAAATGCGTGCTTCCTTCCTCTTGAGCCATTTCCACATCTTTCTGGGGCCAGTGATTGTTCCGAATAAAAATTTGCGTTCCCAGGTGATAACATTTTTCCGCCCAGTGTGTTCTGCTACTGTCTTCTGAGAATTCTTGCCCACGCAACAAGTAGAATAAAAACATCTAACAGATACATTTTTGAAGTCCGTAGAACACAATTAACCACCCGTCCAATGCCATGCCCCGCTTGTAGTTAATGCCGCGCCATGTGCGTTGGCCATTGTAAAATGCTCTACGTTATGCCACGGCGGCTTCTAATAGGTCTGTTTGGAAACACAGAGTGATGCCGAGTTTCTTCCTAACATGGTACTTTATATTAACACCTTATAGATATACTTAGGAGCTCGCTATCCAGGCATGTTAACACCCTTGGATATCTATCGTTATTGAGAAGATAGAGAGAAGATAGAGAAATATAATCTTTTGTCAAAATCAAAACAACATTGAAAATACTATGAGCAATATAGCTGGCAATGTGAATAACAATGTGGTTGACAGCAAAATGGACAAGTGGGGCTACCTCAACTCCAAAGAGCTGGTTACCACAGTCCTTCTCCTTTGACACAGCAACACGCCGAGTACCAACCTCCCGGCAGCCCAAGTCTTAAGTTCCATCGACTAGATTCCAATCCAACCCTCATTAATATGACCAAACAAAGCCATACCGAGCGAACAGCTCATGAGCCCCGCGATGCAGTTTGTTTTCCCCCCTCACATCTCAATGGTTGACCTCATACATCATCTAACTCGATTCATAGACCCTCCACACTGTCACAATCTCAAAGATAACCCAAGTCTCTCCCACAATCCGTCTCTTCCGTTTTGATCTCGCAGAAAATGATAGCATAACCGTGAGCGGCCCTTTTTTTATCCCCCCCTTCCCCCCCCCAAAAAAAACAGAAAAAAAAACAACAACACAAAACTGAAACCCGTTTTAGTTCCTCCCCGGTCAATGGGTCGACCTCCACCTCCCCCCAGAAACCAACATCACCAAAGCAGGCGGCTTCACCATCACCTCGTCCCCAAACCTCGCCCTATCCAATCAACCTTACCTCGCAACTCAAGACCAAGACCCCAACCACCCAACAACAGCAACACCAACCGCAACTACAGCCCCAACAACCCCCTACATAGAACTAGCAATCCAATCCTCCCCCCAAAACCCCACCGCCGCCTACCTCTTCTCTCCCGCTTCGACCCTCTTGCACACTCCCGTTCAAGTCCGCGTCGGCGGGCGCTTTGTCTTTCCCCCACCCTCCCTACTACCCCTGAGGGCCGCGACCTCGATATCAACCTCAAATTCAGCAGCCTCGGCACACCATTCCCCACCCTCCCACCTCCGCAAACTCGTCCTAGTCGCCGGCGGAATGGGTATCAACCCGTTAATAAGCATACTCAGTTCAATAAACGAGCAGCAGGGCGTGCAGCAGGCCAAGGATGTGAGAGCTGACAAACACCGGGTGGAAGTGGAAGTGGAAGTGGAAGTGGAAGTGGAAGAAGTAAGGGTTTTATACAGCGTGAAAGATCCTCGATTAAGCACTCCAGCCCCCAGCCCACAAGGTGAGGAAAATCCGGGGGTGATCAATACCGGGGATGTTCTTTTCCTGGATCGGATTGCGGCTGTGTTTGGTAGCGGACGGGTGAAGGGTGGGGTACGGCTTTTTGTGACGGGGTCCGGAGAAGATGCTACTGCTTCTGCCACAGGGAGTCAGAAGGGGGAAGTTGAGTTGACTGCCGGTGGTAATTATAAGATACCCCTCTTAAGACGCAGGATGACAGTACAGGACGTGGAAGAAGCGGTGGGGGAGGAGGATAAAGAGGACGCGGTGGTATACGTATGTGGTGTTCCGACGATGACGGATGAATTTGTGGAGGCGTTGGTGGCGCGAGATGGGTTTGGTATGGACCCGGAGAGGGTGTCATTTGAGAAGTGGTGGTAGGTCTGAACCAAGCCGTTTGATGGCGGACAATCTAGTGGTGGACGAAGGAAGTGAAAAATTCAAGGTTCAATTGCTTTTTGATCTATTGAGCTCCATGCAACAAACTACGCCAAACATGGCCCTGTACTAAACTAAGGGCAAAAACCAGGAACCGCAAATCCTTTCTCTATCCCTTAACGCCACTGTAGCCAGTTGTTCCGGTCTAAAAGTAATAAACGTCTCCGTGTATTCTAGCTCCTATCTCCAGTTCCGCACCGCCCGCTGGACGATGCTGCCGTGGCTTGGCCCCTCGCTGTCTCCTCCGCGTTCTCCACGACCACCAGGCGGCGATCTGGTCGGCGAGCCGCTGGTCCGGTTCTTCTTCCTACGAAATCCAGAAAACAACGACCTACGATGGCTCCTGTTACCCGCTTCAGCAGTCGCGGTATTACCCTCGGGACAGGAATTCTCGTCGTGGCTTTCACCATCCCGCGCTCTCATACCGCTGGAACGCTCGGGCGTGAACGACGAGTGTTCCTCAGCCTCCACAAGAGTGGGCGCGGCAGACGTCGAGCCTGCCGATCCAACAAGGGTGGGGTCGGAGCCACAGGCGCCCGGATGCAATGCCTTGCCCTCTTCCCCTTTGTCCAGACTAGCGGCTTGTTTAGGCGATGCCAGGAGTGCCATTCCACGTTCGAGTCCACTGCCGGTCATGGGTAAGTAGCGTCGAGGAGAGATCCTTCGCACACGGAGGGTATCGTCTGGTGAGCCAATCGGGGATGTCTCGTAATCTGACTCGGAGGACTCGACTGCCTCAGGTTTGTCATTGCCATGAACACGGGCAATGACGGGGCTTGTGCGTGGGATCTGTACGATTTGCGCAACTCCGAGCTCTGTTTCCTCGGGGTTGAAACTCTCACCTTCGACCCATTCTCTGAGCGAAGCGGCGATGGATACGGCCCGCGACCTAACAGACGAAGCAGAGGATCGCCTTGATAGTTGGATAGGGTCATCCCCAGGTAGTTCTGGCAAAGGCCGCCGAGAATACGGTTCCATCTGCCCGTCACGGGCGGCCTTGCTAGGCTGAGGGATAGCAACGTTGGGTAGGGTGGCGGTAAAGAGCTCCGGTGGGCTTTTGAGGGAGTAGTTGTTGGTATCCTCGTCCTCACGGTTCTCGTTCTCGTCCGGCTTCTCTTTGCAGTCATGGAAGACAGCGCCGTCCGAACTGGTGTTGTCTGACCCAGACGACTGTCCTCCCGACTCTTTTGTATCTACCGGCTCCTTTCTCACAAGACCGGGCGTATGCTTAGCGGCGAATGCCCGGACGGCCTTCGGGGAGGCGGTGCAGAGAAGCTCCAATTCTTTCGTCGGGATGAGGTTCAGATCCTGTAGGTTCTTCAACGAGCGATAATGGAACCGAAACGTGACAAACGGAGCGTCTTTGGGGTCCACGAGAACCCAATCGTAAAAGTGCGCCTCTTGTGGGCGCGGTAAAAGTCCCATGCTGGGTTCACTACCAGGCCGAGTCAGACCACGAGAGTGTTTGGTGGTGGGTAGGACAGGAACGGAAGGGGACTCACGCGATTCCATAGTTCTCGCGGTGTCGGTATTCCTCCAACTTCGGCGTACGAACGATGCGATTCTTTGCGCGAAAGACTTGGACCTCGATGACGCCGCCGTCCTCGGCCACGGACCGGCGCTCTAAACCGGGGAGGAAAACAAAGGTTCGGCATTCGATCTTGTCAGAATCAGCCCCTTGATCGCTGTACCAACTGCTGCACCGGGCGCTGGGCGCCCAGAAGGACCTGACTACCTTGCCATGTGTTTGAACTCCCGGATCGATGCCCCACGAGGCGATGGGACGGGCATTGACGTACAGCCGAAAGAAGATGTATTTACACGGTTCCGGCGGCGTCGAGTTGATGTTGTAGTTCAGAGCAAATTGGGTTTCTGGGGATGATTGTTAGTAGTTGTATTGTAAGTGGTCGTTGGGTTTTTCGAGAGAGCCCATGTTCAAAACAAGCGCAGAGCATAAAACTGACCAGGGACGGAGGGGATGTAGACTGAGACCGTCGGCCCGGCCCTAAGCTTCAAGCCTCCTCCATTGCACTGCTTTGCGCTAGCCTCGAGTAGTTGCGCCGATACGCCTTCTGGATGGGGATACTCGGGGATCGGTTCGTTCTTCGGTTTCGTGCTCAAAGACACTTCGATCCCACGAAGATACGGCATAATGTCTTCAGATCGGAACGCGCAAGCCAAAATGCGGTCTTAAAGAGCCAACGGCGGGCCTAGGATCAAACCAATGAATTGAGTGCCCAAAAATAAAAGAAGGGGAATGTTGAAGACAAGGGAGTTGGAGGTGGTTCCGAGAACACTACTGGCACATGAACAAAAAAGAGTGCACAGTAGGTGTGTAAGTTTATCGCAAGCAGAAGGATGGTCCGTTCCTGCCTTCCGCGACCAGGAGTAGCTGTAAGAGGGACATGCCCGTTAGAACATACCAGTGCCCCGGGGGACACTCCCGTGACGTTCACTGATTGAGACGAAACCTAGACATCATTCACCAATTTCCAAAATGCACAGATCTGAAACCCGCATTGCTTGCTCAGAAAAAAAAACCATGGCTGGTAGGTCATTCAATCCACCCTCCGCACATAGCCCGGTCGGCAACGGAGACCACCCCATCGTAGTAGTAGAAAATCGGATATACACAGAGAATCGGTCGATCGGATTTATCGTCGGCCCCCTTTTTCGCCCTCTAGCTCCCCAGCACCTTCTTTGTGTCCTCCTCCTTGTCGAGTAGTCCCAGATTCCGTATTTGCCCCGCGCTCGGTGGGTTCTCCTGTAGTTTCTTGGCCTCGGCCTGGCGGTATGCGGCTTGCAGCAGCTTCACTCGGGCAGCCTGTAACAGCAAATCCATATCATGTTAGTATGGGTCGTTCGTCATGTTGTTTCCATCGGGCTTGTTCGATGGGTATCTCGCATGCGGGGAGAGTGGGGGAGAGAGGGGATTGAACGCGCCTCTTTCCGGTGGTGGAGACATTCGTAGTAGTCTTCGAGGGCGGGGGCGCACTGCTTCTTGCCTGTGCCGTCATCGTCGGTGGCGTTGATCACATAGCATGAGAGCAGCTCCTGCCAGAAGGGAAAGCAGCGGGACGGGCCTGGGATGGAGCGGTTAGTTTGTTTAACGGCTTGAGAGGGGATGGGAATCCAATTGGGGGGTGGGAGTCAAGAGGTCGGGTTGTAGAGCTGTACATACCGCCGTGCAAGCCGTATCCGGACGCCATGGCGGGCTGTGTCGGAGCTGGTGTTTGAATTGGCAGTTCGAGGTGTGCGCCAGGGTGATGGCTCGATGTCGTCGGTGTTGAAGTTGGGTGCACAGACAGTGGGAGCTTCGTTTTCTTGGCATTACGCCACATTGACAGCCACAGCGCCACATCTCGATTTCGCCCAACTCCTGAGTTACTCTGACAACTTGCCTATTCTCTTGCAGTACACAGTAAACATAATCTCATTGGGGAACTATCCCCATTATTCGATGGAAAACATGAAAAATTACCAGGTTGACGGACAAAGCATGTATAGCGCACATGTTGGGCCAAAAACAGCTGTGTGCAAGACGCAAGGGAATAAGTCACAGAACCATTAGAAGGTTCGACTCTGTTAGCTTCAAGTCAGTTTAACTTAACACTCCAATAACTTGAGACCTCCAGGCTTGCTCCCACTCTTTCTACCCCCAGGAAAGATTGGAACTGGAAGCACTCTCTGTAAGAGATCACTGGTCGTATGTTCAAGTGTAAGTGCTAAAGTGGGCCTCGAATTGGCGGGGCCTGCTTGAGTGCATCCCAACGGCCAACCCCTGCAACCTGGCAAATGCCAAGCCAGAATGTGTTCATTGTCGTTGTCACCTTGGAATTTGTGAAGCTTCAAACACAATAAACCAGCCATGCGACGGTTCGCTAGAACACCGATATCCCTTTAACCCGCACCCCCTCCTTCCGTCCGCAGAGATTTAGAAATGTCACTCCTACTCTCCCCAGCCAAGCTGGTGCTGCTGGCCGTGCATTGCGCCGTTAACGGCGACATCGACAGCCTAACCACCCTCGCTGGGCGCCACACCAATGTCCTCCGAAAAGACCTGCTACTCCGGATCCTCCTGACCTACCTCCCCGAAACGCTACCGTCCAGCCGCTACATCGACCTAATCCGATATCTCGGAAGCGGCGACTTCCCCGACCCGACGAATGCTGAAGTAGATTGCTCAGCCGTAGAGGACCTCGAGGAGGACCAAGCAGCCAAGAAGGTCAGGAAGCTCCGGCTGCTTCCCTTGACGCTACCCGAGACACAAGACACAGACAGCTCTATCTCGACCGCCAGCGAAGACTCCCTTTCGCTATTCCTCCTACGCCGCTCATACAAAGTAGACGAAGAGGCCGGGCTACTCGACGAGCTCCCAGCGCTGCTCCTCCCCTTCCTCAACCACTCGCCACACATACGCTCCCTCTTAGTCTCGGCCGTCCTACCCCTCCTCCGGCGAAACTGTGAATACTACCCGCAAGACCCCATCTCCTACGCACTGCACGACTTTGAGCAGCTCCCGGACCGAGTTGCCGTCAACTTGCTTCTGTCCCACACCGGAACACACGCCAACGGTTTGGCGGCTGTGGGACGGGATTTGAGAGGGCTCATTGGGCCGTGGCTGACGGGGGATAAGAGGTGGAAGCAACCAAGGCATCGGGATACATTGGAGTCGCCGCCGGCCGGGAAAGAGACGGCAGAAGGCGTGGAGGAGGTGCCATGTCCCGGGTGGGACGAAGTGCTGCGTTGGTTGACGACACAAGCGTCGAGGAACTGGAGGATAGCCGTCAACGCGGTGCAGCAATGGGATGGGTCGGGCGATGCGGATCTGGCGGATTGGGGGTCCTTGACGCTGAGTGACACGCAGCGGGAGTACATGGAGGGGAGCTATGCGCGTGCGGCGTTGGCGTCGGCGTATCTGATCCCAGAGGCATCCCTGGACGCGCTGGATGGTGCCTACAACATCATCAGTCGAGTTGCCGAGCTCCGCGACCTGACGCCGATATCCCCGCTGACTTCCGAACTAGCCGTTCTTCCGCCGCTGACGGAACAGATTCCCGAGGACCTCGCCATCGCTAGGAACACGACGTATATGCGCAACGATTTGCTGTCAGCCTTCAACCCTTTGACAACACCATCCGACGCTTCTACGGCCCTCCTCCAAGCCCTCACGCTCAGCGCGCATATTCTCACCAAGGCCGGCTGCCCGTGCACGATTCGGCGGGCTGGTGAGCTGGCGCTGTTGCGGGACGAGCGGGAGCAGAAAGCCGAGTTTTCTAAGCTGATTCACACGCTGGGCAACAATGGGCCGAAAACGGACGACAAGTTTTGGATGAAGGCGCGAGATGATATTTTGTGGCTGCGGGACTGGGGCGCGGAGGATAGTTGGTCGTCGGAGGGGGTGCCGCGGGGTGTGTTTGGGCAGATTAAGCGGGAGTTTTTGGAGGTGGAGGTGCTGAAGGTGTTGTTGTCGAATACTCGTAGGTTTGCCGTCACGATAGATGGATCAGGATCAAGTGCTAACTGGTGAGGTAAGGGTATTCGCTTGCGCGGTCGATATATGAGGACGGTACAGACCAGCCCCTGGATCGGAAACTCTTGCAGGACACGATTTTTGCGACGGCGATGACTGCTTATGACAATGCTTCGAATCCGAATCGCACGCGAGGTGGTCTCAAGAAGTGTGACGAGATGTACGTCTGCCCTATGTCCTATCCCGTTCATCCCTCCTAACAATTCACAGGATCAAGGCTTTCCCCAAGACGATCGAAAAGTCAGACGCTCACGCGAAGAGGATTGAGGCCCTGCTCCGGGCGACACACTCCCTCGGCGACTACCGCCTCGTTCTCAAGCAAGGAGAGCCTTTCACACCCGTAGTGCTCCGCGTCCATGCCGATCCAATATCTATTGTTGGTAAGATCCTCGAGCAAAATCCCAAGAGCTACACGCAGCTCCACGACTTCCTTTCCCTCGGCACCCACATGGTCGAAGCCGGTCTCACAGCCCCCACCAAAATCACCCCCCTCACCTCCGAAGAAGAATCCGCCCATCGTCTCACGGCCTCGCAACGCATCACAGCCATGTGCATCGACGCAGCCCTGGCCGAAGACGACTTCGAGACGGCCTACTCCTACGTCGTCAACCGTCTCCCGGACACCCCAAACCCCGCGAGCCAGACCCCCGACGACTATTCCTGGAAAGCGGCCCTCCAAGCAGGCAAATACCGCCGCAACGCACACACCCTCCCAGGCTCTACCACCGGCATCGGCGGCGGCCTCTCCAGCGCCAACGCCGACGTGCGCCACCTCGAGCAGCGCATCGAGTGTCTCGCCACCGCCCTCCGCGTCGCGCCGGTGTCCGACCTCCAAGAAATCGTCAACGCCTTCCGCCGCGCCGAGGAGGAACTCGAGGTCCTCGTGCGCGAGGAACAAGCAGAAGAAGACGAGTGGGACGCCCGAGGCGACAGTCTCGTCCGTCCCGGCAGCGGCATCAACCACACATCCGTCATGCCCGGCGGCTTCCACAACCAAACAACCACCAACTCAAAACCCCAACCACCCCGCACATTCCTCCCCTCCCGAGCACCCGCCCCCCATGCATCCCACGCATCCTCCCACGCCCGCCGCCCCAGCCGCACAGCCGCCACCGACGAAGACGCAGCTCCCATGTCCCTCTTCGACCTCAGCCGCGCCAGCGTGCTCTCCGCCCAGCGCAACCTCTCTGCTCTCTCCGGTCTACGCTCCTCAGCCGCTGCTGCTGCTGGCGGTCTTGGCGGGCGGCTGACACGGCATCAGAATGCTCACAGCACCAATACTAATGCTAAAAACAAGGCAATACCCGCCGGGTCAGGATATGAATACGACACGGAGGGCAGTGCGCGCGGGAGCGCAGACCTGTCGCGGCCGATGTCGGCGGCGTCGGGGGAGATGGGGATGGGGAGTAGTGGTGGGACGGAACGGGTAAGGAAGAGGGATCAGTTGAGGGAGGCGGCGATGGGGACGCTTGTTTCGGGGGTGGGGTGGTTGGTTGGGGCGCCTGCGCCCGGGACGGGGGCGGGGCAGGAGAGGGAGAGGGAATAAGGGACAAGAGAGGGAGAGGGAATAAGGGACAAGAGAGGGAATGAGGAAGAGGTAAAAAGGAGATAACGGGGGGTTATCTACGGAGATGATGGCGGGGTTGGTAGATGGTTGGTAGATGGTTGGTAGATGGTTGGTAGAGAGAGAATACCCCGAACAAACCACCATGACATGACATAGTCCTGAGAACAAGCAACAACACCAACCGATCCGCCAGATATTAAACTCAGCCGGTGCTGTACCATCTCAACGCCGAGGATCCAAGATATTAACTCCTAGGATAAAGGTTGTGCTAAAAAAAAAACACATCCAGCGGTATAACCGCTATACACCTCGGGATCTTTTAAAGACAACCTGTCGTCACATACCCTGATCCCTGATATTTACACCTCCCTAATGGACTATACCATCCATCCTCTCCTAGTTGGTATCTCTACGGGCGCATTAAATATAGAGAGGTTCTCATTTCTTAAACATCCCAGCGTCCAGTCCAGCTGCAAGATTGATACCCGCCCGCTACACAGGATCCGGACTGAAAAGACTAAGAAGAAGTAGATCTAGGTTGAGCAAGCGGTAGCAAATTAATAAATACAGAAACGGAAGAAGAAACACGATGCAGGATAATAAGCAAAGGGGTCAAGAGACAGTGTAAAGTTTAAGATAACGCAACTTAAGACAACCCAGATCGAAACGAGGTGACGTTAAAGGATGTTAACTAAAATAAAGTTAAGCCAAATAAAGTCAAGTCAAGTACAGGGAAGTAAAGTAAACTAAAGCCAAAAACTCATAAGTCAAACGGTAAACCGCTTAGAGGCCTGGACGTATAGACAAGAACTGCAAATCAAGAAGGCAGAGTAAACCTAAAAGAAAACCACTACATTAGCTAATACACAGGCACACGAGCTAGCTCTGGCTCTATAACCTACCCTTTCCGTTTTATCTCCATGACGATCTTACTTCCCGTTAACACCTTAACGCTGTACTTTACGCCCTTTCTCTTTTTATTCTTGTCCCCCGAACTGGACAGTCACTGTGCCTTATATTGACCATTTACCAGTTACCATTTACCACTTACCATTCACTATGCCATTCACCTTTAACCATGTGCCTGCCATTCACCGTATCATTCACCACTCACTCACTCATCACCACTCACCATCACAACTCAAGTAAAAAACCGGCAAAAAAAGACCTACAAAAACTCAAAACATTGTTGTTCTTACAAATACAAATCTCCGCTCTACCCTATCTCAGGCTCTTTCCTTTCCATTCCTTTCCTTTCATTCCCAGCCTTTTGACGCCCCACCCCGCCCTATTCCGTCCGTCCGTCTACTCGAATAAATTCGAGAGAGAAAAGAAAAAAGAAAAACCCTGTCTGTGAACTCTGCTTGTAATACCTAGGCTCCTGTCTTGATGCCCAGTGTTGTAGTGGCTAGGCTACGTCATATAGATAGGAAGATAACCAGGGGCCGGTGTGGCCATCTCCGAGACAGAGAGACGAGCTAGAAAAGCAGAGAGATAGAAAGGAAAAGAAGCAATCCCGTTCTGGTTGCTTGTATAACGCAAGGCAAATACTGCGATGCCGCGGTTCGCTGAAGAAGTACAGACCACTTGCTGAGGGCCGAGTAAATCAGCTAGTCGAGAAACCCCGACGAAACCACAGCCAAAAAACAACGGCCGGGCAGACACCACAACAAGACGAGACCCTCACTCAGAGTCCGAGTCCCCGTCCATACCCAGGAGCGTCTTGTCGACATCATCCAGCTCATCCTCGCCTTCATCACCGTCACCGTCACCGTCACCGTCTCCATCGCCGTCGCCATCACCATTCTCATCACCGTGCTCGTCGCCATTGTCATCGCCATCGTCACCATCATCGCCGTCGCCAAGACCCAGTAGACCTTTATCCACCTCATCCAAGTCATCCGCGTCGTCCATCGGTGTATCACCATTAGTGTCGACCGTAGCAGCACGTGCTTGTTGATGGCGTGACTGCGACTGTGATTGCGACTGCGACAGAGCCGATGATGCGCGGCCATTGGCCTGGTACGATCCGCGTCCACGACCACGTCCACTACCACGGCCGCGACCCCGGCCTCGACCACGCCCGGAACCACGACGGCGGGCCTGGATGACGAGTTCTATCTCGTCGTTCTCGTTCTCCTCCTCTGTCTCGGCCGGGTCGATGAGCATGTCCTTGTTGGAGGGCGAGTCGTCGGCGTCATCGTCAAAGTCGTCTTCGTCGTTGTCGGCCCGGCGGCTTCCGGCCGGCTTGGGCCGCTTCACGGGCTGGATGACGCCCAGCTCCGGCCCCTCGTGGAGCTCCCAGCGGTCGAGTCGACGCACAGTACGGCGGAAGGCAGCGGCGTAGGAGCTAGCCTGCTCGCCAAAATCGTCCGGCTCGTCCGTGAGCTGCGCTAGACCGCCGTAGCCACGCTCACGAAGGCGCTTCTTGCTGTTCTCGCTGGCCCCGGCACCATTAGTACCTTGCTTGCCATTGTGCGAGGGCGGCAGGATCTCGTCATCATCGCTATCTTCGAAGGGGTCTTGCATCTGGGCAAGACGCGGTAGGGCACGGAGAACCGCGCCGTCGCCACGTCGGTCTTTGCGCGCCTGATGATGCTTGCGGCGGATGCCACGGTCGAGAATGTACTCGACGCGCTGAGAGCGGTTGCGCTCGACGGCAATCTGGTGGGCTGTCGGCGGGCGGGGTTTGCGCGCTACGACGCCCTCCATCATGCGGTCGGCAGCGGGGGACGAGCCGTCAAAGACCTGGTACTTGAGCGAGTGCGGGCCACGCCGTCCCATGCTCCCGAATACGCCGCTCTGCCGGCCGAGGGCGCGGGGCGGCGGGGTCGATCTGACACTGTCGAGGTCGCTCTCGTTCTTGGAGGGCCGAATTCTCGGCAGGATGCCTGTGGTCGGGCCGACCTCCTCGCCAGCTGGGAAGCCTCGACCACGGCCACCGCCACGTTTCGTCTGGCTGTCGGCCATGAACTGCTGGTCGGCCTCGATAATCTTAGCACGCATCTTCTGCTTGGCGTAACCAAAGTCAATCTCCTCCTGTGTGTCAACGTTCTCCAACGCGGCATCTTCCTCCGACAGCAGCTCCAGGCGCGGGACGCCCTGGTTCGCAACGTCGACGCCATAGTCCACACCGGCCCCAAACGGGTTCTCCTCGCATCCTTCCTCGGTGAAGTCGGACTCTAGATAAAACCACATGAGCCAGAGGAACGCCCGGGCACGGCTCTCGCTGCTGTACTTGAACTTCATGACGAGGTCGTGGAACTCTTGGGACGGGGGGAAGTGCAGCTCTGCAATCTTGGGGGCGGCCTGGCAAATGAGGAAGAGTAGGTTCACGGGGTTCGTCCGCGGGACATCGAGGGCCTTGATGTCGTCGAGGGACGAGGGCTCGATGCGGTCGTCGGAGCCGCCCTTGAGGATGGACTTGAGTCGGGGGGCATCTTGAAGTTGTTTGTAGGCGTGCGGGTCTTGCCGGGCCTGCAGTGAAGGAATCGCGTGGTATGTGCGGAGCTGGGCCCGCATCTCGGGGAAGACTAATGGGATGAAAGCCGTCAGCATTAAGAGCGGGGATTGATCAAACCAAGAGAAAGAAAGAAAGAAAAACAAAGCGAGAAGCAAAGCGAGAAGCAAGGCCGAAAGAGAGAGAAAGCAATACGCACAGTTAAGAGTGGTGTTCATCCGGCCAATGTTGACCAACAGACAAACCATCGCCATGCCCTTCGCGGCTTCACGATCACTAAGCAGTTTGTCGCGAAGGACCTTGCTGGTCTTGCTGCTTCGGGACATGGTATCAATGTAGAGGTCGGCAAAGCACTGCTTGCCGATGCGATCCTTCTCGTAGCTGTTTGTGAACACCTTGGCCTCATTGTCGAACACGGCCTTGAGGAAGTCGAACTGGATGTCCTTACGCCAGAGCGGCTCGCCGTCTTCTTTCTTCAGGTGCCTGATCTTGCCAATGGGGTTGCCATTGGGACCGTCGTCGCCGCCTCCGCGCCCGCGCTTCTTACCGCGACCTTGCCGCTCGGAAGGCTCCGGCGTCGCCATCATTCGGGTATCGTCATCTTCGGTCTGGGCGGTCATGAATGACCTCTCGATATGGGCCGGCGGCGAGCTCGCCGGTTCGATGTCGGACATCAGCGCCGTCGAGTTCGGCGTCGCCATAGTGATGGCTGAATGTCCCGGGTTCGAAAGCCGGGTGTAAATGTAATCGCGATGTTAATGACGGATTGGCGATAACGTTAGTCAAAGAAAGGGCAGCGCGAGTCGCGAATCGTAAATTGGGGAAGCCGGAATTGGCCGGTATTGGAAATGGCAGTGGCTGCCTGCGAATTTAAGGGCTGAGGATGTGTTCGTGGTAGGTGTTGCTCATCGGGAAAGCAGTGCACCGGGAATGCACGCGCGCAACGATGAAATAATCAACGATCAAATCGCTTGCGCCCGGTTTGGGAATCAGATGTTGGCCGGAGAAAGAAGAAAGAATGACGAGAATCGGCACGGTGATTCAAAATGCAGGTGGGCGGACCAGCGGGGTTGTGCGGTCGCGTTAAATCGGCAGCAAAAAGGTTTGCAGCTGATTTCGTTGGAATGGGAAGGCACAGGTGCCTGCCACAAGTTGGCTCACGTTTACCGAAGGCATCGCGTCGTCGCAAGGTTAATCGCAATGTTCCCGTTTGGCGATCCAGGATCCATGCCGCGAGGTGGGGCCAGCGCAGGACAGCACAGCGCACGGACCAGATGGCACAGTTGTACTGAGTAGACGGGAAGACGGGGCATTGAAAGCCGAACAGCTCGTTGAGGGTGATCAAAAACATCCATCAACAGCTCAGCAAGATTAGCGGTGCAGAGTAATTACATAGTAGAAACCTCGCCTGTTTAAAAATGAAGTACAATTAAAACGGCGGAAGTGTGGTTTTACACGTAGTGCTGACCTCATCGACTATTATCAAATAGCTACGGGCTGGAAAGGATGTAAAATACATGCTGAATGGTCCACTCGAAAACAAGTGTTAGTATTTCGACCTCTAACCGTCATGCCCCTCGGCTTTCGGCAGCGGAGAACCAAGCGCTAGCAAGGATAGAACAACTTTATTGAAGCAGAAATTTCTTGATATTTGGGCCTTTCTGAGCTCTCGGCTCGATTTTGTTCATTTGTACTTTGGGAGCGAACTTACTAAACTGTATTATCCTGACAACTCGGACGGCATTCCGTTATCTAACCCCACGATACACCCGCTCATGATCAACAATGGCCGCCGCAAAGATCCCCGTCATCGACCTCTCGGGCGAGGACCAAACCCAAGTCGCTAAGGAGCTGGTCGAGGCTGCGATTGAGCATGGCTTTGTTTATCTGAAAAATACCGGCCAGGACATTCCCGTTGAGGCTATCGACGAAGCATTTGAGATGGTATGTAATCAACCTCAGATAAGAGAGTAGAGCGAATATTGATATGGGTATAGTCCAAGAAGCTATTCGATGCACCCCTGAGTGAGAAGCAGGCCTGCACGATCCAAAAGAACAACCGAGGCGTATGTCAAGTCGACTTGTTACAACCCCTGAAAGTCCTTGGAATAGCCAATTAATGTACCGTAGTGGTCAGCCATGAACTACGAGACACTCGACCCAGCAAACCAGCGTGTAAGTCAGCTCCTATCTCTCGCCACATCTCCCACTAAACATCCTACTAACCCTTCCCAGGTCGGCGACTTCAAAGAGTGAGTACCTCACCTCAGCTCAGACCACAAACACACCCACACGTCCCCATACTGATAGTAAATCACCCAGAGCCTTCAACTTCGGCGAATTCCTCTCCCACAAAGCCCAACAACCCCTCCCACCAACCATCCTCCCCTCCGAACCCCGCATCAGCGCCTTCCGCGACCTCTGCTACCACCTCTCCCTCAAACTCACCACCCTCCTCGGCGCCGGCCTCCAAGTCACGCCCCCATCCTTCTTCACCACCGCCCACCTCCGTTCCCAAGGTCCCTCCGGCACCATCCTCCGCTTTCTCCGCTATCCCCCGCGCGCTGCCCTCACCATTACCACCACCGAACCAGCAGACAACAACAACAACAACAACAACAACAACAACAACAACAACAACGACCCCCAACCCCAAAGCGAAGACGTCCGCGCAGGCGCCCACTCAGATTACGGCTCGCTGACGCTCCTCTTCCGTCTGCGCGGTCAGCCTGGGTTGGAGATCCTGCTGCGCGACGGCAAGACGTGGTCGGCTGTCCCCGTGGTGCCGCCGGGCACGGAGAATGACCCGGCGCCGCCGGTGCTGGTGAATATTGGGGATTTGCTTTCGTATTGGACTAATGGGCTGTTGAGGAGTACCGTGCATCGGGTTGTTTTTCCTTCTGCTGCTAGCTCTCATGCGCCCGGAGGGGATGAAGCTGGGAATAAGGGGGGCGAGGGAGGGAATGGAGTCCAAGGGGAGGTGGACCATGGCACGCGGTACTCGATTGCATACTTTTGTCATCCGTTTGGGGGCGCCGAGCTGGGGCCGGTGCCGAGTGAGAGGGTGAAGGGGTATAAGGGGGGGTTGGCGGAGGGGAATCCGTATGCTGAGCGGAGGGTCATGACGGCGGATGAGCATTTGATGATGAGGTATGTTTTTTTCTGTCTCATTTTCCCCCTTTTTTGGCTGCTTGGGGGTGAGTTGGTGGGCTGGGGAGCGTATGCTGACAGTGAGAACAGATTGAAGGCGAGTTATGCTCAGTTGTATGAGGGCAAGGATAAGGAGTAGAGCTATTGAAGATGGTCTTATATTCTGGGATTTGAGATGTTGGTAATGTCGAGGAGCAGCTTTTAATCTGCGATACTCTGGACCAGTTGCCTACATAGCAATTCAACACCCTCCACCAAAATAGGGACCGATTATTTGACAATTTACATCTCTTCAAATCTCCAAACATACAACCTAGCTGTATATAACCTTCGATTCTCCTATTATGTTTTTAAGATGGTTTTGACGACAAAAAGTATATTTCTTTAAGCAAAAAAAAAAAAAAAAAAGCTCACCGCCCACGTCCTCCAGCGAGGACGTGAACAGCTACGAAAATCCCGAAGAAAATCCCGAAGAATTTTGCTGTAGTGCCCCCTCCCTGAATCGAACTTAGGAAGGGGAGAAAGCGGGCGCGCTCGGTGCGGCCCACGCCCCCCCAAATACACCATCGGCGGTTGGGCATTTGTCGGATGGGGGGGCTGTTGGAAACTGGGAGCTGATGGGTGGGTTATAAAGGGCCATTGGGAGGGAGGGCAGGTGCGTGGTATAAGCGGGACTATCTTGGGGAGTCAGCCCTTGAGTTATAGGAATCTCGAAATCAATTTCGTAGGGAATTACATTTCATTCAGCATTGTCTCTGCTGCTCTAGCTCCAAGTCTATTCTCTATTCTTATGGATGGTTGATTTTGTGGGCGGCTTAGGAGGCTTGGTAATCCCAACTGGCCTCGCTCTTTCGCTAAGAACTAGTCTCTCTCTCCCGTTACAGTATTTCTCGCTACACTTCTCTGCCCGACTGACTACACCCCAATCTCCCCCATCTTCTCATCCCTCTCCTTCCGTCTCGCCTTCCGGCTCCCCGACCCCTGCGTCTTCTGCAACTGCTCGCGCCTCTCCTGCTTCCGCGCCTTCTTATCCACCGCCCCAATGACCTTTTGTTCCTTGCCCAGCGGGTACTGCGCCGCGGCCGCCGCCTCGTCCGCCTCGGTCCACTCCATGGGCAGCACGGCAAACACGAGATACGACGTGTGCGTCTTGATCTCTGGCTCGCCGCGCGTGATGAGTCGGCCTTCGAGCCAGGGTGCTGTGCTGGCTGTCGTCGTCGTCGTCTTCTCCTCGAGGGGATTCCTAGCCCCGTTGGTCTTGGTGTTCCCCACAACAGGCACCTCCTCATCCCCAGAATCCATATCCTCATCCCCATCCTCCCCCCTAGGCTTAGCCGCATGCTCCCGAAACCTCGCCTCAATCTCCGCCAGCCGGGTAATCGCCTCCTCGACATCATGCGCCGAGTTGTTGACGCCCCGCTCAAAGTTGAGGTTCAGCCCGACCCGCTCGCGCGAGGTGTGGTACTTACGGTTCGCAACCTCCACCATCTCGATGTCTACCCACCCGAGCCGACGCATCGCTGATACCGTGCGGGTGACTTGCTCGATGCAGGGGGAGAAGGTGCAGAGGTGCACGCTTTTGCGGGGGTTTAACGGGGATACCCATTCGGGGTCGGCTTTCCCGGATGGAGAGGTGTCGGTGGTGTAGGTCGGTTTGGTGGTGGGTGCGGGCTTCCGTCGGGAGAGGTGATGAAGCGCTTCCCAGGGCGCAGGCAAATCCAGAAACACAGCATCCGCCTCCGGGCTCTTCCCACCATCCACCAAGAACCCACCTCCATACACATCACGATGTGTCAAATGCACCAACCGCTCCATCCCATGGTCCCTAAGCTCCTTCTTCATCTTGTGGTACCGTTCCTCATGAAACTCAAAACTGAACACCTTCCCCTTCCGTGGCCCACTAGCCCTAGCCCCCTCTTCATCCACCACCGGATACCCATTATACACCGCCCGCACCGACGCATGCGTGAAGCTCCCGCTGCCAGCGCCCGCTTCGATGAGTGTCGACCCGGGCCGTGCGCGTATACGGTGGAGGATGTAGCTGTAGTCGGGGGTGTAGACCACTTGGGTGCGATGTGGCAGACTGCTGGTCCACAGCTCGGGAGTTGGCGGGAGGACGTGGATGAACCCGCTCGTGTCGGCCACTACTTTCTTCACCACTGCTGTGTCTCCACCACCACCAGTCCCAGTCCCATCCTCACCTTCCTTCCCCCCCTTCCCCCCCTCAGTATTTCCCCCCTCAGCATCCCCCCCCTCGCGGTCCCCATCCCCCTCGGGCTCACCCTCCCTCTTCCTCTTCCTCCCCCTCGACCCCGTATCCACCTTACTAGCCCTAATCTGCGATCCCCACGGTACACCCAACATAGTGGAATGCGGGAAGGATCCGTACCGAGTATTGACGACGGCGCCCTCTGCGTAGCCATCGTGTGCGCCGGCGGCCGGTTGTAGGTATACGGGGAGGAGGTTATCCCGGGAGAGTTGGAGGATGGCGAGGGAGTTGGGGGTGGTGTGGGGGCCCGGGGAGAGGAAGGGGGAGATTGTTCTTGGGGTTGAGCCCGGGGCTGCTGTTGGTGGTTTTAACGACGACATGGTGGCTGTCGTTTTGTGTGTATGTTATTTTCTTTAGGTGTGTTCTCGCTCTATGTGTCGGTGGCAAGTGTCATCGGTCGGCGAAGGGCTGTGGGTGTCTCTTTTTCGGGGTTCTCTTGTTTTCAGGTTTCTTTTAGTTCGTGAACAGCGACGCGACGCGGTTGTGAGGTAGAAGTGGGATGGTGCTTGGAAAAAAAGTTCCAAACGAAAATTCCCCAATTGAGCAAATGTGGGGTGTGTGGGGTGTGGGGTCCCAACTGCTTTAACTGTCGAAACATTCAAGAAAACGCTGGGAGTGACCCAGCAATAATTACTAAATAACCCATAAACTTTGGTACCCGGCCTTGTCTCCATGATGACTTAGGGTTCCGAAGTCAAGAAAGAGGGCGAATTGGTATGAATAACGCTCTCACAATATCAGGATGGTAACATGGTTGTATTTACTGTATTCGACACATCTCACAGCAGTCAGGTCATCAACAAATAGCATGGCAACTCTTCACATTTTTCTTAGATGCAAGAGACACAATCTACTATGACCAACTAGAGCTCACCTATCCGTAAACCCTCAGCTGTCCACGATTGTGACGAGATTACTCGTAGAGAGCATTTACTCGTAGAGCCAGCTGGCCTGGGCAGAGTTCCAGGCGAGGAGCTCATCCTTCTTGAACCACAGGGCAATCTCCTTCTCGGCGCTCTCGACGCTGTCGGAGCCGTGGCAGACGTTGCGGCCGGTCTGGAGGCAGAAGTCGCCACGGATGGTGCCGGGGGCGGAGGAGAGGGGGTTGGTAGCACCGAGCATGACTAGACGAGAGGGGTATGTCAGTGGGTTGTTTGGGAAAGGGGTGTTTGGGAAGGGGGTTTAGTGGGCTCAGGGGTCCGTACCGCGGCCGGTCTTGACGGCATCAAGACCCTCCCAAACCATAGCGACGATGGGGCCGCTGTTCATGTCTATTCGAGGTATCAGCAGGTGAATGTGTAGAGGTAGACTAGGTAGGGGGCGTACAGTTGACGAGGCCAGCGAAGAAAGGCTTGGAGGAGAGGTCGGCGTCTACGAATCCGTCAGTATGATTAGCTATTAATGGTTGTTGAATGCGGGCTAAAACATACAGTGCTTCTCGAGGTGCTCCTTGCCGGGGGTGACCAGCTTCAGGGCAACGAGCTTGAAGCTACACCGCAACGTTAGCATGACACGGGGAATGAGGGAGTCAGGCTCCTTACCCGCGGGTCTCGAAGCGAGAGATGATGTTGCCAACAAGTCCACGCTGCATTGGAGTTAGCATTGGCCAATGTCAGAAAGCATAGCGAGAGACCGTCTTACCTGGACGCCATCAGGCTTGATGGCAATGAAGCTATCTCCATGTCAGCCAAGTTGCTGCCAAATGGCGGGGTAAAAAAACATCGGAAAGACGCGGATGGCGGGGTAATCGAGGGGCATTGAGGGCAACTCGAAAAAACCAGCAAAAATAGGGGGCAAGGCAAGCAGCAGAAGAAAAACTCACGTCCGCTCGGTGGTCGACATCTTGACGGGTGCTTGAGGTTTTGCAGGTGGTTGCAGAACTGGTTGATCGGGAGCAAGTTGCGGAGAGAGGGGAGGTTGAGGAATTTGTGGCGAGAGGGTCGAACAAGAAATGTCCGGAGTAGGGGGTGGCCGTCCACAGAGGAGCTCGCGGGTGGGGTTGCCGAAAAAATAAACCAACAACATGCAGAGGGCCAGACCACCCAAGGTTAGGTATCCATACATACGATCGAAACGGACGACGAAGCTCTCGCGCTCCCGAGATCTGGGCCGTCGCTGGCCGGCGGGCTCGTCCCCGCTGATCATCTTTCTTTGCCGTGCCTCCATTCTCTGCTCTTTTGTTTTTGTTTTTCAGTTCTCCCCTGTTTATGATTCTCCTTTTTGGCGGGTTTCTCTGCGCTGCAGGTCAAGCTGATCTCGATCCAGCTTCGACCCGATCAAAACAGACAGTCCGAGATAAAAAGTTCCTGACTGGAACCACAGACGGTGGCTATTAGGTATCAATTGGAGCAACGACAGGTTTCGAGAGCGGAAATGGTGTACTACAACCCAATTTCAACCCATTGAGGTCCTATCTTTTTCGGGACGGTCCGATCTGTTGACGAACCACGATGTCCTTGCCCAGCATGTGGCTTCACACCGCTTCAAATAGGGTGTACAGCGATACTCTGCGATTGTCCAGTAATGGGTCCAACAATAATGATTAACAGCCAATATCATGATATATCTCGACTGCCCACATTTGATACTATTACCCTAGCACCGTCTAGGCTCGACTATTAAGAGCTCCTCGGTCTACGATCGAGTTTGAAGCTCGAGAGAAGCAAAGGAGTAATTACCAGGAATATTCATGTATGCGGCATGTGGGCCCGGATAAAAGGGTGCCGCGAGCTGCAGCCGGTTGCGGGGCGAGCTGCCGCTGCAAGGTGGCCAATCCGCCTGCCGGCTGGGCAGCTTCCAGGGTGTTGTCCTTGATGCTGTCAGTGTAAACTGTGTACACAGTAAATCGTGGAAAACAACACGAACAACCAAACCAGTGGCTCATCAGAAAGCCATTGAGTAACAATCTCCACGGCCCTGGCGGTCTCTCGATGAACCCGACGGCCACACCCCTTTTTACGATCTGATTCCCTTGTGCTTTGACCATTAGCAACAGCTGGCGAGGCCGTGCCCGCTGTGCAAGCGCAGGGCGCGAGAGAGAGCAAGCAAAGATGCACGTCACGGGGCCGCTGTCGTCGAGATGGACGGGATACCTGGGTCTGCTTTCGGCGCTTTCTGCGGCCTTTGCTCCGGCAGGTGAGTTGATTGATGCATAATTTCAATGTTTTAGCGTCTTGAGCAATCCAATTGACCTAACCTGATGCATGTACCTAGTCGCCGTAAAGGAGCATGACTTCAAAAAGTGCCACCAATCCGGGTTCTGCCACCGCAACCGGGCCTTCGCCGACCACGCGCTCGGCTCAACAGGCTGGGAATCACCCTACCACGTCGACGCTAGCTCGGGCTCGTTCCACGACGGACAGTACCAGGCCGTGATCCTGAAGACGATCAACGACGGCGCCGAGACGGTCCGATTGCCGCTTACGATTTCGTTCCACGAGTCCGGCACGGCACGAGTCACGGTCGACGAGGAGAAACGGCAGAAGGGGGAGATTGAGCTGCGGCATGAGAGCAAGGCGAGGAAGGAGAGGTATAATGGGGCCGAGGAGTGGGTGGTTGTGGGGGGGACTACGCTGGATAAGGAGGCGAAGGTTGGGTATGAGGATAAGACGCAGGTTACGGTCAAGTATGGACCGGCGTCCAAGTTTGAGGCTACGATTAAGCTGTCGCCGTTTAGCATTGACTTTAAGCGGGACGGGCACAGCCAGGTCAGGTTCAATGACCAGGGCCTGCTTAATGTGGAGCACTGGCGGCCGAAGATTGAGCAGCCCGAGCCGGAGAAGGCGGAGGGCGAGTCGGCCGAGGAGAGCCAGGAGAGCCCGGTCATCCAGACGGAGGAACAGCCCCAGGGCGAGGACCAGTCGACCTGGTGGGATGAGACGTTCGGCGGAAACACGGACAGCAAACCGCGCGGGCCGGAGAGCATCGGGCTCGACATCTCGTTTGTGGGCTTCGAGCACGTGTTTGGCATCCCGTCGCACGCCAGCTCGCTGTCGCTCAAGCAGACGCGCGGGGGCGAGGGCAACTACGAGGAGCCGTACCGGATGTACAACGCGGACGTGTTCGAGTACATCCTGGACAGCCCGATGACGCTGTACGGAGCGATCCCGCTCATGCAGGCGCACCGCAAAGACTCGAGCGCGGGGGTGTTTTGGCTGAACGCGGCCGAGACGTGGGTGGACATCACCAAGGCGAAGGAAACGAAAAACCCGCTGTCGCTGGGCAGCAGCAAGGCGCGGACCAACACGCACACGCACTGGTTCTCGGAGAGCGGGCTGCTGGACGTGTTTGTGTTTCTGGGGCCGACGCCGCAGGACTTGACGGCGCAATACGGCGAGCTCACGGGCACGACGGCGATGCCGCAGGAGTTTGCGCTGGGCCACCACCAGTGCCGGTGGAACTACGTGTCAGACGACGACGTCAAGGACGTAGACCGCAAGATGGACAAGGCGCGGCTGCCGTACGACGTGATCTGGCTGGACATCGAGTACACGGACGAGAAGAAGTACTTTACGTGGGACAAGCACTCGTTTACGGATCCCGTCGGCATGGGCGAGCAGCTGGACGAGCACGGCCGCAACCTGGTGGTGATCATCGACCCGCACATCAAGAACGTGGCCAACTACGACGTCGTGGCCGAGCTTAAGGCGCAGGAGCTCGGGGTGCAGGACAAGAAGGGCAACCTCTTCGAGGGCTGGTGCTGGCCGGGGTCGTCGCACTGGATCGACGCGTTTAGTCCCAAAGCGAGGGAATGGTGGGCGTCGCTGTTCCGGTACGACCGCTTCGTCGGCACGCTGCCCAACACGCACATCTGGAACGACATGAACGAGCCGTCGGTCTTCAACGGGCCCGAGACCACCATGCCCAAGGACAACCTGCACGCCGGCGGCTGGGAGCACCGCGACGTCCACAACCTCAACGGCATGACCTTCCACAACGCCACCTACCACGCCCTAGTGACACGCCGCGAGGGTGAAGCCGACCGCCGGCCCTTTGTGCTCACCCGCTCGTTCTTCGCCGGCTCGCAGCGCGTGGGCGCCATGTGGACGGGCGACAACCAGGCCGCCTGGGACCACCTCCAGGTGTCCATCCCCATGATCCTGAGCCAAGGCATCTCCGGGTTCCCCTTCTCAGGGGCCGACGTCGGCGGCTTCTTTGGCAACCCCGACAAAGACCTCCTCACCCGCTGGTACCAAGCCGGCGCCTTCTACCCCTTCTTCCGCGCGCACGCGCACATCGACGCCCGCCGCCGCGAACCCTACCTCATCGGCGAGCCCTACACCACCATCATCGGCGCGGCCCTCCGCCTACGCTACAGCCTGCTCCCCTCCTGGTACACCGCCTTCCGCCACGCCCACCTCGACGGCACCCCCATCATCAAACCCCTCTTCTACACCCACCCTGCCTCCGAATCCAGCCTCGCCATCGACGACCAATTCTTCCTCGGCACCACCGGCCTCCTCTCCAAACCCGTCACCAGCCCAGGCCAAACCACCGTCGACATCTTCATCCCGGACTCCGAAATCTACTACGACTACTTCACCTACTCCATCCCCCCGACCGCGAAAGGCAAACACGTCACCCTCGACGCACCCCTGGAATCCATCCCCCTCCTCATGCGCGGCGGCCATGTCTTTGCGCGCCGTGACATCCCCCGTCGCTCGAGCGCTCTCATGCGCTGGGACCCGTACACCCTTGTTGTCGCAGCGCCCAGGAAGGCTACCGACACCGCTGAGGGGGATTTGTATGTCGACGACGGCGACTCGTTTGAGTACCAACAAGGACAATACATCCACCGTCGCTTCCTCTTCGACGGCGCAGCCGGCTCGTTGACCTCAACCGACTACAACGGCCGGGAGGCCACCTCGGAGAAAGAAGAAGGAGAATGGCTCAGCAAGATGAGGTCTGTAAACGTCGACAAGATAGTAGTCGTCGGTGTGCCGGGGAGTTGGAAGGGGAAGACGAGTGTCAAGGTGGAGAGCGAGGGACGGACGTGGGAGGCTAGGGTGGAGGTTACGCCTGCTGAGGGGAGGAGGGCGGGGTTTGCGGTTGTGCGGAAGGTGGGAGTGCCCGTGGGGGGGGATTGGAGGGTTGTTTTTTAGGTTTTTGGTGTAGGTCAACAAGCAGTCTGGGGTGTGAGGGGGGTTGAGAGGGTTGAGGGAGTGAGGAGTGGGCGAGTGAGGCGCGGGGGGTGAATGTGTGAGGGGAGCTAAGGCTTGGAATATATCTGGCTGTGGTGAAGTTGTTTTCTTGTGATCTCGAGAGGGGGGGGGGGTTCTGACTCTGAGTATAGATAGACCTGACCATAAGACCGTTGAAGATGCGTTCTTTTCCTTGTCTGTTTTTGCTTGCCTGCTTGCTTGATTTGCCCGCTTCCCTAGCTGCTTGATTTACCTGCTCCCCTGCTTTAAGGTGGATTTTACCTGCTCCGTTCTTTTGGTGTCTTTCTTCGTGCTGTTGGTTTACCTGCGTTGTTCTGTTGAACGATGGGCAGTGCTGTTCTGTACCCGCTGAACTCAGCTCCGGGCTACCTGCGATATTTCTGCTGTACTACGCTCGTAACGGTTGTGATGGCGGTTTTACGAGGGTTTGTCCTACTTGCCTGATTTACCTTGTCAACTGCTGAAAAAAGGTTAGGGGGGCTTGGCGGGATATTTGCGTTCATGTGTTTTTACTGTGTTGTCTATGTATAGTACACCAACCGCATTGCGGAGGACGCGACTCAAAGCAAAATTCATACGCTGCGGAATGGGATACGGGATGGTGCGGTACAGTGCAGTAATAACAGCAACAACAACATGAGCAACAAGAATAGCAACAGGAGAGCAGCAACAATCACGAGATCGAAACATCACGGGTAACGGCATAAGCCATTCAAATACCCGTCCCGCGGCAAGCAAACAACCCCGACCTAACTCGTATAACTGTCAATACCCAGCATGCCTACAGCAATTACACAGTAGACCCTGCATCCTGGCCGAGTTGGGCTTCAATCGTCTTCGGAGTTCTTACTCTGTATAAGAGCTGTGGGAGAGGTTGACATCCAGTTCCTTACTTACCCACGCTACTTTGCAAAGTCGAGATTCGAGGGGCAATACTCCGTGGAGTACCTCGGACTTGGGCTCGGAACCGGTGCTGTACGATGGTGGATTCCGGTATGCTAGGCTGGGGCGTAGACACCCTTTCATTTCCTTATGCCGACACGTGGAGTGCTTGGGTAGAAGGAGGGAAAGGGACGAAAAAGGCAGAAAGGAAAAATATAGATGAAGAATGAGGGAAAAAAACGAGACAAAGTAGAAGTCACGCTAGGTTTGCCCTGGGTACGTACCTCGTTCCCATGCACAGCAGTGTCGTAGCATGTACATATGTACCATGTCCTGTACAACCTGACGAGGCGAATACGGTTTGTAGCACGGCGTCTGTTCGTCACAGGCCTATCTACGTAGATGGTAGGCTTCCTGATTCGGGAGTGGACAATTCAGAATATAAACTGACCGGTTCTGGGCCTAATAAACCTTTGCCATAGCTGACTGAATGATTGGATCGGGAGAGCTGAGATTTAAGGTCAAGAGGAATGGTCCCTGGCAAGCTGAGAATGCAGCCCATTCAGGGGTATCAGGCACAGGGCGGCAGGGCAATCTTGGCATGCTTGGCGGTGTTTTTCGCTTGTTTCTTTGGCTCAAACAGAACCGTTTCTTGTGTTCTCGGGGATCGGCAAAACGGGCGATTTGGTTCTGGACTGGGCGGGCGTTTCCGTTATATTTGTTCCTGGTCTTTTTTTTTAGTATTCTTCTCGTGTTCTTCTTCGATCGGAGTTCTTATTTCTACATCCTCTCGCTCGTTTGTTTGTGGGATCTAATAATCTCAGTCAGTCCCTCGTTCGACCCCTACGCCACCTAATAACGAGAAAATACACACCAAAAACCTAAACACCATGAAGCCCACATCAACCCTCCTCCTCCTCGCCACAACGGCCACCACAACCACAGCAACACCCACCATTCCCCGCGCCATCCCCCGCGCCAACACCATCCATTACCCCCATCCCAACCCCCACCGCCTCCTGCACACCCTCCCGGCAGCCCCCCAGCAGCAGCCCCTCTCCCACCTCCTCTCCACATCCACATCCGCAGACGCCGAAGCCGACGCAGACACAACCCTCGCCGGCGCAGTCCTAACTCTCCCTCTGTCAGAGAGTAATAATACCACCAAACAACCCCTCCTCTCAACAATAACAAGCACCTTCCGCATCCCCCTCGCCAACATCCCGACCTCCGGCCCAACAGCCAATAACTCTGCGACGGTCTACGGCGCGTCGTTTTGGGTTGGTGTTGACGCTGGTGTATCCCCCTCTGGGACGGGATGCTCCCCCTCCTCCTCTCTTTCTGGTGGTGTTGCGCAAGGGGGGACAGGAGTAGCAGGGGGGATGTTGCGCGCCGGGGTGGATATCTTTTATGATGGGACGCTAGGCGGACACCAGCAGCCTGTGATTTGGTATCAGGGGCCGGGGCAGAAGGGGGAGACGGCTTTTGAGGGGGTTGTGGTTGGGGAGGGGGATTTGGTGCGGTTGAGTTTGGTTGTTGGGTCTGTTGGGTCTGTTGGGTCTGGGTCTGCTGCCTCTCCGGGCGAGGGGGTTGAAAAGGGGGAAGGTGAAGCGGTGGGTGGTGAGGATGGGGAAGGGGAAGTGGTGGCCATCGCAGAGAACTTTGGCCCGGATGTTGGGTGTCCCGAGGGCGCGACACCGATCGCTAGTGTGCGGAAGACGTTTCCTGCTACTGTTTCTTCGACCATTTCATCCACTAGGACCTCATCCACTCCCACTCCCACTACCACACCGACACAGAATACGCAGCCCACACTCTGCCGCAAAGAAGCCTCCTGGGTCCTGCAAGACGCCCCCCTAGCCGGCCTCCCCAACATCCCCATCGCGCTGGCCAACTTCACCCGCGTCGCTTTCACCGCTGGCATCACTCTCGACGACGGGAGTGTACGGAGTTTGACTGTTGGGTCTAATCCGGGTGCCGATGGGAAGAAGGCTGGGCTGGCAGATGGCGTGGAGGTGCTGGATATCAGGCAGACGCAGCAGGGAGGTCGGTTGACGAGGTGTGGGGTGGAGGAGGGGAGTGAGGGGAGCGAGGTTGTTTGCGTACGGGTTGTGGGGGAGTAACTACACTACACTAGGTGTAAGCTAGGTGTGTTGTGATTATCTTGGGAGATCATATTTGGAAAATGATGTTTGGAAGGGACACCATGTAGGAACATAATGAGGAGATGAATACATGAACGGGTGCTTCAGGGGATGGGTAAAAGATGAACCGCCAATGCTAGAGCTAGGCTTTCTCATCAGTGTATTGTGACAGAAATATCAAAGTCAACAAACAGTCTAGGTCATTAAACATTCTGTATGCGCCAGATCCCACCAACGGATAGAACATCCAAAGATCCAAAATCCAAAATCCAAAATCCAAGATCCAAGATCCAAACATCGCTAGGTCCCATCCAAAATCCAAGGCCCAAAATCAACACATCACACAGCATTACTAACAGACCCCTGCGTCGACCGACTCCTCGCCCTCCACCCCCTCCTCGCAGTCGCCACACTCTCCCGGCTCGCCATCTTCTCCAACCCCTCCTTCTCACTCTCCTCTTCCACCCTCGCCGGCCGTCGGCTCCGCTCCCGTTCCCGTCCCCCCTCTTCACCATCCTCTTCCTCCCTCACAGCCTGCCTAATCGACGGCAGCCGCGAGATGCTATTATCCCGCCGTCGGGTATGGAACACATCCTGGAAATCCATCCCCGCATCTACCACTGCGGCCGCCGCCCGGCTCGTGGCTCGCCTCCGGACCATGGCGGGGTTTGAGGTTGATGATCCAGTCGCTGCTGCTGCTGTTGTTGCTGCTGCTGGTGGTACCTGGCCATCGCTGCTGGTGGCTGCCGCCTGGTACACCGGGGGCGGCTGGACCTGGCTCCAGTACAGCGGCATGTTCTGGGCGCCGCCGGGCTGCACCAGATGTGGCGTTTCGAGACCGAGGTCCTTCATCTGGTGCATCAGCTCGACGGCGAAGCGGTTGTGGCGGTTCAGGCGCAGCAGCTCGTTTTGGAAGTTGCTCTTGTGGAAGAAGATGATGTTCATGGTGATGCTGCAGACCTCGTCGATGGTCTGGACTTCGGAGATGACGCGGGGTGCGTAGTCGCGCTTGTTGTCGAGGCAGAACTGCAGCATGCGCGCCTTGAGCGCCTCGATCTGCGCTTCCGATGTGCCGAATCGTAGTTTGAGGTTGATCGGGTCGGCTAACCCTTGGCTGCGCCGCTGGTTGAGGATGAAGAGCGTGTTGAGGATCGAGTTGGGGGCTTGGACCACGTGGCCTTCCATCTTGCGGAACTCGGTGTACAGCAGCGACACCTCCAGCACGTAGTAGTCGTCGCCCGTCATCGTCGTGCCCGTGCTGCCGTAGATTCGGACCCGGTCGCCGACGTCGAACGGGTGTTTGACGAACACAAAAATGATGGACTGGAGGAACTCCTGCGCCGTGGCCTGCAGCAGCCACGACAGCCCCAGAATCACCGTCCCCGTCGACGTCAGCGCCGCCGCGGCCGAGTTGGAGATGATGCTGATAAACACAATAATCACAATCACCACAATGATAAACACAAACACCTCGTCCAGCTTCTTGATCACCGAGTCCAGGTCCTTGAGCGACGCCGCAATCGCCTTCTTCTCCAGGTGGATCTCGTTGCACACCATCTCGAGCTCCTCCATCGAAATGTCCCCGTTCAGGTCCTTGTCAAACACCCCAAAGCATGCCTCCGCGTCCTCCTGCCCCGCGGGGAACGCCGGCGCCAGGTCCTCGCCCGTAATCGTCGTCTCGCCCGGCCGCACAAACGTGCGGTAAAACACCCGCGCCAGTGTGTAGCTCGACTCGCTGCTGCGCAGCAGCTCGTTGACCACCTTGCGTGGGTGATTGCCCTTGAGGAACTTGCGCCCGGTCAAGTCCCCCGCCACCCGGTTCGCCGCGTTGCCCACCTTGCTCCATACGTGCCGCGCGTTGTGCTGGATGTTTTTCAGGGGTGTCGCCGCCTGGTCCGAGTCCCGCCGGCTCGACGGCGAGCCCCAGATCGGGTCCTGCCCCTCCAACTGCGTCTTGGCGTGCGTGTACAGGGCGACGAGGTACTCGATGTGCAGCTGGTTCTCGCGGATGCGGTGCGAGTACGTCCGCAGGTGGAACGACGTCGCGATCCACTTGATCAGGATCTTCTCCACCAGGTTGAGCGTCGCGAGCACGAACAGTGCGATGATGACCTTGTACACCACGTCGATCCACGTCACGTACGGCCGCGGGTTCTTGCTGCCGTCCTCGGGGTCGAGCACGCGGTGCTTGTCCAGGATCGGCTTGTACGACACCAGCACGGCCAGCAGCCAGAGGAAAATGCCCGTCGGGAACTCCAGCTGCCGCCCAATGTCCTTCCACTTCTTGTGGTTCGTCGAACCGACCGTATCGGCGACGAAGGCCACAATGGGCGGTAGGATGGACGTCGCGATGCGGGCCGCCCAGAGAGTCAGCCACACCACCTCGAGCCAGATGCCGAACCACATGAGCTGGACGCCCCCTGGCCCACCCACGGGATCGCCCTTGCGGTCGTAGGCGAAGAGGTCGAGGAACACGGGGATCAAAATCAGAATCCCGGGCGGGATGGCGTAGACGACGTATCGCAGCACGCGGGGAAACTTCTTAATCAGCAGCCATAGCTTGGTGAGCCACGTCGTCTTCACCGGGACAGCCGCCACCGCCGGGGTTACGGGCGGGGGATTCGTCGTGTTGAAGGCGTCTTCGATGCGGTGCTCGTGGCTCCGCCGGTTCTTCGACCCGGGATGGAGCGAGTCGCGGTCTTTGCGGTCGTTCGTCGACACCACGCGCTCGGCACGCAGCAGTTCCAGGTCGTCGTGCAGCCGGTTCGCGGCCTCTCTCGACTCAGCCGGGCTCAGAGGCGCCGCCGAGTCAGGGACGAGATGCTCTCGGTCTACGGACGCTCTGGCAGCGGCCTCAGCGTCGGGACTAGGCTCGCGGTACGAGGGCATCTGGACCTGCAGCGTTGGCCGCGAGAGCGCCGGCGACGACTCATCGACGGGCGAACCCATGATGAGCCTTGCTGTAAGTACCAAAAAGGTTGTCACGCGCTCTATCTTTATGGTAGAGAGTTCAAAGTTAGAACGAGGGGAAGAAAAGAAGAAATTAAAGAGAGACAGAAGGCAGAGAGAGCTGCAGAGAGACAGAGAACGGAGAGATAAGAGGGCCCATCTCTCCACATTGCTGAAGCAACCGAAACTTTAAAAAAAAAAGTCGCGACTCTCGAATCCCGGGGAGCCGCGGGGTTCATTGTCCACACATTCCCGGCTTGCACGGCGATCGACACGGCGACCCACAACGCTGTGGGACGAGAAGGGTCGAGAGGGTGCATTCCGAGAGCCCGAGCAGGTCGAGCCCGCGTCGCGACCAAGGTTGGTGGTCTCCATGGTGTGAGCCGAGAGAAGTTGGTGTGGTGTTGGCCCCAGTCCGCTGCGAGGATGCTGCTGTCGGTCTGTCGCTCACTGTGCTGCTGCCGGTGTGCCGCCAGGCGGACCGTTCCATTGCGACAATCCATTCGCGATCAGCCCCTGTTCGTCCGAATCCATCAGTTCCACACAGCGGGGCGATGGGTGTGGAAACAGGGGTGATGGGGAATCGTTTCAACGGTCAAGAATCGGGAAGTTCGACGGAAAGAAACGCCTATGGGGATTACATAGTATGTATTTTGCCGACACAGTAGCCAACTCTAGGGTCTTGTCTTGATTTAACTGGGAATTCTCGAACTGCTCAAGTAAAGTCTCTAGCACGCAAGACGCCGCACTACCCGTTTGGGGATACCTCTCGTCGGACAGCGGCACAGACGGGACGAGAGAAGGGATGAAGAATTGGCGCCAAGCAAAAGGATCCGCTGTGACGTCATGGTAGGCCGAAGTCTCATGGACATGCATGAAAAATGAATGTGTTGAAACAAACAGAAGTGTTAGCCCGAAAAGCAGAGCAATGGGAACTTCAAGAACTTGGGACACGGGGAAAGGAATACGGAATCCAGACTCGGGGAATAGGAGATTTTTGATCGGATGTTCCTTCCTCTGATCCACGTTCCCAAGATTGGCAGTGGAAGGAACGGACGGGAACACAACCGTCAGAGAATGTCTCTCGCCAGTGCTTCCTTCCTTCCATGGTAGACTGCAGGTGGGATGCAACCCACTGCAAATCTCTCGGTTGAACTTTGCAACTCGTCAACTTTGCATTCCATAAGATGTCGAATTCACACCCCTTGCGGCTTTCCCGGAATTGGCATCCGGCAAACAAGAAGAGCCGGCTTGTTGAGGGAAAAACAAGAAGGAAAAGGAGAGGGGAAATAAATGTGTTGAAAAAAAGATAAAAAAACAAGAGGTAAGAGAGAGAAAAAAGCTAACATCTTCAAAATTAGGATGCATATTTACGGACTCCTTACCTCCAAGATGCTGAGACAGGTCGTTCAGCCCACCGAAGGTCTCAGATTCCACGTGGTTTGACCACGACCGAACGGGTCCCATCTCCGGGCGAGTTACCCTCCTAATCCGTTTTCACCAAGCGTCGACGGGAACCGATTCGTCAAACACATGGTCCCAAGACGTTCAGGATGGGTGTTCCACTGCATCCCTCCCAATTCAGTCATGCACCAAGCAAGACCGTAATTTTTCAGGTCGTACGCAGTACACTAGTGTAAGGTCGCAAGCCGCTTTTCTTCACTGTTCTTCGCGTGGGGAACCCATCCAATTCCAACAACATGAGCGCTGCTCACACCACTGGACCCTGGAATGTGGGGGTGTTCCATTCAGGCATCCATTTCGAGATGGAAGCCCTGAACCCTGCTTGTTGATCGTGATTCAACCCTCTCTTCAAGAATTGATGCTAACAGCGGACGTCGTTAGAAAAAGGAGTTAACCTTATTACGTAGATTACTTCTAGATACCCTCGTCTTACTTGAGAGTTGAAACTTCGGGTCTCTTCAAGAAACTCCTTACTCGGATCCTTTTTCCGCCAGCCGAAGCCTTCAAGCCAGGAACCCTTCAGTTGGGCACATTTGCCAACCGCCCAACATGAGCCTGACAACGACACCAACGCAAAAACGAACCCCGTCGGCCATGGGGGGGCGAAGCATCTTCATTGGATGCTTGGGATTCCACACTGGCGCTCCCCGCATCAATCACCAGCAACGCTCAGCCGCACTTTTCTATTTCGAGGAAAGCGCCTGGCGCCATTCACAGGCGGGTGTTGTTTGGGGATCTGTTGGGGGGCTTGCTTCCTGAAGCCTGGGCGTGCAGTGGCACATGGCGCGCGCGGTCTGAATTGTCCCGCATTACCCTTCCTTGCCGGCAAGACGATCACCGCCTCCTGTCTTCTCCGTCCACTATGGGCAAAGAGGGATTTGCTCTCGTCTATTTCGTGATACGCGACGAGCCGCAACGATCGCAATGAGACTCCTGACTTTTTCGGTCTGCTTCCAGTGCCCTTAAATCTTTTTTCTGTTAAATCCCTTGCCGGCTCTGCGGGGTTGCTTAACCCGAGCAGCTTCGCAGCGGGATCTCATCTCATCTCATCTCAAAACCGCGCGCCGTAGGCGTGCTGTGTGGGCTCAGCTTCCCGGCGCAGTGCAACTTGACCGCAGCCCGGGTGCAACCCGATATACAAGACTGAGACAGCCCGTCCACCGGCCTCGCCCGCCCTCGACACCGGACATACCGCGCATCCGGCGCAAACTGGCCCCGAGCCCGAACCCGAGCCCACCATGCCCGGCCTTCCGGATAACTGGGAGTGGGACTATGACGGCAAGCGGTGGTTCTACCGGTACAAGCCGACCGGGTTAATCCAGTTCACATTCCCCAAACCGGGCGATGAGTTTCCCGAGTTTGTCGACGACTTTGGTGGGGGGATACCGGATTTGGAGCCCGAGGAGAGGCTCGTGAGCCAGCAACAGGTGAAGAAGAGGAACAGCCTTTTGAGTGAAGCACAGCCGAAGTCTACGTTTGCACCAGCACCTGTATTTGCACCTGTCCAGGCACCTGCACCGACGCCAGCACCTGCGCCGGCACCGCAGAGGGACCGAGCAGCCTCCGGTGCTGTGTCTGAATCGGACGATGGAGGCACACCGTTTTGGCTTCAACCGGACGGGCTCATGTACATGGGACCGGGAGCGTATAACGACATCAGCCCGTTGCAAGAAGAAGAGGAGGAGCGCCAGCTCGGACATGATAAGTCCGGGGAAAAGGTTACGGAGACACCGACAACCGTGACAGCAGCGACACCGAGTACCATCAATACACCGCTATCAGTGGCAGCGGCAACAGCAACGGCAACAGTAACTGCTAATGCTAGTCCCGGGTCGGCCCGCTCGCAAGCATCAGTGCCAGCAAGTACAAGCGCGAGAGGCACACCTCTTACTGCGAGCAGCGTGCCGGCGGTTGAGACGCCAGAGCTCGACAGCGCAGTGGTCATCGCCGAGCCGAGCGAACTCCCGGCCGCAACAACAGCAACGGCAAGCAGTGTCGTGCCTGCAGAGGCAGAGCCGGCTGAAATTCCATTGCTGGACGGCCGGCCCGTGACGCGCGACCCGGTCGGGTTTGTTGCGGAACTTGCGAGCGAAGCAACGGCCCCGTGCGCGGAGGACCTCAACCCCGCCCCGGTGGAACTGCCCAGTCACGACACGATGGTGCACAATACAGACCCGATTTCGTACCTCAACGCCTTCGAGCTGGCCCCGGTCGAGCTGCCGTTGACTGAGGCTCGTCCTAGTCTAGCCCCGACGGGCAATGTGGCCGATGGGAAGGGGAAGCCGTCCGCGCTGGGAGGGCTGGGAGCATCAGGAGCCGCAAAGCAAGAGACGGAGCAGGACCGAAAAGCCCAACAGGCGGTCCAGGAGCTGATGAAGCGGCCCTACACGCCGAGCGGACAGAATTCTCCCCCAAAACCGGTCCAAGCATTCTCCCCACCGCCACCGCTCCTTGGCTCACGCCCAGGAACACCGGGAACACCAAATCTGTTCCAGCCGTACAACCCGGCGAAGCACGCCGTGCTCGGCCCAGCAGCCGCCGTGCCACCATCATCCACGTCGCCTCCTCCCGGGGGCCTCGCACACCACCCGTCAGTTCTCCAGCCTGCCCGTGGTCGGCCCGTCCTCCGCAACCAGACGCCCCCGCGGAGCCAAAATGCCAGCCCATCCCGGACATACCAGCCGCCTGCGTACCAGCAGCGCCGGGATCTGCAGCAGGATATCGACGAGACGGTGCAGCTGCTGTCGAACGCGGTGTCTGCTACGCCTCCTCCTAGTCTTACGCCCGGTCCGCCGTCGACTGCAAACCGGCCGCCTGTGTCACGTACAAGCACGGTACCAACCAACAGTCCCGGTTCTGTCCCTCCCCACGTGAATGCGCGACCGCAGATGCCGCCGTCTGTCGCTAGCGAGCCGGTCGTGCACACATTACATGGTGTGGCAAACGCACCAAATGTCCCAAACGGACCCAACGGACCAGGTACACAGAACGCACCGAGTGCACCGAGTGCACCAACTCCCGCTCCGCCCCTTGCCATAGGCTTCTCGGGTCCTCTTCCGCCCTCTGGAGCTGACGTTCCCCCGCCGCTGAATCTCTCGCGCAAGTCGCCGCCGCCCCCGAGTCAAGCCGGAGCTGGTGCTGGGGTGTCGGTGCCGTTGTCGTTACCTGAGGCTGTTGCGAGCGTGTTTGCTCCTGGGAATACGGATGCGCCTCCTCTGGGTGCTCCTCCTGCGGCCGTTCCTGCTCCGGTTGTCGGAGCTGGGGTGTCAGTGCCGCTGTCATTGCCCGAGGCTGTGGCGAGTGTGTTTGCCCCTGAGAATGCGAATCTGCCTCCTGTGGGTGCTCCTGCGGGCGTTCCTGCGGGCGTTCCTCCTGCGGTTGCCGGGGCCGGGGCCGGGGCAGGTGGTGTCGCGCCTGCGGTTGTTACAGCGTCGGTTGTGACGAGGCCTAGGGGGAACACACAAGTCAATGGCAGTGCCAGTGTTGTGGCGGGTCAGGGACTCCCACGGCCTGCTGGACCAGCCCAGACCTCTGGTTTTCCGATCGTTGAAGCGGCTCCTGCGCAGGTTTCGATGCAGAACCCTCCCATCTTCCCAGGCAGCTCAATAGCTGCTCAGCCCGTGGGTCCAGCCGGGGGCCTGGGACCGGTGGTGGAAGTGCAGACAGGCGTGCAGCCAGAGCAACCACCAGCGGCTTCACTTCCCGTTCCTGCTGTTCAGAGCTCGCATCTCGTTGTGCATCCCCAGCCTCAGCTTCACAATTCCACCATCACGCCCCAGGCGCCCACACCTCGCACGCCCAGCCCTGTCTCGCAAGCACCGTCACCGCCCACGCAGGCCAATACTCTTGTTCCCGCAGCGCCAGGAGCAGAAGCTGGAAACAGAACTTCGATGCCCCCGCCAGCCCCACCACCAAAGGATACACCACCACGAGTCGGAAACACAGCTCCAGCAGCACAAGCACAAGCAGCACAGGCAACACCACCGCGGTACACAATCCCCGTCGGCTACCACCCCCTCGCTTCGCACCCCGTCAACGGAGCCCGATCCTCCCCGCCGCGGCCGAAACTCCCCACTGCAGCTACTGCCCCCCCTCAGACCCCCCCAGTAGCGCCGCAAAACTACCAGACACCACCGCAGTTCATGACGCCGGGTTCTATCCAAGGCCCTCAACCGCCCCGCGCTGCATCCGTTCCCGTGCCGATGCAGACACCGGCGCAGATTGTACCTGGGCAGGGCGGGCCTGTTCCGACACCGCCGCAGCTGTCCCAAAACCCGCCTGCTTCTCAGAACGGGCTTCAAAACCTGGGTCCGGGTGGTGGTACTTTTTCACCGCCGCCGCCTGCTGGTTTGCAAAGGGGGGCGCCCATTCATCCTGCGATCCCTCCTGCAGGTCACCCTGTGGTGAATCATCCCGGCGCGCCTGAGACGGCACCACCGCAGATGCAACAAATGTTTGCGCCGCCGGGGATGGGGCCGGATGTGCCGCAGCCAGTGCATATGCAACAGCAGCAACATCCACAACAGCAAGGGCAGCATCAACAGCCGCAGCCGCAGCCGCAACAGCAACAACAGCAACAGCAGCAGGGGCAGCCACAGCAATTCCAGCCGCAACAACAGCAACCGCAGAATCAGCAGCAACAGCAATTGCAACAACAACAGCAGCAGCAGCAGCCCCTCCCCGGGGGCCCGCAGCTTGGGATGTTCCCTCAGCAGCCGGGAGCACCCCACATGATGCCGCCAAGCCAGGGGCCAGCGGGGGGCTACGTCATGCCGCAGCAACCACCACAACAGCAACCACAGCAGCATCCACAACAGCAGCAGTTTGCCCCGAACCCACAACACCCTCATCCTCATCCTCATCCCCAACATCCACATTTTGCACAACCCGCACGACCAAAAGAAGAAAAGGGCTGGTTCGGCCGTCTCTGGGGAAGCGACAGCCCCAAAAAGCCCATCACCGTCAGCGCGCCCCTGCCAAACACGTTCCAGAAGGGAGCCCCCTTTCCTCAGCAGCAAATGCCCTTTGGCTTCCCGGGGGCTCAGCCGTTGAATCAGGGGCCGCCATCCGGACCACCGGGACCGCAGCAGGGACCGCCACAGGGACCGCCATTGGGACCGCAGCAGCCCATCCAGTCTGGTTCGCAGCCGGGGTCTCGGCCGGGGTCGCAGGGACAACCACCGTTTGGACAGACTCCAGGTGGTGGTCCGCTGCCGGCGTATTTGATGGTGCAGCAGCAGCAGCAGCAGCAACAAGCTGGGAAGATGGGGCAGCCGGGACAACCAGGACAACCGGGGCAGCTAGGACAGCTAGGACAGCAGCAGCCCGGTCCGCCTCAGCAACAGCATCAGCCCCACCAACAACCTCCACAACAGCCCCTCCAGTTCCAACTACACCAGCAGCCAAACCCGCAGCAACAACAACAGCAGCCGCAGCCTCAACAGCAACCTCACCAACAACAGCCCCTCATGTGGCACGCCGTCAACAACTCCAACGCAAACAGCAACGGGAATTCACCCCCTGCGCAAATCCAAAACCCCCAGTTTCCCTCGGTCCGCCCCAACTCTGGCACGCCCGCGCCCCCGCCCGACGTCATGCAGGGGATCAAGAAGCAAGAGCAACGGCTGTCCTTGCAGGGACAGCGGTTGTCGTTCCAGCCGGGGCAGAGGCTTTCGTTACAGGGGCAGCCGCCGCCTCAGCTTCAGCCTCCACAGCAGCAGCAGCCGCACTTACAGCAACAGCAGCAGCCGCAGCAGAAGCTCTTGCAACCGGCTGGACAGGGTGGAGGATTAGTCAAGCGCTTGTCGAAGGCGCCGTTGCCGGCAGCGTCGGCGTATGATGGTGCTGGGTGGGGGGATGATGATTTGTAGGCAGTGTTTGGTTTGGCATTTTGGCATTTTGAGGGTGACTGTTATGATACCACTTATACTTGGAAACACGATATTTAGAAATATACGCTATACTACATTTTATCCTACATGATATTAATTGTCTACACTTGAAAGTAGAAGAGGCGAAGTTCAGTTTTAGTTTAGTTGTTAAGTTGATAACACAGCCCGTGTTGAACCTGGCAGGCTGCCGGCTCGCCATACTAAACACTGGAGGCAAGCATACACGGTGCATCGACGGTTTTCATGAGAAACGGTGCTTGAAATTGCGGACCTTGATCCTTCGTTGCTGGTGTGGTTTCTTTGTCAGGGTTAGGGTTAAGTAACGTCGCGACTGCCAAAATTCACCTCGAAATCTCACCAAATCTCACATCTCCAACTCAGCTCACAACTCCCAACTCACAATTTACAACTCACCCCTCACTCTTCTAGCCCAGCCACCTGCCACCATGAGATATCTCCGCTCAGGCTTCCCCTGGCCCTCACCAACCCCTCTCTTTCACACAGGGCCGCGTCAACCTTTGCAATCTCTCCGCCAAACACCAACTAAACTTAACCCCAAACCCAGATCAAAACAACCCTACAGCACCAGCCAAACCACACCAAATAAACCCCCCAACCCCCCAACCCCCCCATCAGCCTCCCCATCAAACCCACCACCACCGCCGCAAGCAAAGTTACAAACCCGCCTCCAAACCCTCCTCACCCGCCTCCCAAAACCCCTCCAACCCTACGCCGCCCGCCTGCGTGGCGCCCCGATCACGCACATCGTCGCATTTCTGGTCCTACACGAGTTGACGGCGGTGATACCGTTGGTCGGATTGTTTGTGGGGTTTCATTATACCGAGACTGGGGGGAGGGTTGTTCCTACATTACTCGGCTATTTTCAAGGTGCTGCCTCTGCTGCTGGTACTGGTACTACTGCCGTTGGGGAGGGGGGTGATGGGGTTAGGAAAGGTGAAGAAGGGAAGAGTGAGATGGAACTGGCCGAAGAAAAGTTTGCGAGGTGGTTTAGGCGGAGGGGGTGGTTTGGGTTTGGAAAGGAGGAGGGTGAGACCCAAGGGAACCAAGAAGGACGAACCCAAGGGGGACAAGAGGGAGAGGGAGGACAAGGACAAGGAGCGAGGGTGCTGGTGGAGGTCGGGTTGGCGTATGTGTTGACCAAGGCGTTGTTGCCGGTAAGGATTGTGGTGAGTGTGTGGGCGACGCCGTGGTTTGCGGGGGTGTTGGGGGGGTTGAGGAGGTTGGTGAAGTGATCTCTAGATCTACCTCGTGGGTAGAGAGGGGACGGTGTTCAAATGACAGGAAGAGATACAGAGAGATAGAGATATGGAGAGGCAAACAAACAGACATATGCTTAGCATGTACAATACAATACAATACAATACACAATACACCGTGAACCTGAACGAAGTCTATGCAAACGCCATACCCTCCTTCCACCACTCCGCAACCCCCCGTTTCTCCATCGCCGCCGCAAACTCCTGCACCGACGGCACCTCAAACAGGCCACTCCGCTCTTCCGGTACCGTCCCCGCGGCTATCGGCACCGGCGCCGGCTTCTGCGCCAGCTGGTAGTCCTTGTACCGCAGTCTCTGTCCTCGTCAGTCAACCCGAGTCCCATCTAATACCCTCCAGCACCCGCTCTACTCCCATCGAGTAAGATACCTCGGGTAAGGAAGAGACATACATGAACAGCATCGACCCACCCCCTCACACCCCCCTCGCTACCGCTGCAGTACATGATGCCCGGACACCCGCCGGAGCGGAGGAGGGCGAAGCACTCGTATTTGGCGGCGGCCTTGCGGAGGAGGGCGACTTTCTTGCGGGAGGTGATGTGGTGGGTGCGGATGAGGGCGTGGAAGCGCATGGCATGTTGGTTTTTGGGAGGAGGTTACAGGTTGCAGGCTGCAGAGAGTGAGTGTGTGGGTGGGTATGAGTGGGCAGTGGGTTGAGTGGTGGGTGAGGCAGGTACAGTGTTAATTCATATGCGCACTGTTGGCACATCGAGCCGAGGCCTGCATGTAAGTCGACGGACCCAAGACAAAGAACATTTTGGTATTACAAAACATCCTTCAATGTCTGAATTCCCCCGTAGTATTAGGATTCTAGACTTTGCCAGTTCCAATTTTAGGCAACATGCTCATAGCCACTGTGGTACACACCAGGACCAGTCACGTGGCTTCGTGTTGTACTCGAAGACGCCAAGCCCCCACGCGACTCAGTCACGCCTGCCTTGACAACTTTCAACTCCATTCAGGTCCACCGAGGCCTCTGTCCGTTGGGGGCCGCTGGCGTTGGACATCTGCTGCCTGTTGGCACAAACGATGAACGAAAACCAGCATAAAAGGACGTCTTTTAAAACCACACTTTCATAAACACCCACAACCCCTTGTCAACATTGTCAACACCGCCAACAAAACACAAATGTCACCCAAACCATGCCCTTCCCCTTCTCCCACGTCAGCGACCTCCTCCAACACCTCGAGGACAACCGTCTCGCCCGCTCCGGCGTCCGAACCAACGCCAGCCTCATCCACGAGTGGTTCCGGGCCCACCGTGCCTTGCTCGCCCGCGACGACCACGCCAATGCCCCCTTGCTCTCGGCCCTCCTCCCAGAGAAGCGGACGGACAGGGTGTATTTCATCCGGGAGAAGAAGCTTCAGACCATTATTGGCCGGGCACTGGGCTTGGGACGGTCGCGGATTGCGGAGTTGGGACGGTGGACGAATCCGGCGGCGGGGAAGGATTTGGCGGAGTGTGTGGAGGGGATTTTGAGGCAGACGGTAAGATGGCCGTAGTGGAAAGGTGATGAATGATCAGGACTGATATTGGATAGCCGAACCCCGGAGACAACCCTGTAACGGTGGAAGAGATTGACCAACTTCTCCACCGGATTGCCGCGGCCTGTCGGTTCAGCTCGCCGGCGGTGCGCAGCTCGGCGGGAAACCAGCCAGCAGACCAGGAGCTCTCCATCGGCGGCTTGTACCAGCGGGTGTCGGCCCGGGACGCGAAATGGCTCACGCGCCTGATCCTCAAAAACTATGAGCCCCTTGTTTTGGACTTGAGGGTTGTCTGCTCGGGCTATCACCCCTTGCTGCCGGCCATTCTCAAAGTTCAAGACGATTTGGCTGTTGCTGGGCGCATACTAGACTCCTTAAAACGCGGGGATGCGGCGACGGAAACTGATTTGGCTGAGCACCTCAAGCCTGCGCTCGGGGTAAAGGTTGGCAGACAAACATGGCTCAAGGGACGCAGCATCAAGCACTGTTTGTCCATGCTGCAGGGGCGGTTCAGCTGTGAGGAGAAGATGGATGGCGAGTATTGTCAGATTCATATCGATCTCAGCAAGGGGCACAATTGCATCCAGATCTTTTCAAAGAGCGGCAAAGACAGTACCAAGGACCGCTTTGCCTTGCATGAGTATGCACATCGTACCCTGGGATACCATACCCTTTGTGGTGTCTCTGCTAACGTAACGATAGTTCGATCCGAAAGTCACTGCAGCTCGGCCAGCCATCGTGTCCTTTGAAACAGAGCTGTATCCTGGAAGGCGAGCTTGTAGTGTACAGCGACAAAGACCACAAGATACTCGACTTCCACAAGATCAGAAAGCACGTCTCCCGATCAGGCTCGTTCTTGGGCACCGACCAAGACTCGCCGCCACATCCCTGGGAGCACCTTATGATTGTCTACTACGACATTCTCATGGTCGACCAGGAGTCCCTTCTCGCGGTCCAGCACTCCAAAAGGTTCCAGCGCCTCAAGGACCTCATCACTCTCATCCCCGGCCGGTCATCGATTGTGAAGCGGGAAGTCCTCGACTGCGCCAGGTCGTCTGCCCGGTCAGACTTGCGCCGCGCCTTTGCCAAGTGCATCACAGCCCGTGGAGAGGGTCTTGTCCTCAAGGCAGATGACCCCTACTTTGACTTTGCCACCCAGCAGCGTCCATACCGGTGCTGTGCCATCAAGCTCAAGAAGGAGAGCATTGGCCATTTTGGCGAAATTGGCGACTTTGCCGTAGTCGGAGCACGGTTTGACCCGACCAAGGCACGCACATACACTAACATACGAAACCTAAAATGGACTCACTTCTACCTTGGCTGTCTAGAGAACAAAGAGGAGGTGCAGCGGTTTGGGAAGCAGCCGCAGTTCGTGGTCACCAACGTGGTCGAGTTGAACGCCGTACAACTAGCTTCGTTCGTCTCGGCGGTTAACCCAGAGTCGGTCCTCCCAGAGGACAACACGGCCATCCGGCTCCGCATCGAGCCCGGCATCGACGGGGGCAAGCGGCCCTCGCTCATCTTCCCCACGCCCCCGGTCTTTGATCTCCGCTGTTTTTCGTTTGACAAAGAGGGCAACACCGGGTTTTGGAGCCCACGATTCCCTACAGTCGCCAAAATCCACACCGACCGAACCTACCACGATACCATCTCATTTTCTGAACTCCAAGACATGGCGAACCGGGAGCGCGAGATGCCTCCTCCTGATGACAGCCAGGAGCTCCTGCGCTGGATTGCTGCTTTGGAGCAGTCGGACCGCTGTAAGGGAATGAATGTCCCCAGCCAGTCGACGACCATTTCTTCTTCCCCGACCTCGGCGGGCGCACACACGCCGCAGTCGCCCCGCTGTTCCCTCCTGCCCGGCAACCAAGCCGGTCACCTGCCGGGTGGCGGGTTCTCGCCTGCCCACCAACGCGCCCCGTCGCCGTCGCCCATGCCCGTCGCGTCGGGCAATTTTCGCATTACTCATAGCGAAGGGGCTGGTAATTACCACAACCAGATAGGAGGAATGCAGCATAACCTCCAACCACAACAGAGACAACAACACCAAGCGAGGCAAGCACGATCCCCGCAACCACAGCCACAAAAACCTGCCCCAAAGCCAGCTACCAGGACTCCCCTGGCCGCGCACCCGCCCGGGTCCCGGCCCCTCGCCGAGGTCGCCCCCTCTCTCCTGGAGGGTGCGGCCAAGATCAAGGAGGGCGCAGCCCAGATCAAGGAAGGCCGCAAACGGCTACTGGAGCTGGGGCCCTCGTCCCATGTTGAAGAGGCGGAGAGAAGCAAGATCCGACGGCGGTCCCCCTCTCGAGGGACTTACGCGTCATTTTCATCGTCCCTTTCGCCCGACACCGCTAAACAGCCCAACACCGCTAAACAGCCCATCGCTGCGAGGCAGGCCGACGCCACGGGGATGCGAAACTCGTCGCGGGATACAGTGGATGGGTTGGTTCAGTGTGGTGCGAGCCTGATTCGTCGCGTTGGTACCGCCGCGGCGGGGGATTTGGGGGTAGTTGACGATGGTCTTGACGGGGGTCGAGAGAAGGTCCCGTCCGGTCATGTTTTGGTCAGCAACGACACCGACAATGACATCAACGGCAGCGGACACACCAATGGCCTCGGAAACGGCAACAGCAACAAACATGACAACAACAACAGTAGCGCCAACAAGCCCAACAAGCAACCTCCTACGTGCCGGTTGCTGGGAACGGCCTGCAAAATACAGGACTACTCGTTCCTTCTCGCGCCTTGCATCGCCGACTACCCCTGGGTCACCGACGATATGCTCCGGGGACATGGAGTGACGCAGTTTCTGCGGGATCCGAGAGAGTGGGCGAATTCTGCAGCTGCTGGTCCCAGCAACAGCACTCAGGCTAGTCATACCAACACACACGGTTCTATCAACAACTCCGGCCATACCAACGCCCAAGACCACCCCAACACGCACGGCCACAACCAAACCCAAAGCAACAAACCCACCCCCCAAACTAAAATCATCCTCGTCGACCGCCGCCGCGTACACGCCACCAAAACTTTCCTACGCTCCGTCGAGGCCGCTCGTTTACACAACCCGCGCACCGGCAAGCGTGAGTGGGTGCCTGTGTACGACTGGCATGTATTGGGGGCGCTTTGTGAGGAGGAGCGGAAGATGGGGAATATTGAGGGTGCTTCGCGGCAGAGTGCGATGGGGAGGTTGGAGGTGGGGAATGCGGCGGGGGTTTGGAGGCGGTTTTGGGTTGGGTTGGCGTAGTACTTGACTCTGGTTTGTTCGGAGTTGGAGAGGCAGACTGGGATTCTCGTGTTTCTCAGTCGGCGTGGCTATTATTGAGGTTTAATTAAGATACCCTAAATTATATCAGACATAGAAGTCAAAGATGTTTCGAGGAAGACTCCATAGAGATTCTTCATAATATTACTTAACCTAGACTCGTCCCATTTCACAGTTCCATCCTGTTGTGTTGTAAGATCGGATTCCTCTGAATACATGAATTTCACAGCGATGTTAAAAAAGTGCTTAAAGAGGGAAGGAAGGAGGGAAGGTGCGATGGTGAGCTTTAGGGTTTGGAACCTGACAGTTGCAGACCTGTAATGACGGGCCCATTGCAAAGTAAGGTACTCTGTATACCCACGAAGCAATCCAGCCCTCCCGTTCTCAGCCTTGTCGTTTACCAAACAAAACCCGCCGAAGTCCCCGTCCCATTTACACTACACGTGGTGTGAATAATCCCCTCCAAGGATAACCCCCCTTCGCCAAGTGTGGGGGTCGGCCCCGTTTGGGAAACTGCGACTAATTTCACAATCGATGTTTTTTTTCCCGTCTATTGAGTGAAATCGACTTTCCTACTCTCAATTGACTATTGAGTCTCGTTTTAAAGTACACACTCTCTTCACGCCTTAGGCTGATGCATCTAATCCGAGTTACGTTCATATTTTTTCGGTTAAAAGCTCGAGATCTGATGGTGCCATTTTGACCAAGCCAAGCCTTTTAGCTGAACTTTATTTTCTCTCTTATCTCGATCCTTTCTCCCACTCTTTGTCTTCCCCTTCTTCAACCCTCCTTTCTCCACTGAGTTGACATCGACACATAATGTCAACCGAGCCCAAAACTGACGAGGGCCCCGCCCCGTCTAAGGCATCCGACGTTCCCAGTACTCCTCCTGCTGCTGATGACACCCCCACCAACCATGACAACAACGGCAACAACAACACACGCAAAACCCGCCTCCGAACCCTACTCTCCAAAGCGGCCGCCTTCGGCCGGGTCGAGGTCCGCGGCATTACACCGATCCCGGTTAAAGAGCGGACGGTGACACGCACGGTGAATGTGTTTACCCTGTGGTGGTCCATGAACACGAATATCCTGGGGTGCGCTCACCCCATCCCGTATTATTTACTCCTCTCAACATGATACTGACAAGAAAAGCATAACCTTCGGCCTCCTGGCCCCCGTCTACGGCCTCGCCCTCCGCGATGCCTCCCTCGTGATCCTCTTCTTCACCCTCCTGACCACCATCCTGCCCGCCTACCTCGCCACCTGGGGCCCCCGCATCGGCATGCGGCAAATGCTCCAGGCACGCTACAGTTTCGGCCGGTATCTCGTCTCAGTCCCCGTGCTGCTCAACCTGGCGACGCTGATGGGGTTCTGCGTGATTATGGCCGTGGTCGGCGGGTTGTGTCTGTCGTCGGTGCCGGAGGATGCGGGGGCGTTGAGTGTGACGGTGGGGATTGTGGTGATTGCGGTGGTGACGGTGGGGATTTCGTTTTGTGGGTTTACCGTGTTGCATGTGTATGAGAGGTATGCGTGGATTCCGGCGACGGTGGCGTTGATTGTGGCGGTGGGGACGGGAGGCGGGGAGTTGAGGAAGCAGGTGGTGTATGATGAGGTGGAGAGACCGCCGCCGACGGCGGCTGCGGTGTTGTCGTTTGGGATGATTGTTGCGTCGTATATGGTGCCGTGGGCGTGTTTGTCGTCGGACTTTACGACGTACCTGCGGCCTGACACTTCGTCGTATGTTCTTCCTTTCCTTTTCTTTCCTTTCCCTTGCTTTTACTTTCCTTTATCTTCGACAAGGAATGCTAACAACCCAGAACCAAAATCTTCACCTACACCTACCTCGGCCTCGCCCTGCCCACCATCCTCCTCATGACCCTCGGCGCGGCCATCGGCAACGCCATCCCCAACGTCCCCGCCTGGCAGGCCGCCTACGACCGCACCCTCGTCGGCGGCGTCCTAGCCGCCATGCTGGCCCCCGCCGGCGGCTTCGGCAAGTTCCTCGTCGTCATCCTGTCCTTCTCCCTGCTGGGCAATATGGCCGCCACCAGCTACAGCATCACGCTCAACCTGCAGCTGCTGCTTCCCTGGCTAGTCAAAGTACCCCGTTACCTGTTCTCGATCGTGTTTGCGGCGGTCGTCATCCCCGTGGCAATCAAAGCCGCGGGGGAGTTCTTTGAGAACCTGGAGAATTTCGTTGCCCTGATCGGGTACTGGAGCTCGGCGTTTCTGGCGATTGTGCTGGTGGAGCACTTTGTGTTCCGCGGGGGTGACTGTGCCGCGTATGAGTTCGACGCGTGGAATGATGCGAAGCGGTTGCCGTGGGGTGTTGCGGCGCTGGCGGCGGGGGTGTTGAGCTTTGGGCTGGTGGTGCCGAGTATGGCGCAGGTGTGGTGGACGGGGCCAATCGCTGAGACGACGGGGGATATTGGGTTCGAGCTGGCGTTTGCGGTGTCGGGGGTGTTGTATGTCCCGTTGCGGTGGGTGGAGCGGCGATGGACGGGGAGGTAGTCCCCTGCTTATTTATGTAGAGCAGGTAGCCCAGATATGTCGGATTAATAGAACCTAATATGATAATTCACACGGCAACACGGCTCTATTTCCACCACACACACCAACACCATAATACCCCCCCATCGACCCGACCCTCTAAATCTCCCCATCAAGCCCTCCCCCCCACAAACGGCGCCTTCATATTCGCCAACACCACCCTCCACCCATCCGGATCCTCATACGTCCTCCCGACCCCATCCCAATACGGATTATAACTCTTCACCGGCTCCAACCCCGCCTCCTCCTCCATCCGCCTCGTAGCCCGCGCAAACTCTTCCCCATCCGGTAAATAAAAAACCAGCAGGTTATCCTGCGTCGGCGCACGCCCCACGGGAGCGCCTGTCTGGTGGTGCGTGAACTCGAGTTGGTAGGCTGCGAGGGTTGGGTGGCCCAGGACGATGCCGGAGAAGCCGGCGTGGTCTTGGAAGGCGCCGAGGGGGGTGAAGCCGAGGCCGGTTTGGTAGAAGTGGGTGAGGGAGGAGAGGTTGTTGGTTGGGCGGGCGATGCGGATGTGGGCTGTTGCGAGGGACATGGTGGGTGTTGGTGATGTGTGCATAGATGGTGGGGTGATGATGGAGGGTGCTTGGCTGTGATAATACGGGTTGCGGTCTCAAGACACGAGAGAGAAGAATTCGCGATTTGAAATAAATAAGAAAGAAGAAATACGAATATACATCCGAGGCATACTCACCGACGCCGGCGCCGAACCTACCTCGGAATACCGGCGTTAAGCCAAAAGGTCAGTTCGGTCGAACTGTTCCCGATTCTGCGTTGCGCTTACAGTACGAATACCACCTCAAAATACAACAAACACCCCACAATACCACCCCTAAATGCTACTGCAGCGAATACTCCAAGTGCAAATGTGAAGTCTTACTATTAGAGAACGTTATATCCGGATTAGCTAATACCCTAACTTTTGTGTAACACCAAGCATTAGCTGAGCCTCAGCCAGGTATACCATTGAGGTCTGGAATTGTTTTGGAATCTGGCTTTGACAAGACCAGACGAGGGATCCCCACTTTCCCAAATGGAACAAATGGAATCTTGGACGCACCTGCCATGCAGGCTGTGGATCTCGTCTGTTGACCCGCCACGAGGCCGCCTGGCACCGTGTGGTCGCCAGTGGGGCAGACCCGGCACTTGGCTAGGTTGTCAGCGAAGCATTGCGCTGCTGCGCCGCTAAAATACCGAGCACAAGCCCTCCGTTCAGGCCTGCCCAAAGACCCAACACAGCGGCAGCTAGCCCCACCACCGGGCACGGGTACTGTAGTACAGCCATGGATGAGCCACCGGCATGTCGTAACCTCTTTGACACGCCCAGACGGTCGGCAGCCAGGATCGGCGGTCCAACGCGGCCTGAGACGCGCAAGCAGACCACTTCTGCAATCCGGCAACCGCCAACAAACCCCCCGCCGGCCCCCTAGCAGCCGACTTTCATGTTTCAAAACGTCGCAACACTGGGCGAATCGTATTTTCGGCTTCGCATCTTGGGCTCGGAATCGTATGCCACACCAGACGCTTGGTGGTTCTGTTTTCTTTCTTTCTCTCATACAACAACCGAGCCCGACTTACTCTCGCTTTCCCCCCGCTCAGGCTGGAACCAAACGTTGAAGCATCCATTCGGTTATTGGACCTGAACTTTGACGATCGCGTGCTCACCTTTGCCCAACTTATCACGATACGGAATATTGGAACCGCTAGACCTACACAGTCCGAGCGAACCAACACATACTATCCAACATAACCAACAAACCCAACCACGAGAAATAACAAAAACGACCCCAAAATGCCACCTCCCATGCTCATCCACGCAGCAGCGGCAGCAGCCTCGCCCCGTCACGCCCGTCTCGCCCGTGCCACAGCCACAGCCGCGACGACAACCACCTCTGCCGTGCTCCTCGCCCGCCGCGACCTGACTGTCAACGACGCCCAAAAGGTCACCCTCGGCATCATCGCCGTCTATGTCGTCGCCATCGCCCTGCTGTGGAACATCCCGTATGTTCGGGGTATTCTTTGGCCTTTTAAGGTGCGTTCTCCTTCTTTCATGATAACCCCCCCAACCTTCACAGGTAGTTAGCTGTGACCTATGACTAGCACAATGACACTAACTTGAGAGGATGTGATTTAAAGATGCTCGTAATCGCCTTCCACGAATTCTCCCACGCCTTCGCCTGCGTCCTAACCGGCGGCCGGGTCCAATCCATCTCTCTCGACCCCCGCGAAGGCGGCGTCACCCACATGCTAGGCGGCCGCAACGCCGTGACCTTACCCGCCGGCTACCTCGGCTCGTCGCTGATCGGCGCTTTGCTGACCTTTGCCGGGTTCAACATCAACGCGAGCAAGATTGCGAGTATTGTTGTGGGCGTGGCTTTCTTGTTGACGTTGTGGTGGGGCAGGAGGGATTGGTTGACTATTCTGACGGTGTTGGCGGCGGTCGGGTTGTTGGTGGGGTGTTGGTTTATTGCGCATGCTGAGGCGTTGAGGTTTGTGGTGTTGTTTATTGGGGTTATGAGTTCGTTGTATAGCGTGTGGGATATCGTGAGCCCCCCCTGCTTTCCCTCCTCCCCGTTCCCAATCGAAACTAACACAAACCCTCCCCCCTAGTGCGACGACCTAATCCTACGCAAAGTCAACTCCTCCGACGCCAGCGTCTTCGCCCAGCGCTACGGCGGTTCCTCCCAGTGCTGGGGCGTCATCTGGTCTGTCATCTCCCTCGGCTTCATGGCTGCCGGCATCGTCGCTGGTATCGCTGCCTTCCCGCAGTCGGCGACCCAGCAGCGCGAGGACTCGCAGCATTTTATTCCTACCAAGTTTTAAAAGACCGTTCGTTCCCGCGCGATTCGTGTTTTGGGTTGATTAGGGGGGATCAGGGTGGGTTGGCTTGGTTTGGTTTGGTTGGGGGGTTTTGAGTTTCTGCGTTGGGGGTACCGACTCCTGTTTTTTCGCTTGTGACGAAGAGAGAAAAGACCGGAGGGTTTCAGGCGTTGGTGCATAGGTCGGACGACGGATTTAATGATACCCGCTGGCAGTGTTTTGGAGGAAGAGGGAGGAAACAGGTCCCATGAAGCTTTTCGGGGGGGTTTCCATTTATATATGATATCGGGTGGCTAACTGGGTGGTTTCCCACTGAAATCCAAGAGGAGACGGTTGTGTATGAACTTTGATGGGTGACGTAATGGGCGAGGTGGGATGAACTGAAGAATGGATGGGACGGGACGGCGTTATATTGGTATTAGTAGAAAATAAGGCTCGGATGAGGGCATACGGTGATTACTTGCGTTTTGCGTAACTCTGGGTGTACTAGACTGCTGATTGTCGTGTGGTATGAAAAACTAGTGTTGCCTCATGAACATGGAGGTTCGATAGGGCGCATGGGGTAATCCGGCACACATACCCTCCTCACTTTTTTCACGGTCCCGTATGTATGCACACGAAAAAAACATTGCTTGCCTGATCTGTCTACCGCAGAGATAATGCTGGCCCCCATTCTTGCTTGAAACTTGTACACACCGTACCCGCACTACCCGCCCATACTCTCTACAATCCTTTTCTCACTTCTCGCTCTAGATGCTCCCAACCACCGGTAACACCCAACACAGCAACGCCCAAATACGCCGGGGAACAACAAAAATTGACCCGTGTTTCCCACCCTACCCATGTTCCTGACACCAAAACTCCGACCCTTCATAACACATATCATCCCGGTTTCCCTTCCTTGCAGCTTAAAATGTGTAGCCATACCGCTTGCCCTAAAGCAAAGATGGTGTGCCATGTCCTTGAGCAAAATAGAATGCCACTCTTGATGAATCTCCTACTCTCCTTTGACCTTGAACACCTTCCCTGATTTCTCAAACAGGGCCTCGAATGACGTCTTGATCTGGTTCCTTGGGCATCCCGGGTTACTGGCCGCAAACAGCTCGATCACGCCGACTTTGCTGAGCGTCGGCATAGAGCGCACAAGGTCCTTTAGTTTCTGCTGCATATCCAGCGGCAGCGGTTGCTGTGACTTCTTTGCCCCTGTTGCGTTGGGGTTGCTGAGAGCCTGGAATGCGTCTGCCGGGGCGGGGGGTGGCGCCATTGGGTTAGCACGTCCATCTTGACCGGAACTTAAACTCGCGGAAACATTCGTAGTGGATGCGGATATGGATGCGGATATGGATGCGGATATGGATGCGGGTGTGGATGCGGATACGGCTGATGGTTCGTTACCTGCGCTCGGTTTCGTCTTCGGCGTCTCCCAGTACCCGGTCGAGAAGGGGTCGATGCTGTGGTGTTGTTCCAGTGGTTCTGCGAGCGGTTAGTATGTATTTTGGCAGAAACAAACTGGGGATAGTCATAAACCCACCTAGAACAAATTCTAGCCGGAATTGATGTAGCTTCGGTTCCGCGTTGCTTCCAGTTTGACTCTCCCATGACGGACCAACGCTCTCGGGCTCGATACCACCAGCCCCAGTAAAGATCATCCGCGCGGGGCCAACATCCTCGGAATCGTCCAGGAAGTCGTCCATGTCCTCGTCTCCGTCGACTTCCTCTTCCTCATCGTCCAAATCATCCACGTCCTCGCCATCGTCATATTGCCACTCTGCCTCCGAATCATCTTCGTATCTCAGGTCAAGAACCTCGGCGGCTGGCTTTCGTGCTAGTCGGCGGAAGTCCTTCATCCCAGGGGGCGGGCCGCTGATCGTGCCGATGTAGGGCGGTCGAACATCTTCCCTGAATTTGATCGACTTTATCGGTACTGACTTCAAGGTCTCCAACGTATGCTTCATCTGAGCCTTCTGTGACTCTGTCGTGGGACCGGTGAGATTGTCTGACGAAAGACCCTCAAACTCTGCCATGATTTTCTTAACACTCGGGTACACCCTCCCGCGGCGAGTTTTGTAGGGTATCTGGAGTGCTTCAAGGGGCTCAAAGGTAGTCGCCGAATGTTGACACTCGCCTGAGAGATACTTGTCCAAAATCCTCGTTTTGGCCTCCTTTGTCTCCTCGTCCATCTGGACCGCGGTCCTCGCTAGCCGGACATGCTCCTTCACAAAGAATGGTTTGAACATCTGGTCGTACAGTGATGTCTCCTTTACCTCGCTGCTCGCCGTGGCACCGACTGGCTGAGCGTCGCTCAGTTGAAGTGCTGCAAGCTCCTTCTTAGGGGCGGCTGCGGTGCGGTTGAACATGTTGGTCAACTTCATCTGGCTGCGTGCTTTCTTGGCCTCCTCCTCCTCCTTTTCTTTCTTTTTCTTTTCCTTCTCCTCGGCGCGCTGCTTCTTCTCGTTCTCCTTCTCCGCTTTTTCTGCTGCTTTGGCGGCCTTTTCCGCAGCCTTCTGTTTCTCAGCCTCCTCCTTCTCTGCTGCCTTCGCCGCTTTCTCCGCGGCCTTCTGTTGCGCCTTCAATTTCTCAGCTTCCTCCTTCTCGCGCTTCTTTTTCTCCCGCTCCTCATCCTTCTTCTGCTTCTCCGCCGCATCTCTCGCAGCCTTCTCTTCGCCGGTAAGTCTCTTCTTCTTCGGCGGTTCACCGTTAGTCGATTTTTGCGGCGTGACTTTGGCTGGTGCCGAGCCAAGTTGGGTTGGTGCCGTTGTTGTTGACGAAGGAGCTGGCGTTGACCGGGGAGATGGGGACGGGGCGTTTTGTGGGCTACTCGCTGGCTCGCTCAAGCTTGATGTGGATTTTGCCTGAGACGAAGCCGCCGCACCAGCTGAAGGGTGTCGGTTATCGTTCTCTTCTGTAAAATCAGGGCAGAGCCGTGGTCAGAAAAGACCCCCCTTAGTTGAAGCGTCTAGTTGCAACTTACTGTCGCTCAACGAATCTCCCGTCTGAGTATGCTCCGAGTCCCGAAACGAGGGTGCCCCGCATGAATCTTGGTTGAGGAAATCGCCATGGGATCGCTTTCGACCCGCGAGGTCCCTGTCTTGGACCTCGGGAGACATGGCGAGAGAAGACATCGTGACTCGGCACCCGAGGATACAGAGTTCCGTGGGACCGAATCCAATCGACCGCACCAAGTAAACACGGCGGGCGACTTTGATATACAACCACGGGGGTTGTTGGCAGTCGGGGCCGGCGATGGTGCGTTTCGGTCGCTCACGGGGTTGGGTCGGCTCGAATTGGTCGTGTTGTTGGAAATCGGGTGGGAATGTGGAGTGGGAATTGCTTTGGCCACGGCCCAAGGCAACGGATTATTGGGCCTTGTGGGTGGTGTGGAAACGCGTCAGGTCGCGCCTCCTTTTAGATTCGCGCGTGCCACGCGTCATTAATTGCTGTGGCGCCTGCAGGAGAATGTGGCATTGAAATGTGGCTGTTCGGAGGAGAATACAGGCGGCCCCAGATTTCTGTCGTGCAACTTGGGCGTTTCCTGTTTCGGCAACCAACATCTTAAATGAAGTTGAAATATCCCCTTTACTCTATGACATTATACGGACCTGTGCTTTGAAGTTCTACCGTCCTAGTATGCCATGCTTTGATTTTTCAAGATTTTTTTTTGCAGACTGTTTATTCAAGCCTCTCTCCGCTGAGAACCCTCACTCGGGGTCAGTGGCCAAATACAAGAGGCAGCCCGGCCCATCCTCCTCCTCAATCCCATAATCCTTCAACCCATGCCCAAGAACCCCCCCTTTGTAATATTTCAACCTCGTCGCCCAGACTACACTATCCTCATCCCCTATCCTAATCCCGCGCATCCAAAATCAACAAACCCCATTCAAGCCCATCCCAAAACCTCCCCGGTTTCCACCGGCAAAAAAAGGTGGGCCAACAAAAGCGTGACATCGTTTCGTCTCTCCCAGTGCTCCCTCTCTTGGTCGCGAGAGCGGTACGAAGCGGAAGATCGGCAACCCCATCAAACAAAACCTCTTTCCCCATTCGTTCCCAACCCCAGAGTGTTGTAAATCCAACGCCGCCACATGGAACGTAGCATACCACGCCGATCGCGAAACAAAGATGACGGGGTTTTGCATCCCTGGCAACTGGCGCTTACTGGTAAGTGTGGCGCAAGGGGGAATGAATGGGGTTTTGTTAATTCGATGGTGACGAAAGAGTTTGGGACTCTGTCTGAATGCTTGTTTTAACTCCTCCACAGAATACTTGCCAGCTTGCCAAGAAGGGATCATGGGGGAAAGCGAATTCGGCCAAAAGTGTTCATATGACCCGGGTGTTATAGGATCGATTTCCAAGGCAGGCTAGGCCAGCAAGGCCGGTTAACCGGCTGGGAAACGCATTGTTTTTGGCCTTGCGAACTTCTCCCCCAACTTGCTTCGCTGCAAGGTCCGGCCTCTCCAATTCCCGGGTATAGAATGCAACATCGATTTCTCTTGTCGTCATCGATTTTTCTAGGAGACTCGACCCTCACTGACGCATTGATCCCCAGATTGACAACGAGTCCAGTCACATGAGCCGGTGCATGAACATGGCAATCGCAAATCCCCCACTGGCATTGATCGATTGATTGATTGATTGGTATCTTGAGTCCCAAAGAGAGAAACCTTCTCCGCCTCGTCCGGGTATCCCATTTCGTTTTCCCACTTGGCCCTTTTGAACACACCAACACACACACCTTTCCATTCATCCATGACCTTGCCTCTCCCACTGGGTATTAGTTAGACAGGGAGACGAACATAACCGAACACAGCGTTACAAGCGAATGGCCCTGGAAATGATAACATAACAAAAGTAAAATGAAAAAAGAAGAAGTTGATTGTAACGACAGGGAGATGAAGCGATTGTAGATGCCCAAGCCGAAACCTCCAGCGCCGGAAATATGCATGGGGGGCTGGATTAAATGTTCGATGCAGGTACAAGACAAATGTCGACAAAAAAAAGAGAGAAAAAAGTATGACAGAGGTTGACAGTTCGATCGATCGATGGGGGACACCATGGTCTCCGTCATCGTAGTTGTCGTCGTCGTCGTCGTCGTCCAAAGACGGGGTAATTGTTGTACTCGTTAATCAGGGTTGGCAATGTACAGCCGGCCAGTAGAAAGCGTCATGGTCCGCTCATCCACACTACCACGGCGCTTCAGCTCCTCGACGTTCTTAACGCTCTTCTCGCGTGTCACCGTAGCGTGCTTCATGCTGTTGTTTGCTAGATGGGCCGAGTTGCCGCTGAGTTCGGGGACATTGTCCAGCCGCTCGCCGCTGCTCCCACTGCCGAAACTCCTCGCCTTGCCGCTGGCCGCGTCGTCCATGGGAGGGGTGCCGTGGCCGGCCATTTTGTCGTCGACCAAGGATCCCGTTCGCTCGGGGGTATCGCTCGGGCTCCACTTCGTGGCTCCACCAGCGGGGCCGAGGCCTCCGGAGGTACGGTACGCCATGGCTCTTCGGCCGCTGGCGGTGCTGTTGCGCCCGGAGCTGCCGGTCCGCCGGTGGTGTAGTCGCTGTGCGGCGGTGGAGTCCTCTTCCTCGCTCTCCTCGCCTTCTACCTCGGTCGCACTCAGGCGGAGAGGAACCCCTCCAACACCATTGTAGTTGCTGCCGGGGGAGTAACCGATAACCGTGGGTTTCCCGTGATGCCGGATCTTGGCCGCGACCTTGCCACCGGTCGAACTAAGGCCAGTGGAAGTACGGCTCGCGCCCATGAGACCCAGCCCCAACCCGCTGCCCGCTCCAACGACCTCACGAGTAGCCCGCATCTTGGCAGCCTTCTGCTGCGCTTGTAACCTGGGGTCTTCGTACTGCGCGCGGTCACACCACACCGTGGCCTTCTGCCGCCGGAGTAGTGCAACATAGCCGGATTGTGGCGAGCTGGAGGTTGCCGCAGACCGACCTGAGGTAGATCTCCTGACGTCGAGGGTGGGCGAGGTCCTGTAAGACGGCGGGGGGCCCATCCCGCCGCTGGAGACGGTGCTGAAAGTGTTCACGCTAGGCGAGCGCCTTTGGTGGTGGCCCATCGAGGGTTGGGCAAGGTGCTGCATCTGCTGTTGCGGGTAAGGATTTTGCTGGTACGACTCTTGCATGCCGGCGGGGAAAGTATTCGACGACGTCGTCCTCGATCGGCTGTGGGTGTAGGTTGAAGCACTCACAGGCTCCATGGGTGGCGCGCGCACGCGAGTATATTGCGTGTCGTACGCCGGCTCGGCCGGCCACCTGTGTGACATCGTGGAAGGCGACTCGTGGTCTTGCTACCGCTGCAGAATGCCGACTTTGAAGTTGTCGAAGCAAAGCAACGACGAATGAAGCCGGTGCTTCGTAGGTGGTCGGTCGCACGATCGCCAGCGGTGAACAAAAAATACCGATGAGGTACTTTAAAGAGAGCTCGGCGGTTTGGCGCACGGAAATTCCGGTCAGCAAATGCCGACCATTTCAGTAAGGCGCCAATCGAAGCAATTGATAGGAACGATGCGACGACGAAGGTGGGGTCGAGCGATGGTCGGATCGCTGCTTTAGCTGCGCATCGATCGGCGATGCACGCTGAGTGGAAAGCAACAAATCTGGTGCTGCTCCCACGAAATGGGTCGGATTCTGGGGGAAAGAAGTGGTGAGATTCGAGGGGTGGTGTTGCTCAAAGAGGAGACGGGGAACGCGAACTGAAAAAGGTCAGAAAGGAGCCCCGGTCAAACTTGGCGGCTCCTCCCACCTCCCACGTTGCATGCCCCAGCCCTGGTCTTGTGGCTAGGGTCGATGATGTTATGCTGTGGAGATGATCCAAGCACCGACGGAAGAGCGGCAGGCACAGCAGGATCTGCTTTACCGTTGGTTCCAGCTTCGTCTGTCTGTTAGACTGGCGCTCTCCTTGTTTGGCGATCTCATCAAACTTTCATCTGCCGGATGCCCGCGTTGCAAAGTTGGGGAGACGGTAGCTGGCTTTTGACTTCCGTCGTCTAGACCACCCGAGGTTCGTCGTGCTGTTGGTTGAAAATGAACGTGCAGCTTGGGCGAGAGTGGGAGGGGTTGCAGTGCGTTAACAACTAATCTGGAGCCCTTATCGGCGACTGCGGCACCTGCAAGCACGTTTCGATGGAATGATTTTGGATTGTCGACCAACAACGAACTTTGCAACCTAGCGGCACGTCGACGACTACGCCGAATCGCGGGATTCGTTGGTTCCAGCCAACAGAAAGGAAAAGAGAAGCGAAACCCATCCGTTTCTACTACACTACAACGAGTTAAGATGAAGCAATGGCACACAGGCGAGGCAATCGAGAGGAATAACTTCATTCAATGGTTTCATGCAAACATCATCAGCCCTTCGGTCGAACATGGGGATCGGATGGGCCGCGCTTTGACGGGCATGGATCCAATGCTTGACGCCCGTTGCAGCTGAACGCAAGTGGGGTTAGACCTGCGAGGGTGGGGTAGCTTTTGCTCCAAGTGGTGCTGTCATTTGCAATCGCCGGCGAAAAGTCCTCGATCACGTACTGGACAACGCGATCACTGGCAGATGGCCAGATCCCTGAAGCGCAGCCCTGCCAACGAAGGCATCTTCAATGCACTTTCCTGACATTACGCTTCAAACAAACACAAACACCACGCGGCCCGGCACGCGGTGGCTCAGCACGGCATCCCATTTTGTATGGGTACGCCCGCCACAGTGCACAGTCTTCCTGGTGGCTCTCGAAACATGTAAAATGCAACGTGCCTCTGTTTCGTGGGGCGCAACACCAACCTAGCAGTCTTTCTGTGTACACAATAGGCAGCTCTCTCGTCGTCCACTGGTAGCCCAGATCACCCTGCGATCGCGCCGCCCCGCGTTGCAACTGGCTCACGTTTTGTCACTCGATCCACCTTGCCTTTCAAAGTTGATTCCTTGCGTCAATTCTGTCGATTGTGTCGGCATGCTGGCCGCTGCGCGACCCCCCTAGAGGCGACGGGCGTGATGGGCCGGCAGAGGGTTTGCAATGCGTCATTGGTTGATAGTTTTGACGGTTGACACCGAGCCGGCCGGCCTCAACGACCTGGAACGCCCAGGATGCTCGGTGCGTGGTTCAGTGACAGCGTCTCATTGGGATCCGCTCGTTGTAACCGTGGGGGAAGGCACCCGCGACGAAGTGAAGGTGGACTGTGGAGGCCGAGCATCGGGAGCGGGCGGCACAATTTTCACCGGGTTCATTTGTCAATCCGATTCCCATCGCGAAATTCCCGCTCCTAGTGTAAGGCACCAGTTTCTTCCTAACCCCCGCGCTCGAAAGGGAAAAAAACAATTCTTGGCAAGGCAGCTTCAGCTCTCACTGGGCGTCCACCGTTCCAATGGGGACCCCAAACCGGACCGGACTGCCACGAGACAAGACACCATCGGCGGCGACGGCGCTAATGTGAGGGCAGGCTGAAGAAAAGCGCATCGGAGTTGAAGTGTAAGCGAGTCGGAGGCAACGCCAGCCAATCGACGCGTTCCCCAGTTCCAACATCGGTGCATGCAAGCGAACAGGTTGCGGGGGGCCTCTCCGTCCTGCAGGCGATGAGGGCGGGGGTTTGGTTGTTCGTCCCGACGTCCCCACAGCATTTTCTAGTGCTTTCGCTTTTTTGATCCCCCGATCGCCTCTCCGGAGATCGTCCCGGGCCGAAACCCAAGCACCGGGTCTGATAGGCGTGCTTGCGCTTTCGGTTCCAATTCGTCGTCCTAGGAGGAAGAAAAAAACAAGACCGTGAGATATCCACATGAGGAGCAGCAAATCTTCAATTGGAGTGGAGCAAGCTGGTAAGGTCTCGGGATGATGGATTTCCGGCCACAAGGCCTCGGTTGATATCCGGGCACCCGGCGCCGAAAAGGTAGTTTTGGCTTGTGTTTGGCGACACAACACCGGAAACGACGGGAGGTTCTTTCAAGACCTGCCTACATGGGACGGCGAGGGTGGTAAATGGGAACCTGGAGTTGAGAAACAAGGGTACGCCGCAAGGAAGCGGACCGGCAAGTCTAAGCCCCAATTATCGTACTGGCATTTCCACTAAGAACCTCAAATTTGGAAATCGCACCTTCTTTCTATGGCGAATCTGAAGGAGAACCCCGTCACGTCCGTGTCTCGGGAGTTTCGTCTTGCCGGCCTGCAAGATTATAAGCTGAGCCGGCAGGTCTTTTTCCCCACTGGCCAAGCTGACCCTCAGTCGTTTCCCTCTCTCTCGAGTCATCCACATCTGCATATCCAGTTACGAGAAAAGCTTATCGCAGTTAGGGTTGGGTCTTTTCGTTGTCGGCTCTAGTTACACTAACGTGAGGTCTAACGGAGGCACAGAGGTCGTTGGGCGGGCCCCACAGCGGCTTGGCCTTCAGCCGTTGGGCCCCCTTTGGGTGTTCTCGGTGTCTCATTCAGTGGCTGGCTGGCTGCTTAACGTTAGGGGAAGTGTCCCTGCCGAGCATGTGCAAGGAAAGAAAATCGGAAAAGTCATACAATGAACCAAGATTGGCTTAATTCTTCTCATCTTTCATTCCACTTGGAATAACCGCAACGAGGCGGCATTTTACGGGTTCCCGAGTAGTCCCTAGGAAACTTTGACGTTTTTTGTTTTTACCCTCGACACAATTCCACAACCTCTTTCATATGCTCGCCTGTTTGATCTCGCACTTGCTCGAGACTGGCCTGGGACTACACTGCTTGCCCAGCGCAATGCTCGACTTGGCGTCATGAAGTGAGAGACACGAGGAATATCTGAAGCCCCCGTGAAAGAAAGCAATTGATACTGACACGGGAGTCGTCAAGGTTCGCAAAGGAGCTTGATCAGGACGCTGTCCCAGGTGAGTTTACCAATTGAGACACATGAGGGCCCCGGCATCGTCGTCTTCCAGTGTCCCACGTGCTGCCAATGGGCGTTTTTTGGGCGAGAGCAGAGCACGCGATGGCTGGTGGATCGTCAACGGGCGGCGTTGAGACACTGGACGCCGGCGAGACACAGCGCGGGATGACGGGGCCCGGGGGTGTTCTTTTGTAATATGGAATGTACACTTGTCTGACTCTTCATTTCCCGCGGCCCTACACTAGAATGGCGCGTCAAGTACCTAAATTACAAAGCCGGCAAGAAGCACGTCAAAGCAGTCACACGAGCTATCAGCCGCGCTAATGCCTCGCCGATACTCGCGAGAAAAGGGACCGCAACCCCCGTTGGAACGCAACAACCCCGGGGCAACACCCCGGCGTCCTTTTTCGGTATCAGCCACCATTTCACGCCACCTCGAAAGACCGACGATGGACAGCGCCTATACGGGTCCCAGTCCCCGGCCACGAAGCAGCAAGGGGGTGAACGTTTGGGACTAGCGGGAAGCCCCGGGAGCGGCATTCGTTATGGAAGTATCGGGCCGTCGGCGTCTCGGGGAAGAGCCGCTTCGTATGCGAGCGGGAGGCATGATTTCGCGCTCCCCGCGCCGGCCATCAAGGTCCCGTCGAACTCGGAGAGTGGGGACAGGGACGGGGACACCGGCCCGACGTCGGGACCCCTCCCACGCAGTGCGTCGATGGCAGCCTCTGCGCAAATCTACCAGCGCTCTCCGTCTTTTCCCATGCTTCCGTCCGCTGGGCCGCCTGCCACACCCCGTCAGCGACTGACCCGGCTCTTCTCAGCTGGTTCGGAGGTGCCCCGACGCAGCCCTAGCAAGGCGGATATTGGGATGCAGAACCTGGATTATGTCCGGGCGGCGGAGCGCGACTTCTTTGCGTTTCTGGATGGGGAGCTGGACAAGATTGAGACGTTTTACCGGGAGAAGGAGGAGCAGGCGACAGATCGCTTGGCAGCACTACGGGCGCAGCTGCACGAGATGCGGAACCGGCGGACGGCTGAGATCGCGGAGTCGAAGCGTAGGAGAGAAGAGAACCGTGACAATGGCCATACCGGCGATGATACCCCAGCACGGCCCGAGGACGCCCACCACCACTGGATCGACCCGATCAAAGACCGGCTGCTCAAACCCGGGCCCAACTCGAAAGCACTCACGAAAATGACCCGGACGCCCGTCATGACCGGCCAGGTCGGTGGCGGCGGCGGCGGCGACCCAGGGAAGGATTACGTACGCCGGCCGTCGGCTGCCGTCCACGACGTGCCCTACCGCACGGCAAAGCGGAAACTGAAGCTGGCGCTGCAGGAGTTCTACCGCAGCCTGGAACTGCTCAAGTCGTACGCGCTGCTGAACCGGACTGCGTTCCGCAAGCTCAACAAGAAATACGACAAGGGAGTCAACGCCAAGCCGCCGTACCGGTACATGAACGAGAAGGTGAACAAGTCGTGGTTTGTCAACAGCGACATTCTCGACGGACACATCCGCACGGTCGAAGACCTGTACGCGCGTTACTTTGAGAGGGGGAACCACAAGATCGCAGCCGGCAAGCTGCGGGCACTGCACAAGAGCCGCGGGGACTGGTCCGGCAGCGCGTTCCGCAGTGGGCTGATGATCGGTGTCGGAGCGGTGTTTGCCGTTCAGGGGCTGTCCTTCGGCTCGGAGATTCTGTTTAGTAACGAGAGCCCGACCCTTATCGAACAGACGAGCTATCTGCTGCAGCTGTACGGGGGGTATTTTCTTGTCTTGCTGCTGTTCACGCTGTTTACCCTGGACTGCCGGATCTGGTTGAAGAACAAGGTCAATTACCCCTTCATCTTTGAGTTTGATGCGCGCAACTTTCTGGACTGGAAGCAAGTGGCTGAGTTTCCGGCCTTCTTTTTTGCCTTGTTTGGCGTCTGCATCTGGCTCAATTTTGCGAGGGTGGGTAATTGGGAGGAGTTGTATCTGTATTATCCTGTCATTTTGATCGGGATATCGCTTGTTATCATCTTTCTCCCGGTGCCTATTTTGCACCACAAGGCGAGGACATGGTTTCTGTACTCTCACGTAAGTCGTCCGTCTAAGGAACTCGCCTGAAGGGGTTGGTCCGACTAACCATGTCTTTAGTATCGGCTGCTGCTATCTGGGCTGTACCCGGTCGAGTTTAGGGACTTCTTCCTCGGTGATATCTGGTGCTCATTAACCTACGCAACCTGTGTACGTGCTCCTCGATTCCACTTCGCCGACAGGATTCAAACTGACACGGGGCAGAACATCGAGCTCTTCTTTTGCCTGTACGCCAACAGCTGGAACAACCCCAGCCAGTGCAACTCGACACACTCGCGTCTGCTCGGCTTCTTCAACGCGCTGCCGCCCATCTGGCGTGCGTTGCAGTGTGTCCGTCGTTATCGCGATACGCGCAATGTGTTTCCGCACCTGGTGAACTGCGGCAAGTACGGCATGACTATCCTGACGGCGGTTTTGCTTAGTGTGTACCGCATGAGCGATAGCAAGACCAACATTAGCTTGTTTATTGCGTTTGCCACTGTCAACGCGGTGTACTGCTGTGAGTTGTTTCTAGATTCTAACCTCTTGTGACCACACTAACCACGACACCAGCTATCTGGGATCTATTCATGGATTTCTCCCTCCTACAAGCAGGCGCCCACCGCAGGCTCCTCCGCAACATCACAGCCATCCGCCCCGTCTGGATCTACTACGCCATCATGATCATCGACCCCATCCTCCGCTTCAGCTGGATCTTCTACGCCATCTTCACCCATCGCACCCAGCACAGCACCATCGTATCCTTCCTCGTCGGCCTCGCCGAAGTCTTCCGCCGCGGCATGTGGACGCTCCTCCGCGTCGAAAACGAGCACTGCGCCAACGTCGCCCAGTACAAAGCCTCCCGCGACACCCCGCTTCCTTACCGTCTCGAGCAGTTCGTCCAGCGCCCCAGCATCGAAGCCGCCGCCGCTGCTGCTGCAGCTGCCACTGTCCCAACCGTCGACGGCGCCGACGCCGAGACCGCTAAACTCACACTCACCCCCGGGATCCCCGGAACCCCGGCCCCGTCGTCCCTCCGTCCCCCGGCCACAGCAACCTCCGCCGCGACGACCACCGCTCCTTCACGCAGCGACACAGGCGCCCTCCTCCCACCCCCAACTACCCCTTCCCCCGGCCGAACAACAACTGGTCCAACCGCCCCAGTCCCAGCTCCAACTACCCTCGAATCCGGCACCGCCACATCCACAGCCACCACCACCGGCGCAACACTCCCCCGCAGCACCAGCGGCGTTAATGTCTTCCGCAACCGCCGCAGTTCCACAGTCGGCAAGCGCTCCATCCTCCAAGCCATGGCTGAGGCGCACAAGCAGGACTTTGAAAAACGCCGGCGGCCGGGGACTGGTACCGCCGCTGGTGCTGGTGGTGCGGGCGGGGATACTGCAGATGGGGAGGGTGCTGGTGCGGGGTTGGTAGATGGGGAGATGGGTGTTGGCGAGGAGATTTTGGGGAGTGAGGATGAGGATGATGATGATGAGGAGGATAGTGAGGAGGAGGATGGGGTGGAGGGGAGTGAGGAGGGGGGTGATATAGCCGAGGATGAGGATAAAGATGTGGTTGAGGATGAAGCTGGTCCTCCCGGGGGGAAGAAGAATGGGAAGGGACGGGCGGGAAAGGAGGAGGAGGAGGATAGGATTGGGGAGGTGGTGAAGGAGGAAACGGACGATGATAACGACGAAGGGGGGGTGATGATGGGTCAGGATCAGGGCGGAGGGGTGAGCAAGAAGGGGTCAGGGAAGAAGTAGAGGGGAGATAATAGAGAAGAGGAAGTGTATGAGGAGGAGGGAGCCAGGTAGGAAGTAGAGGGGATGGTGAGGATAATAAAGATACTGCGATAGAGGGATCGGTCGAGTAAGCGAGCGAGCGAGCGAGCGAGTTTGGTCTTTTCTTGTTCGGTTGAGGGCGATTTAGTGAGTAGCTGGGAATTCAACGAGTGGCTGCTGCAAGGACACGAGGAATCAGAGTTTTGGGGAGCGGGTAATTAGGGAGGGATAATGCGGAACAGAGCATGGAAACAGAGCCTGGAGACCTAAGCATGGAAGGCAGTCATGAAATGCAGTCATCCAGGGCAGAGTTTGTAGGGCAGAGTATGGAGGGTCAGAGAGGGAATGGCAAAACATAGACGGCATCATCGAGATCAGTGTTGGTTTGATTACGCGGTAAAACGGGCTATGAGCATACACACACGGATACCCTTGCAGATAGGAGGTATGGAATTTAGAATTTGAGGTTTATTTTTGGATATGATATGTGCGACGTGTTGAACGTCATGGGCAATAGAGTAACAGTAAGAGTGCAGAGAAAGGCGTTGTGTAATATAACGTTTATTTTAGTGTACACTACGTATGACTACGACATATCGATTTGTTTCATGGACAAGAAATCAAGAGTGTCAAGAGAAAGAGACAAGGTTGAATGTACTAAAATTGCATGCATATGCTAGGTACATATCTAAACTGTGCTATGTATAAATCCCTATTAAGCTCCACTCCACACCTCCCCTGCTCTACACCAGACTCTCATGGTATCTATCGTCTTCCATCTAACCCCCTTCTCTCACCAAAAGCCTACTTCCGCCACTCAGCATCGACCTCATCCCAATGATCCAAAAACCCCTTATAAAACTTCAACCCCAGCCCCGGATCCAAACTCCCCGTAGTAGCCCGAATACTATGCATACTCAACTGCGGAATCCCCACATCAGCCGCCTTGCAGCCCATAGCCGAACTCAGCATAGGCCCCACGGTGCCGCCAGAGCGGGAATCGTTGCGGATCATGTGGCGCTGGTTGACAGTACCCGCGAGATCGGCGATGCGGTCGAGGATGGCCAAGCTCACGCTGTCGGTGGTCATGTGGGCCGACGCGTCAACGCAGAGGGCGACGCCGACGTTGAGGCGGGGCGAGTGGTCGGACAGGTTGGTCTGGGGGAAGTTGGGGTGGGCGGCGTGGGTGACGTCGGAGGAGACGAGGAAGGAGGAGGCGAAGGTTTGGCCGATGAGGCCCGGGCCGAAGGGGACTTTGCTCGAGGCGGCGAGGGCCTCGACGGTGCGCTCGATGGTGATGGGGAGGAAGTTGCCGCGGGCGCCTTGGCGGAGGAGGGAGCCGATTTCTTCGTCGTCGAAGAGGGCGACCAACTTGATGTTACTTTGGGAGGGCTCGTGCTTGGCGTGGAGCAGGGCCATGAAGGCCGCCCAGGAGCAGAGCTTGTCGTCGATGCGGCCGGCAAAGATGAATTCCTTGTCGAGACCGCCGACGGCGGCGGGTTGCGAGTCGTAGAGCTCGAGCTCCCAGTTGAGGATGGTGCTGGGGTCGGAGATGGAGAGCTCCTTGCTGATGAGCTTGACGAGCTTGGGGGGCTGGGTGGCAGCGAAGGAACCCTGGTCGCCGAGCGGCTGGGGGGTCGTGGCGCCAGCAGAGCTAAGGTCGCTGTTGTCGAGGCCGATGATGGGCACCATCTCGGTCTCGCGGTTGTTACGGCCGGTCATGCTCAGGCCGAAGTGGGGCGCGAGCGTAGGAATGCGGGCGACTAGCCGGCACATGTTAGCGAGCTGGTCTCAACATAGACGTGAAAGAGAAAAAGGGACCAACGTACTTGGCCAGTCGAGCTTGACGAGCTTGGTCTCCGTCTTGCCGGTCGAGGGGTCGCGGACAATGACGCGGCCGCCAATGCTCAGATCCCGGTCCCACCACGTCTCGTTCAACGCGCCGGCGTATTGCGCAACGCCCAGCTGGACATAGCCGTGGGTGTTGGGCTTCTTGCTCGTGGGCTTGAGGCGGGCGGTGAGGGCATCGATGTGGCCCGCGACCATGGCGACGCCATTGCCGGGCTTGTAGGACTCGCCGACGGCCCAGGCGATGATGGAGCTGCCGTTGCGGGTGGTAAAGTATTTGCCGCCGGGCTGGATGGTTCCCGACCAGTTGTCGCGGCTGGAGAGCTGTTACGACGGCGCGGGTTAGTTAGATTGGACGATTCCATTGCACACACCGATACTTGTTGGGGCCCAGGCGTCGGACGCAATCGGTATTGACAGACTCACCTCCTTGTATCCAGCCTTGAGCAGCTTCTCCTTGAAATACCCAACAGCGTGAAAGACGGTGGGGTTCTCGGTCATAAAGTCGAGATACGGCTTCGTGAAGGCCCCGGGGTCCAGGTCCTTGGCCGCGACGGTGTTGTCGATGGCGTTGTTGGCGGCTTCGACACGCTGCGCCATAGACTGTTCCATCGCCGCAGACCGGAGCGACAGGTTGGAGCTGCGCGCCCGCAGGAACTCGGGGGTGTGGCGGGTCATGTTGGTGCAATTGGGTCGGTTTCAAAGCGGCGATGTGATTGTTTCGAGGTTTGGAATCAGAAGGAGAGAGAAACCGTTCTGGTGGATGGAGGAAGAAGTACGGTCAGTTCGGAATGTTTATCACTCGGAGGGTTGTTTGTTCAACACGGCTGGGGGCTGGGGAGGTCTGCTGACCGCTGGGAGCTCAGCGACTCACCAGCTCGGGAAGCTCCACGTTAGCTCGCTCGCCCTGCGAGTGACGTGCGGCCAGGTCCGAGCGGGATGCGGGATCCATTGTGCCGGTCCCCGACAGTGCCAAGCCTTGGTTATGTCAGGTTGCTGCAGTGACCAAGGCTGTGTGAGCAGTCAGGGTTTATATCTGCGATTGATGTCGTCATTCTAGACATCAATAGCGATACTACTGTGTAAGTCGTGTTTTATTAGAGAAAACAAAAGACTGGCCTATATTGCGAATATCGTGACGATAAGAGGGCTCAGTTGGAAGGTGCATTGGATGTACTTGCTTTAACTCATTCCAGGCTGTACTGCGCATGCATACGTAATCCAAGGGCTGACAGCCCAGAGAAGGCACTCTCGCACCAAAGATAGCACAAGTTGATGGTCTTGGCACAGCCCTGCCCAGGGCGGAGTGGGGCGGGTCGCGTGCCTCCCCCTGACCTGAGCCCTGATTCCCTGAAGTCCCTGAAAAACCAGAGGCCATTGACCGAGGCACCGTTGTGGCCACCAAATTCTGACCAACCATCAGCATCGCCAATAATTTTTGTTGGTCGGGCTCTCGGGGCTATATAAGGGCGGTGACGGCAGTCGTGGCACGGCCTTTCCCCTGATTGTTTTGTCCTTTCTTTTTTTGTGGAGCTGAACCAATTGATGTTCATTTTCACGAGATTACCTGCTCATCACCAGCCTGTCCTCACAGAGCATTGTTCCCTTGTTCTTATTTCTGATTGTGAACGAATGAAGGAATTGGTTGGGACTTTTGGGCATGAACTTCAGGCCTAAGCAAAGACTGAGAGTTTCGCACTCCGATCGCACGTACACGTATCCATTGTCTCCGCTCCGTGCCAGCTCCGGGTCGGGCCGGTCACCTTCTCTTCCCGTCTGATCTATACGAGTCCGGCGAGTCCGGTTCATCCGGCAGTCCAACCAACACCCACGAGCTTTTTCTCAGCAAAATTTTCTTCCAACAACCCTCGACCTTCTTCTCCCACGCACCTCAATCACGGCCGAAGGAATCTCAAGAAAGCTACACCGAGATCCTAGAAAACCCCATCTGGGTACAGCTCGACCATGACGTCCTATCTATCGAAACTGAACCCGGTCCCCTCGTTTCCCGAGTTTCCGGGCCCCTACCAGGTCGGGACCGTCGACATCGAGGTCCCCATCTCCGAGATCGAGTCGCCCAGCCCCGCGCCCGAGGGCTCCAAAGAGATCCAAACCGTCCTCTTCCGCATCTTCTACCCGGCCGTCAGCGGATCAGGGGACAGCCGGACGACATGGCTTCCTGAACCCCAACGCCTTCATATCGCTTCGTACGCTGGGTTTCTCGGCGCGGGCCCTACCGTGGCGTCTATTCTATCGTAAGCCCAGGCCTGAACTCCACTTTGAGAAAAGTACCTAGGCTAACAGATCCAGATTCCTCCCACGGCACTTACACTGGACCACGATCCCCGCCTGGGAAAAGGCCAAGCTGCTCCCTTGTCCCCCCGACCGAACCGATGGCCGATGGCCCGTCATGGTCTTCTCCCACGGCCTAGGCGGCAACCGCAATACCTACAGCCACATCACCGGCTCGCTCGCCTCACACGGTATGATCGTGGTGTGCCCCGAGCACCGCGACGGCAGCGCTGCCTTCAGCGTCATCCAGGACCCCCGACAGAAACAGTCGATCACAACAGTACCCTACGTTCGTATCCCCCACGAATTCTCAGCCGAGACCTGGGCCGCCCGCAACAAGCAGTTCCGGATCCGTCTGTGGGAGCTCGGGATGGTGTTTGAGTCTCTTGTCCGCATCGATCGGGGGACACTCAAGGGCAGCAACTCTTCGTCTCCTCTCGCCCAATTCACTGGTGTCCTCGATATCCACCGTCCGGGACGTGTCACCTTTGCCGGCCACTCCTTCGGCGCAGCGACTATGGTACAGCTGCTCAAATCGACCTTTTACGTCGACCACCCATCTCTTCACAAGCAAGGGGACAACAACAACAAAACACCCCCTTTCCGTCCATTGTTCACCCCTTCACCAACCAGCTCCCTCGTCTCGCAAGTCACGCCCGCCACGCCCACTGTGTTGCTCGATATGTGGTGTTTCCCACTCCTAGCAGCCGAGACCGCAGCTTTGCATGCCCTGCCATTACCCTGCTACGCAGCGGACGCTAAGCCCACCACCACAACCGAAAACGCGACGACCACCACCACCGCCCCCCTCATCGCAATCGAATCCGCCGCCTTCTACGCCTGGCCCGAAAACCTCCACCTCACCGCCCTCATCCTCTCTCCCCCAGAACCGCAACCGCAACCCCCTCACAACCCCTCTATCATCTCCGAAACCAGCACCCCCAAACCCCTATTCTTCCACGTCCCCTCCTCAGCCCACCTTTCCCAAAGCGACTTCGGTCTCCTCTTCCCCCGCCTGACCCGTCGCGCGTTCAAGGCTGCGCAGTCGCCTGACCGGGTGTTGAGACTGAATGTGAGAGCGGTGCTGCAGTTTTTGAGGGGGAATGGGGTTCCTGTTGCTGGGACGGGGAGGGGGGTTTTGAGGAGGGAGGGGTGGGTTGCTTCCTCTTCTTCTACGTCTGATGGGCGGTCTTCGTTGGGATCTGATTCTTTGGGGTCTGCTTCTTCCGGTCTTTCTACTCCTTCTCTGTCCTCATCTTCGGGTTCGAGGGAATCGTCAATTTCTGCCTCTTTCAGATCGTCGTTGTCGTTGTCTCTATCTTCCAAGAAGGACACCCGGGAGAGTGAGACTGAATGGGTGGATGACGACGCAATTATCCTACAAGCTGCTACACCCGGTAAAGAAGTCGTGGCAGAGTGGAAGTGGATTGATATCACTGGGCTCGGGGACAAGGCGCCGCCGTCTGAGTGGGAGAGGATGCAGGGTAAGGGGGAAGACAACAACGAGAAGGGAGAGAAGGAGATGGTGAGGGAGGTTGAGGCTGAGGTGGGGGAGAAGGAGATGCAGGTTGAGATTGAGCCGTCGTTGGGGGGTGGGGGTGTTAAGGGGGCTGTTGCTGTGGGTGTGGACGGGGTTTCTGTTGGGGGGAGGTAGAGGATGACAAAAAAGGGAATTAGACCAGGAGAGAAGAGAGGATGGGGTTAACGCATCATAGACGGCGTCTTTCATCGGGTTAGCGAGGCGTTGGAAAGCGTGGCTTGACCGTTGCGGTTCTCATTGGGGCATGTAGACTAGATTTGTGCTCTTGTAGTCAGCTGGTAGCTGGCAAATATACATTGTATTGTACATCAACACACTAAGCGTATTCATTTCGAGCCCGAGCCCGGCAGATCCCAATCTATGTCTTTATACCACCACTGGCAAAACGTACGAAAAACACAAAAGAAAACAAAGCGAATGTGTCAAACCCAATGTCCGTTTACATCCCCGGGTATCATCAATGTCGGTATCGCTGGACAAAGGAAACAGACAAAAGAAACGACAAAAGAAACGACAAAAGAAACGACAAAAGAAAATACCACCTCATCCCCAGCTCTTGCTACGTAATCCTCAGTTACAGTCCTAATAAATAGGAAACCCCTGCTCATCCAACGCAATCGGCGTCCAGTCCACTTCCACCTTCTTCAACCACGTCTTGACCCGGGTCTTGGTGTCCACCCGCATCGCCTTTTCCGACCGCACTTTGGCGTGCAGCTTCTTGGCCATCGCCACTTGGGCTTTGCTCTTGGCTGGGGGTTTCCCTGGGGTTTTGCCTTTTGCTGCTGGAGGTTTTCCGGGGGGGTTGCCTGTGTTGTTTCCTGGGGGGGTTCCAAGGGGGTTTCCCGTGTTGAGGTTGGTGTTTGGTGTTGGGTTTGATGCTCCTAGATGTACGCCTCCTGATTCAGCCCCTATTTCTACGCCGTAGTTGGTGTTGATGTTGATATTAGTGGTGTTGATACCATCCACACCCCCCGAGTAACCCATAAACGCGCCCCCCTCTGCGACATACACACCACCGTCCCCCACAATCCCCCCTTCACCCTCTCCCACTCCCCCAACATCTCTCAGCCCCCCTTCCATTCCCAACCCCCCTCCCATCCCCTCCATCCTAACAGCTTCAACAACAGCCGCAGCCTCCGCCGCAGCCACAGCAGCCGCCTTCGCCTGTGCCTTCCTTGCCCGACTCTCCATAATCAACCGCATGACAGGGCCCATAGGCCGTTTCGAAGGTCCCGACTTTTTACTACCGCTCGTACTTTGGTTTCCCTGATGCTGCTGCTGGGACTGAGATTGTTCTGTCGCTAACCCGGGTTCGGGCTCGGTATTACCTGAGTTGACACCCGGGCCGTGGCCGGGTCTGTTACCGGGACCGGGCCCGTTACCGCCGGACATGACAAACGGGCCTTTTGCTGAGTTACCGGGTGGGATCTCCCCACCTTCCTGGTCTTCATCCTCCTCATCCACCTCCTGCAGAATTGTAGTCAACGTCCTCCCACTAGACACCGACAACCCCTCGGTCGGATGGCCGGTGGAGGTTGTCAAGATGGTAGGCCAGGAGGATTTAGGAGAGGATACGCTCTGGATGAAACTGGGGGTGGGACTGAGACTGGGGCTGTGGCTGGGGTAGAGATGGTGGGTTGGGTTGCCGGCAGGGGCGTTTTCGGGGGAGTGGGAGGAGGGGGGGGTTGAGGGGCGGTCATTTTCGTCGGGGGCGGGGTTGAGGATGATTTCGGGGATTATGGGGAGGGGGGTGGATGTGGGATGATCACTGCTGTGTATTGTTGCTGGGGTATTGTTGTTTAGGGGGTTGTGGTGGACGACATATTCCTGGGTGTGTTCCGGGATGTAGTGGACATATTCCTGGGTGTTCTCGTGAGTACCCTCGTGAGTACCCTCCAGAGTGCTGTCCTGAGTTCCCTGCACACTCTCCTGAGCCGGGGTAGATTCCTCATATGCCGCGCTGAATTGGTAGTCCCAACCCCCTATAGTCATATCAGCACATACCCGGTGACGGTTACCAATGAATAAAACAACTCCAACATAACCATCACCTACCCTTCCGCAAGACCCTCGCCCGCCAATAATACGCTCCATCTTCACCCAAGTACCAGTCCGACCAGGGCCGGGCCGTCTTGGACCCCGCTGATTTTTGCCTGGATTTCTTTTGGCTGGTTGATTCCCTAGTCCCGGCACTCGTCTTCCCCCTAGACCTCGAGGCCACTCTCCCGTCGGAAGCTGGCATAAGTGGCTTTCCCGGTGTCCCTGCTGTTGCTGATGAGGGCGGTGACCTTTTGTTGCGATAGGATTTCGGGACTCGGTTTGAGGATGGAGGTGGTGGTTTTTTAATTGGGGGCGGTGATGATAATTTACTTTGCGGAGGCGGTGATGACGATTTACTTTGTGGAGGTGATGATGATTTAGTTTGCGGAGGTGGTGATTTGCTCTGAGGCGGTGGTGTCTTAGTGCGAACCGACCGAGGGCTTGGTGGTCTGAAAAAGAACCAGGTAAAGTCCCGGCTGGAACTCCTTGTTAGACGGGACTCTCGCGCTTTAGGAGGCATCGTGACGACATTGGCGCGCGGTAGAGCGTAACGCCCACCAGCCACGGGAATGGAAGAGAGGGTTGGTGAAGGGAATGTAGGTAGGTGGTGATGGTGTTTTACCCCTGAGGGAGCACACACCAGAGTTGGTTGCCTTATCCCGTTACAGATAATTAGATGTCCTTCGGGTCTGGGACCCGCGACTCCCCGTGCGTGCGCCCGTCGGATACGATATAAACCTATACATATATGAGCATGAGCCCGGCTTGCCACGCGACACCGCTGCCGACGAACGGTTCTGACGCACAAACGTTTTACAACAACAACAACAAGAGATCCAACAGGCAGCTGCAGATCTAGATGGGGCGCATAGGTAATAGGTAATTGGGGACAATGCTTGGGGCAACGCCAATAATAGGAGCAGAAAGCGCTGCCACCGTTGCCGAACATCTGACGGTCGAACGAGAGTGAGAGCAGAGTGAACAACAACAACAATAGGAAGAAGTCCGGCCCATTCAGACACAAGAACAACCAGCCCACATCCCCTCCCTCGGCCGAATCGTAGCTCACAATCATACATAAAACAAAAGAATTCAAAAATAACGAGCCAAAACCAAACCAGACCTCTCCCGACCCTGACGTCAGCCCATAACGTCTGCAATGTGGGCGGGGACAGTCGGCGGTTTTGCTTGCTGCCCAACGGTGCCAGCATCGCGAAACACAAAAAGGCAGCAGACAAGCCATAGACCATAGAGAGAAAAGAGAAATGCAAGCACAACGACCGCCCGACCGGGCACCCTATCACGGCCCTTGACACGTTTGCACATGACTTTTTTCTCTTCGGCGGGAGGGCGGGTTCTTCCAACCGGGGAATAGCGGCACGCGGTGTGATTCTCACTTTAACTGACGTCGTTCAATGATGATTCCGATGAACTTCTGTGCACGCTTCCGGAATTGAAGCCGGTCCGCATGGCATACACAGCATACATACATACTCGGAGAACCGCTTCCGTCCTCTCTGTCTCTTTTCTTCAACATTCGGATCCGTCCGTCGTCAGCGTGCTTGATTGAATGACATAGGCATCGCCCTCATGCATAGGTCCTGTCCCCGTCCTCACCGAAGAAGCGAACCGCCCTTCTGGCGAATCACCCCTCATGCCATGTGGGAGGCGGTCAAGCGATGAGTCGACTGGAAGTTCCGCGTTTTCGCCCAGAGAGGTTCGTGGAGCTTTGATGACCACTCAGTCCATCTATGGGATGTCGGGGCTGTGCAGAGGCACTCGGGTCGACTTACTATACTGTAGCGATTGACTTGGACAGATCATGGTTTGTAGTTGTCAAGTTGAAGGCGCCCAGAAAGTGATGAAAGTTTGTTTTGCGTGAGTTTCTGGTGGGTTGCAACGCCCCGCACGGTGGGCGATCCCCTGTATTTTGTCCAGCACACCCCTAAAGCTCGGGCCACCGAACACCTTTCCACGGGTGTTTGCAGCCCAGGAACCGGGCATTGACCGTTGTTAGGTAGTGATCTTCAACGGCAACTGTCCAGAAACACTATTCAGGAAACATGTGAAAGTTTCACTTCTCTATCCGCTACCCTTAACGCCTCTCAACATTGATAAGTTACATTGTTACCGAAATCTTGTGAATCCCGTTGTCATACTTTAATCTTACACAATAGACCTGATTGCCTTGTCCAGTTACCAGCCCGAGAACCTAACAGCGTCGCTCCAAGACCACCTGCATCCCATGACCAAAGCACCCGTCCTGACGTATGACTTCACATATCCTTTAGTTACACGGTCTTTACGCCCTCCAAAGCCTTCTGCTCCATTCGGATCTGCTGTAAAGAGACAGGTCGAATGACTTCACCGGAAAGCTTCAGGCTAAGAATCGCATCACCGTGGGATGCGATCGTCACGGGATCCAGTCGTTCTTGCACCACGCCGAGACTCCAGGTATCGTCATACCGGCGATGTACGACAGCTTTCCAATCCCGGATCAAGGAGGCACTCATGGTCAGTCCCCAGGTGGCTCTCCAGGTAATGGTGGCATGTCGAGCACTGCGCACGACCCGATACCGGAAGACTACCGCCAGCCCCTTCCTCCCGTGCCAGATCTCCATGCTTTCCAGTCGCGGCATTCTCATGGCCGCGCCTGCGGCAGCATGAAGCATGGCTGTGATCTGGACGGGATCCTCATCCGGCCTCAGCACCTTGGAGGTGAGCACGAGCGATGTTAGGCTCGGCCACTCCCGGGTTGTCTCGGTGGTGAAGATATCCCAAGCATCGACCAGGAAGGATGCGGCAAGGTGCTCGAGGTGTAAACTGGCAAGGGCGACCATCCGGCCCACGGCTGGGTTAGGTTGGCGGAAGCTGTGAGTGTACAGGAGGTCTTGCATCATGGTCGGGTATTGCTGATTAAAATTCTCGAAGACCACGAGCTTCTTCAGAGGAATGTTGAAGCGCCGGATGAACGCGAACAAGACAAGGAAAGCTGGGTATCCCATCAACGCGAGTTCTATGGTCAGTGGATACATTTCGGCGGATCGACAGGGGATAACTTACAATTGTCAGTCGACTTCTGAATCGAGTTCCATTCCCGCCAGGGCTCATAGTGAACTTCCTCCAGCCTAGGGAACCGGGCGAACATGTGCGGGAGCACTTGAGGTTTCCACCGCCGGCGGTTTTGTTGTCGTAGCAGCACGCTGGTCACCGCTGGGACTGACGGGAGCCGATCCCACCATGCACACTCTGCCTGGTGGCTGGCAAACGGCCCTTCGAGCATCACCTCATGGAAGACCTTGAGGAATGCCGGGCATGATGTAGGGTCTTCTTGATAACCAGCAACCCAACCATGTTCAGCATCATCAGAGACCTTGGTCGGGATTGTTTGCCCGTGGTAGTCTGGCAAAAAGGTCAAATATTTGAACCAATGCTCTGAATCGCTCGGCGAGTAGATGCTGATATCAAGGACCAGATCGCCCACTGGATCCCATGTGCTGAGGACTGAGAACAGCTCTTCGAACAACGCCGTGATGGGACCCTTGACGGTGTCGGTAACGGTAATGGACTTCATCGACTCGCCGAGATCAGGGCTCGGCATGTGGCCAGGGGCGCACTTCGTGCAGTCGTAGTCATCGAGTTCCAGGCAGAACCAGATATAGTCGACGAGAGCCCGGTTGCGCTGGATTATGGAACGGAAATCAGCGAGGCGAGACGGTGTCAGCCTGATTCAGGCGAAAGTATGCCGTTCGACCTGAACTTGCCATCGCCGAGACACTGCAGGCAAGGGAGCCTGCGTACAGCCGTCTTGTATCAGGGCTTGTACAATGAGGTCGCGGATTTCCGGTGGCAACATATCACAGCCTCGTGGCTTGTGTGGTGAGAGGGGAGGCATGATGAATTTGGATGTGATGATTGATAGAATGGGCAAGTCGAAGAGAAAAAGTGTGGCACACTTGGTGTGGTGTAAGGTAGACGGAGTGGGAGCCTGGGAATTGCTGGATTATATATAGGCGTCGGAAGGCAGGTACCTCACTTCCGCGAGCCTGCTCGGATGCTGGATGCACAGCGCTGTTGTTCTAAGATGTGGAATTTACGTCGGCACAAATGTCGTCTTGTATCATGACAGGTTCACTTATCCTGACGAGAAGCTTACACGAGGTCACGAAAACATCCCTTATACAAATGGTGCGTTTCCCTCCACGATGTTGCGGCTGGTGCTATCCAGGGGGTCGCCACGTAGAAGCTTGAGAGTTCGATTTCGCGGCCCCTAAGGACATCGAGCGCGCGTGCTACGCCGGAGGAACGTACCCAGTGGGACTGGGCCTCCTTACGAGATGTCACCGTCGTCCGAGCAAGCAGGCACATCTAGTAATAGTAAGAAATGGGCAATTATATTCAATGTAGATCTAGAACCGCAAGAGCGCGGCTGCTGCTCGTGGGCGGGCGCCCTAGATATTGAGTAAGATAAAGGTATCCTCAAAAAACTCATCTTCAGTGTTTGCGACGGTGACTCTGATGGTGCAGATTATGGAAGGTTCCAGGACACTGGGGAGTCAAACTGCGGGTCCCGACACAATCTATTGAGGCAAGTGGCGGATGAGATTGTATGGAAGGCTTGATGGACTCGGCCGAGAGTAGGGTCCGTCCCGGAAGTAACGTCGCGATATAATTAGCAGATGCGACAGATTGGTGGCTGTCGCAACCATGCGGATCACTCAGAAACAGAAATCTCGACTGTGCCGGGTAAATTACAGTCGCGAGAATGTCTACGGCGGCGTTCAACGACCATATCCCGGAAACGTCGAGTGATCATGAGGGTTAAATCAGTCCCTTGACTTTCTCGTTACCGTTTGGACGTCCAGGTTGGGTCAGCACTTGGAATATATCGTGGAAAACACAGTTTTGGTAGCAGTACAGAGGTACAATCGACGGCACAGTTCAGGTCATGTTTGAGAGTCAGATGGGTCAAAGAATCGGTGATGCGACGGACTATATAACGTCAATCGAGTGAACATATCGTCGGAATTGTAAGTGAAGAAAGTAAACAAAGCCTTGGCATCACGTGATACCACCCATGAAGTCAGGTCGCCTCCCTGTAAAAATAGTGGGCCCGCCCTCTAAACCCCTGTCCACCGCCCTGCAGCCAGCCCAGCAAGAGCTCCAGAAAATCAACGCCTTGCCATCGCGCGCCTCGCCCATCCAAGCACCTCTACATAGTAATTCAAAAAACAAACCCTATCCTTTCAACCACCACCAAACGACATCCCCAACCCACCCCACGAGACGACGCGTTCCGACATACTCCCGCCAAGATGACGTCGACAATTGGCATCCCCATCAAGCTCCTCAACGAGGCCCAGGTGCGCCCTCCCTTCTTCATCTCTCTACATATCATCCACTGCCCCTCTACAATGCACGGGTTCCAAGCTAACAAACGGAAAACCCAGGGCCACATCGTCACCCTAGAAATCACCTCCGGCCAGACCTACCGCGGCAAGCTAATCGAAGGTGCGCCCTCCTCCCCTCCTCCTCTATAAACCATGGATAATCTTCCAAGAAACCGAACTGAACTGAACTGGCGACTGACTGGGGCGAGAAATATTACAGCCGAGGACAACATGAACGTACAACTCAAAGACATCACCGTGACCGCGCGCGACGGGCGTGTCAGCCATCTCGAACAGGTTTATATTCGCGGTAGCCATGTGCGGTTCTTTATTGTGCCGGATATGTTGAGGTGCGTTTGACTCTCTTCCACTCCCCCAGCCACTTTCACTCGAAGGAGAAGTTGGAAATGGGGTAGAGTAGCCTTTGAGGGGAACGGAAGAAAAAAAGTTATACTGACACATGTATGTGTAGAAACGCCCCCATGTTCCGCAGCCGAAATGTTCGCGGCAGAGGTGTCGGTCTCGCGCGTGGCAGGGCGACAGTCAGCAGGGCGAGGGCGGGTGGTCGTGGTGGGAGGTAAACGGAGAAAATGGCGACCGAATAAAAGAGATGTAGGGAAACCTGGTTGTTCCGTTACGAACGATATTGGGATCGGGTACAAACGACCAAACATCGATTTCTTATCTTTCGGCAGGATGGACGACGGGATTCGGAGAAGCGAGATGGTGTGAGAAATGGATGGGCGGGCGATCGAAAGGAGGGGTCGTTTTCTGGGGAAATGGTGGACCAGGAAAGGAGAAGGGACATCGGGGAGAGGTTGTGGACAGAGAAAAGCACGGATCAACGGTGAATTTGATACCAAGAACGTGGATGGGCTGTGCGAGGACTGCCAGCCCCTAGATCTGACGGACGAAAAACGCATAGAACGGACGAGGCGATCGGTCGGTCTAGGTTCAGGGGTACGTGTCATATCTCAATATTCGGATATGCTGGTGATATCTATAGGTTATCTGCTGTACATTTCGCCCAGGGCTGACGCTGGCCAATGTCCCCGCAAAATGGCCTCCCTCGGAAGCCGGCTCGAGACGTAACAAGTCTCATCTAGACACAATATCTACATGCAAGAAAAAGAAAGAAAATACATGTTTATGTTGTACAAGGCGAACAAGCACATCACATCCGCCCATTTTTCACCCGTCTAACACTGACCTCTTGTCTACTCACTTCAACCGCCCCAAAGCCTCCTCCGCCCGCTCAATAACCCTCCTAACCTCCTCCAACTCCCTCACCCTCCCCCCAACCTCCCCACCACTCCCCCCTTTCCCCCCCCCCTTAACAAACCCCTCCAAAACCCCTGCAACACTCCCCTCCGCAGCGCGGATCGCCTTCCGTCCCTCCTCCCTAACCTCCCCCTCCCAATACATCCTCGCAGCATCCCACTTCCGCTGAAACCGCCTGAAACTGAGGACCAGGCCCAACGCGGCGATGGCGCCGCACTCGTAGGCGCCGACGGAGGAGAGATAGGAGAGGGCGGCTAGGGTAGAGGTGAGACCGGCGAGGGTGGCAGATTGGAGGACGAGGGTTTGGGCTAGGGCTTGGAGGGCGGGGACGGTGCGTGTTTGGAGGTAGGTGCGGGTGTGGGGGATTGTGGTGGGCCAGGGCGGGCATGTGGATGTGGATCTGGTTGAAGTAGATGAGGTAGTTGAGGGCGTATCGAGAGCTGACGGCGCGGTGTATTGAGGTGGTGGTCCGCCGCCGCTCGCTTCCTGGATGCGACCAGCGAGGTAGATCAGGTCCTTCTCGGCCTGGGGAAGAAACCGGAGGCCGACCAGCTCGGACGTGACCATGCCCACGTCGTCGGCACGCCAAAAGAGCTTCCACCACCTGAGCCTACTCCACGGGCGTGTGGTAAACGCGGCATCGAGCTGCTGCTGAAGCTCTTGGTGGGCCCCCTGGGCCCAGTCTGTGAGGGCCTGGTCGAGATGGGCCACTGACGTGGGAGAAGAGCCTTTGGTTGTGGTGTTCGGCTGTGCTCCCAAGATGCGGGTTTCTTCTTCCTGGACGGCCGTCCTTGCACTCCGCAGTAGCGAGGTGATGAGGTTCCGGACTGGCGCTTTCAACGTTCCATCGCCATCCTCGTTCGGCAACACGCCCTTCTTCAACCACTCACTGATTTGACTGATATTCGCCTCTGTCCACAGTGCCTCATACCGCATCGCGTTGCCCACGTTAGCCCGGAACAAGGCCAGTCCCTCAGCCGCCGTATCCAGATTCACAGCAACCACCGGACATCCCTCCAAGTCCTGCTCCCCAACATTGTCAAACTGCACCGCGCCCAGAATCACATCCCGCCCTTCCACAACCGACAGCCCCAGAATCTCCGCAGCCCCGCGTACCCCGTCCCCAACCAACAACGCCATATGCACGGGAGTTTCCACCGGCGCGACATGCCCCGCCGTCGTGGCCGCAACACCCGGCGTCGGCACCAACACCGCATCATCCACAGCACTAGCCCCGCCGGTTCCAGCTCCAGCAGCCACAGCAGCCGTAGGTAGCACACCAACAAGCATCTCAACCTCGGCCCCCTTCAGCGCCGGCGCAGTAACCTTCAACTCGGGAATCGCATGTTCCTTGGCTGTTTCAATGCCAATTTCAACCGTAGCTCTGGCCGCTCCGGTCCTTGTGCCATCCAACACCACACCTCCTTGTTCAGCCGCCCCGACAACCCGCACAATCAACGCCTGCGCATGTTCACCGTCGTGATCGTTGAATTCGCGCCCTTCTACTAGCCTTGCTTCCCATGGCGCGGCGGGCTGGAGCGGGTCGGCGAGGGCGAGTTGGAGGAGACGGCGGGCTGTTGCTGTTGCTGCGGCTGTTGCTGTATCTGTCCTTGTTTCTGTTGGGTTTGTTGTACTTTGACGGCCTGTAGAAGGCGGCACGCCAAGAACAGCAACGCGGATCGACTCGTGGCCCGGCGGCTCAGAGAGGTTGCGCAGGGCGAGCTGTAGACGGGCGAGGTGGACGTGGGCGGGTGCGAGAGTTTGGAGGTCGCGAAGGGCGTTGTGGAGGTCGACGCGGGGGTCGCTACGAAGGTTGGTTGTTGTGGATGAGGAGGAGTATTCGCGGGAGTGTTTATGTTGTGTTTGGGTTAGAGCTGAGTAGGGGGTTCGTTGGGTTCGAAGGAGTGGTGTTGTGGTTGGTATCGTCGTAGACAGTAAAGGGAGTCGTCGCGGGGTCGAGAGCGAACAGAAGAGACATATTGGGCGTGGTCGGGCTTTGGTGGGATGGGGGACGCCCCGAGTCCGGCTCAGCGCCCGTCCGAGGGCCCATGCGGGCGGCATGGCGACGGGTGTGGTGAGGGCCCTGCCGGAGGTGCGAAGGATTGTTCGGAACAAAAGATCGTGGAGGAATTTGCCGTGGAGAGTTCGCAGTGAGAGGAAAGAGAGCTTATGAGCTTTTTGCCGGGAAGAGCCGGCAATGCCAAGACCATACCCGCATCAGAGCTCCGCTGCAGGGATTAATCCCCTGCAAATCGCCGCTGCGGCCACTTCGGAGTTGAGTTCAGATGTCAACTGCAGCGAGTCAACCCCACCAATTCTGTCCCTCAACCTCAGCATTTCCCCCAGTTCAACCCAACCACGAACTTGACCTACGAATTCTAAACCTGTCCACCCAAAACAAAATAAAACAAAAAATAGAAATACCTTCACATACACCCACACATACGCCGGACCAACACCAAAATGGCCCACTCCACCGCCCACCGCCGACTCCTCCAAGAGTACCGCGCCCTAACCAACAACCCACCCGAAGGCATCACAGCCGGCCCCGTATCCGAAGACGACCTCCTGCACTGGGAAGCCCTGATCCAAGGACCCGAAGGCACTCCCTTCGAAGGCGGCATCTTCCCCGCCGAGCTGCGCTTCCCCAAGGATTACCCGCTCGCACCGCCGACTATGAAGTTCCTCGGGGAAATTTGGCATCCGAACGGTACCTACCTACCCCTTCCTACCTAATCCCCCCCCTCTTTCAAGCAATCCATGGGCATGCATCGCTAATATTGCTTACTTGTCTGCGTGGTTAGTCTACCCCAGCGGCCTAGTCTGCATCTCCATCCTGCACCCGCCCGGCGACGACCCGAACCACTACGAGCACGCATCCGAGCGGTGGTCGCCGATCCAGAGCGTCGAGAAGATTTTGATATCCGTCATGAGCATGCTGGCTGAGCCGAACGACGAGAGCCCTGCCAATGTTGAGGCGGCCAAGATGTGGCGTGAGCGGAGGGCTGAGTATGAGACGAGGGTAAGGGAGGGGGTTAGGAGGATGTTGGGGTTGTAGGTATTTATTTCGAGGTTGAGGGTTGAGGATGGGAAGTTAGGGAGGTGAGGAATGGAGAATTTGGGTTTGGTATACTGGCCGGGTTGGCGCAGGGGGTTTGATTAAATAGCGGTCTTTTTTTTTCTTTGTGCTCTCTTTTCTTGGTTCTGTTGCATGCGTGCATGGCGCGGAGTCTGCATTTGCCATACATAGCTTTGGGTCGCCGTAGCAAAGGGGTATAATTATGTCCATGCATACTTCATCTGCAGTGCAAAGTCCAGCACCATCCACATGCACACCAAACTTCTACTTCTAGCGTCTATTCCTCTAGCAACCAGCCACACCATCCGCCCCCTCACATATTGTTCTCCGCCTTGAATTTGTCCCACGCCTCGTTCAGCGTGCTAAACACCGTCCCGGCAATCATGCGCACTTCTGTCGTCGCGTCTTGCGCAATCTGCCATCCAGTCAGCAGAGCATTCCCCATAAAAAGGTAACCCCGGGATTCCAGAAACCAACTTACCTTATCAGGATGCGTCTTCGCAATAGCCTTCATATACACAATCTTCACCTTATTCGCCACCACCAGCTCATGCAACCCAACCTTCTTCCACCCGCTGCCCTCCCACAGCACATTATCCAGACTACCCAGCAACGCCCGCAGGTTATCCCGTTTCCCGTCCCGCCACGCCGCAATCCGCGCGTCCACCTTGTCTGTCAGCGCCAGCTTCTCGTCGCCTTCCCGCTCCGCGGCCTGGTTCGCTGCCCGTAGCCGCTCGACGGCCTCAAAGCTCTTTTGCGGGTTACCTGCCGGGCGCGGGGCTGGGCGCGAGGGTGTGGATCGCTGGGACGTTGGCGTGGCTTGTTTCTTCGGTGCCGCTGCTGGTGGTTTCGGCGCGAGAGCCTTCTGACAGCGTTGTCTGCCCGCTGTGGCCGTCGCTCCACCCAGGCCGGCTTCAACACAAAGCTGCCAAACCGCGCCGGCGTCGGCCCACTTCTCCATCTGCTCGAGCGCCTCGGCCTTGCGGCTGAGCGCTTTGCCGTAGAGGTCGCGCATGTCGCGCTTCTCTGGAGCCCCGCCGCTGCTTCCGCTCGCTTGCAGCTCGACGTGCTCGCCTTCGCCCTTGCCGGGGCCGATTAGGCGTATGGCAGCGTCGGCGTCGTCGACGGCTTGACGGGGTTCGCCGGTCTTGAGGGCGGTTAGGGCCCGGTTGGAGAGGAGGAGGATGGTTAGGGGGTGGTCTGATGGGATGGCCGTCATGGCGGAAGTGTATGATGAGTGGGCTGAGGCGTAGTCGCCGCGTTTGAAGTGTGCGGTGCCTTCTAGGCGGCACTTTGTGGAGTTTTGTAGCGCAATGGGAGAAACACTTGGGATCTGGCGCGGTGGAACGGCAGGTCTCGGGGCCGGAGACGGCCGAGCTGCGGGTCGTGGAGCAGGTGAGTTGGATGATGGTTGCGGCGACCGGGTCTGCAGCGGAGGCCGAGCGGCCGGCGCAGAATTTCCAAACAGCAGATCTGGTTCGGCCTCTGCAGTCTTCTCGGGCGGGGGCTGGGGGGTAGTCTTCTTCCTGCGCGCGGGACTAACGTACGCCTGGAAACTCTCCTCCTCCACTGCTTGCCTACCAAGTCGGGCGCGCGGGTCAGGGGTTGACCGCGCAGACTGTTGCCACTTTGGTACTTGGTTCTCTGGCCCAGGACGAACAGGCAGAGCCGGCGAGCGTTCGCGAGACCGGGTCTCAACGGGATCCTGCCGCCGAGGCGCAAGCCTCTCAGGCCGAGGTTCTGGCCGTCCCCCAGACTCAAGCATCAATGCCTCATCCGTGACATCCGGTACCTGCCTCGCTGACCCCCCTCCACCACTACGCTGTTCTTGAGCGTCGCGCATCCACTTTGGCTGGTTCGGGTCTCCATCTTGCTGGAATTCCGCCACAGCTTTCTGCACGCGCTTCTGGCCCGTCTTCCACAAGCTGTTGGCCGACTTGAGAAAACTTGAACCCACCGCAGCAGCCGTCTTGGCAAAATCGCCTTCCGCGCTCCCTGGTGACCGACTATCTCTACTCCGAGTACCATCTCCGGGAGGCCCTTCCCTCATCCAAGACGGAGTCCCGCTCCTAGACTGGCTCGGAGCTCGCTCATTATCCCTCGGCCGCTCCCTCGAACCGCCGCCCTGGCCGCCTGCTTTCTTCTCCTTAGCTTGCCTATGGGCGTCGTCAAGTAGCCAATTGACTGCGGCCTGGACATTCAACCCTCCACCACTCTCCGTGAGGCCCCTCCTCGCATTTTCAGGAGTGAAACCGTAGTCCACGAGCTGGGCAACAGCTCTGTCGAAGGGATCGTCCGAGGCCGTGGGCCGCTCCGGTTCCGAATCCGACGACGAGTCGTCCTCAATTGGCTTCCCAGGCTCGGGTTCCCGCGCAAAGGTCGGTGCTACGGGGGCAGCCTTTTTCCTGACTTGGTCAACCGGCTTACCCAGATCGCCCAGAAAGTCGTCATCTTCCTCGTTGACGGGAGCAGCTGGTGGAGGTGCAGCACGGGTACTTGGCTTGAGCTGGTTGAGCCCAAACGGATCGTCGTCATCATCGTCACCAAAATTCCCCCCACTTGAGGCCGCAGGTTTGTTCCAGGCTTGTGGGTTCGCGAGATCCAACGAGGGCGCCTGAGGAGCGGGAGAGGGGTTATTCGAGGGCGCGGGAGGTGGGAAGTGGCTTGAATTGTCCACCTGCGTGCTGGCATTGAACGCAGCAAACAAGTCATCGTCCGATTCCGCCACCGCTTTCCCCGGTCGTGCCTGTTGCTGTGGTATCCCCGGGCTCAGTCTCTGTGCCTGTGGGGGGGGAGGAGACCTCAGCGAACTGGACCCGGACGCAGTTTGCCCTAGCGAATCGAAGAACCGCCCATCGCCATAGTGTGCTTGTGCCTGCTTCCGCTTCTCTTCCTCCTTCCTCCTCTTTTCTGCTTCCAACTGATCCTGTCGCTCGCGTAGACTTAGGTTCGCGCCGCTCTTCCCGGCGCCAAAGTTGAGCAGGTTCCCGAAACTGTCCTGCCCAGCTGGCTTAGCTGCCGCTGGCGGAGACTTAGGCCCAACACTACCGGAGCCTTGGGTTGATAGCGGGGTGTTCCGGCCGGATGTAAAGGGGGACGGGGTCGGTCGTAATGACGGGAAGGTTGGGGCTGTGGAGCTTGTCGGAAACTGCTGCTGCTGCTGCTGCTGCTGCTGTCGTTGTTGCGTAGGCTTCCCTTGACCTTGACTGGGCGCAGACCAGCTCAAATCGACAAGATCGTCCATTGTGAAGGTGTGGAGGTCGCTGGCAAACCTCACTGCCGCATTGAGAGAGTCGGGAATGAATGTATGGCCAAGGTAGCCCTCATGGACACCCGACGCAACTGGACTTCCTGTGTTTCTTGAGTTGAAACCTGGTCAAATCGGCGGGCCGCCCGACCCCCAGTCCAGGGTTTGTTGCGTGAGGTTGAGTGTGGGGCACCTCAACCCTGGACCACGCGATCTCGAGTCACCAGCCACGCGGGGCAATCCTACGTAGCACAGCCACAAGGGTACCAAATGTGGCGTTGGCTAGACGTTGATTCTAGGTTCTTGACTATTCGCAAAAGGGAAGCCGGCTTACTCAACAACCATAAAAACAGACAGGTTATGCGACATGCTAGTTGTTTCCACATCGTACACTACAGTTATACAACCCAAGCTAATTTCGCCGGTCTTGTGGATTGATTGTCATTGTTGGCTCGGCATCGCTCGCGAAGCGAAATCCTTCCGTGTTCTTCCACCGCTAGTGTGGTAACCACCAAGAAAAGTGGTTGTTTAAATTATGCTACAAATGAGTACTATGTACGTAGCGCATGTCCGTTAAGGACCCCTCGTACGTGTCTTGCATTGACAGGAAGCTTGACGAACGTTCTCTGCATTGAAAAAAAGGAGGAAGCTTCAATGTCAAAGATGTGCGAAGAACATCTAGATCGTATACATTTGCCCCGCTCCATCCCTATTGCAAGGTGAGAGCATCATTAATTGGCCAAGGCCTGCACATAGCGATTATCAGGAGGCAAAGACATTGGTCTCGAGAAGCCCAGTGTTTCACGAAACAAATTTCTAGAGCGCGCATGATGTTTCATGGGGGACCGGGAAATCGCTGGGCACGCCGAACGAATATTCCAGGTCGGAGGCACGGAGTGAAACGGCTTTAGAGGACGAAGTACCAAAGTGGTTTCTCCAGAACCGAGGGGGATGTCGGGTTGGCTTCCATCAGCCATTCGCTCCTGGCATTCTTTTTTCCGTTCTCTTTTTTCTTCCATTTTCTTCCTTTTCTTTTCCTTTTTTTGCTCCAAGTGGCGGCCTGGTTGGGTTGCCCGCTATCAGTCGCTCATTCTCCTTCTCATCAATACCTGTACTCGCGCTCAGACGCCCCGTTTGTCCCCCTACTGTAGTGTAGATATTCACGTGGAGGTCCCGAGTTTTGGAATATCCTCGGCATCGAAATGTTTTGATCGCTGTCAGCATCAGGGGGACTCGGCGCGATTGAGGGATTTGAAAGATCTGAGCGGATTCCGAAAATTCGGAGGGATCAAGGTCGTCCAAACTTTCCCAAATACGGATCGGCTCAGCATCCGATTCTCCCTCATGGCTAAATGCGGGGACAGGCCAGCCTTGGACCCCCCGCCTCATAGTCGAGAAGTTTTTTTCTGGACTGAAAAATGTGCCGAGATCAAATCTTCTTATGTTTTACCAGTGCCAAGAGATGACTTCATTTGACATTTTCGTCTTCGACAATCGATGCGTCTCCCGAAAGCATATCTGGTCTTGGCTCTGCATATCGCGCGCCGGTGGGTTTCCCCTTTTCCATGTCCGGTGGATGGATCGAGAAGTTGGTGGACACGGCACGTCAGGAGCGTGGCGGCGATGCCCGTCAATTTGTGGTGATCCGCATTCCAACCCTATGATTGGTCAAAGAAGAATCTGGGGGTGATCCAACCCGGAAACTTGTTAGCGCAGACCAACCACTGGCCCCCAAACTGTTTCAGAGTTTGGCCCTTCGAATTTTACCTCATCAACTCCTCAACGGTCTGGCGCGCGCCACTGAGGTCACACGTCGCCGCCCGCCCCTCATTTGCACAGATGTATCAAGGAGGCGTCGAGTTACAGGAGACACAGTACGGAATACATAAAGTCTGTCGTGTTCCGTTAACAACAACTCGGTCACCGCTTTTCATCCCTTCTGGAAGCTGCTTCCTCTGGACGTCTCTCCCACGGAAGCGCCGAGAGGGGCTGGCGTGAGTTTGCTAGCCACGAGCGCTTGTAACCCAAGGCTGCGTTCAACAGCAGACGTTGGTCGCATGGTGATAGTGTACACAACACCACGGTGAAGTGAGTGGAAAATGAAATGCGGATGCTCGGTGTGTGTGGAGCGTTTTGCCCATATTTTGAAATGATCAAATCATCGCCGTCCCACGTTGAGATGAACCCAACTGCACGAGCGGGCGGGCGCACATCATTTAGGTTTTTCTCGGTATCTGTGTCCAGTGACTCGTGGGCATTCATGCCCATCCACAGGGATCGCCCCCATTCTTCGAACCTGAGCGCAAGCGCCAGGGCTCATTCCCTCGGGAAACCGGCTCTTCGACTGGTGTTGTTCCTGCATTAGCCCCGGGCCACTCCCTGGCAGACCCCCCTTAATTGAGAGGCCAAGTCTCGTCTGACCTAACCAGCCAACCAAACCCCTGACATTCCCAGCTGAGGTGCTGCTTCAGGAAAGAGCGTCCTGTCGGATCCCTGCAAAGGGGGGGGTTGTTTCCCCTGGGCTGCCCTTGCCCGTTTTGCAGAATGCGGCGGCAGAAGGCAGAGGGGCACTGCAAGAATTCCATAGGGCGCCGAGCTTTTGGGTGGTTATCTTTATGTGGAGGTCACACTCCTTCCCTCCCGCTGCGTCCCTTCTCTTCGTCTCGTCGCCGTTTGTGCCTCGTCCCCTTACCTGCGACCGTCACCCTTCTTCTTCCGGCTCCCTGAGTCTTCTCAATCCCGTAGCACTCTTTTCGCGGGTTTTATGATTTCCCAGCCTCAGGGCCCACGTTCCTTACTTTTCGGCGACGACGACGAGTTCCCACACCATTCATTCGTTTCGACTCACTCTCTATATCACGTTGTTGACCGCCACTTTCGTTCCTGAGTTCACTCGAACAGTATCACTTGACGACGACGCCACCCTGCCGTGACCACAGCATTTTCTGCTTTGTGACGAGCAGAAAAAGGGAAATCTCAACGGGTTGAGAGGGGCAGACAAAAGCTGAGCTTTGGTGAGCGTGCGAACCGTCGACAGAGCTTCAGCCAAGATAGCAAGAGCGGCTCCCGGCGTCACAGGTTGAATAGCCTTGTGAACCAACCCTCCGTGAACTGTCTGTCATCCGTTGGTCGGGTTTCCAGGTCTTTGTGGTGCCCGACAATTTACACTCGCCTCGTCGGGTCAGACTGGTACGTTGTTGAGTCTGGGAAACTGAATAATGAGAGAGAACTACTTCACCTACCCTCCTCCCAAAATTCTCTCAAGAGCACACCTACCTACCTACCTGCCTTTGAGTCTCAAGACTTGGGCCTCTTTCCATCCGAGGTCAACAAAACAGTCACAGTTCACATTCAGTTGCCCTGCCCCGTGACCCCCCAAGGCAGGAGTATAAATCGATGGTGGCCTCGCCGGTAAGGCTAACTTTCCCACCTTCCTACCATTAGAATTCCGCTTGGAAATTCCGCTTTCACACAAAACAAAACAACACAACACACCCTCTCGGATCGACGATTTTTCGTACAGCGCCGAGAATTCACCCACATTCAACCGCCATTTCCAACTCTAAACCCAAACTTGAACGCCGAGACTTGACTGCGGATCCGCATCCGGCAACATGAAAACCTCCACTTCTCTCGCGATCCTCGCATCGCTGAGCGGTGTTTCCGCCTTTTGGCGCATGGAATGCCGTGGCCGTGCCGGCCTAGCCCGGATTGACCCGCTCATGAACCCCGGCGGCCCTGCGCAGCATGCCCACGCGATTCATGGATCTTCAGGTAAGTCGCATAGATTCACTGGAAAACATAGTCCGGGGTTGCGCGACCTGCGTTGCTCTCCATTCCAGCGACTTATCCAAGGAGAAAAAAACACTGACATCGATTGCCCACCCCGCTAGCCTTCAGCGCCACCTCGTCCTACGACGACCTCCGCAATGGAGAGTGCACTTCCTGCGCCGTTACTGAGGACATGTCCGCCTACTGGGCTCCTGGTGCTTACTTCAGGCACGCCAATGGCACCTACGAGGAGGTCAACCAAGTCGGCGGCATGCTTGCGTGAGTATTCACATTCTTTTTGTTCTCTGGACTTGACAGAACGCTGACATTCATCAGCTATTACTTCTTGAACCCCGATATGAAGGACCCCAACAAGCCCATCAAGGCTTTCCCTAACAACTTCCGCATGATTGCGGGGGATAGCACTCGTCGCAACTACACGATTGATGGGCTTGACGTTCATCAACCCGACCCCGCCAAATCCGACTGGGGTAAGGACCATGAGACTACCCAGGTCGATCTGGCCCAGCGTGCCCTTGGCTTCAACTGCCTTAACTACCACGGCGATGCCGAGCCCACCCTGTGGCGCCATTATCTCCCCGACAAGGCTTTCCTTGACGCCAACTGCCTTGATGGTGTCCGCTTCGAGCTTGCGTTCCCTTCGTGCTGGAACGGCCGGGACATCACTTCGGACAACTTCAAGTCTCACGTCGCCTACCCGGACACAGTTATTAATGGAAACTGCCCCGAGGGCTTCGATGTAAAGCTGCCTGGTCTGATGTACGAGACCATCTACGACACTGCCGCCTTCAAGGGTATCCCAGGCGAGTTTGTTATGGCGAACGGTGATGTCGAGGGTACGTGAAATCACCTGTGTTGACCCAAATTCATTCACTTGCTAATTCTCATCATCTAGGCTTTGGCTACCATGGTGACTTCATTAGCGGTTGGAAGGAGGAGTTCCTTCAGGCCGCTGTTGAACAGTGCACCAACCTCAGTGGCAGGATTGAGGACTGCTCTCTTTTCACCATCCGTAGTGAGGACGAGCAGAGGCAGTGCAAGCTTACCAGCCCTCCCCTAATCATCGAGAAGCTTCTTGGCTTCATCGGTGACATCCTCCCCGGTGGTGTTGAGATCTCACGTGGCCCTGGTCCTGCGATCCCGAAGCCCCATGGGGCTCCTGCGCCCATCCCGCTGCCGGCCGTCAGCTCCGTTGTCCCGGGTCTTAACGTCCTGCCCGGTGGCGCGTTTGCCGAGAAGTCGACCTCGGAGGTTGCGCCGACCCCCAGCTCCACGTCCACCACCTCGACTTCGACTTCGACGTCGACTTCGACCACGCCTTCGACCACGTCTACCCCGGTCCCGTCGGACCCTCCCGTTCCCAAGGGGTACTCGCTTGTCCGGACCGACTATGTCACCAAGGGCAACGTGGTCAGCAAGATCGTCGTCATTGAGACGGTCAAGTATGTGATGGCGGAGGCTACTGAGACCGTCACCGTCACGGCCACCCGTGGCACCGACAAGGCTCGCCGTGAGGTGCACCACATGCACCAGCACCAGCATCGCCATCACCATGGTGCGCACTAAGTGCAAGGCTCGCACTCGACTTCCACCACGCCCTTTCTTCGGCTGCCTAGTCTGACCCGTCCTCCTTTGAGGATATGATTCGTTGCACATATGGATGGAGCTTATGGCCATGTTTTTCCGTTTCTTCTTCGGGGCCGATTTTACTTCTTTGCTATTGACGTTGCGTTTCCAAAACCAAGATCCCGGGGGGTGAGATGTTGATGGTCCGGAAAAGGGAAGGATGGGGAGAGACGGTGGACTCGAGTCTACTCGCCAGTTTCGGCGGCGTAGGTTAAATAGGCCTTCCGCATTGATTGAATGGACCAGGGATTCTTCGGTTTTTATTTTTTTAACAATTTCTCTCCAATTGCATTAAAGGCAATGCATTGACTGCTTGCCCGTCTGCGCGTTATGGAAGGATGTGCCGGTGTTCCGGGGTTTGCACTTGGGAGTGAATGTCAAGATACCACCTCTACTCTACCTCGGGCCCTGCAATTCCCGATCTCCGTCTTTGTTTGTGACATTCTTGTGCCAGTGAATCCAACCGTATGGAATTTAGTGGCTGAAAGAATGAGTGTTGAAAGCTAATGTTAAGCCAGTGCCTCAATAGCATTGTGCTCGGGGCCGGAAAACCTCTTGCTAATTTTCCCTTGACGATTAAAATAATTGAGTGTGCGTTCTCACGCTCCTTCCCTATTCTTGAAAAAGGATTCGGACGCAATTAATGTCATTGGTACTTGTGATCAGCAATTATATTGACGTGAAGTTCTTCCCGAAGCTTGGCCGGCTGGCGACAACTGGCTGCTGCCTGGCATCCTGCATGTGCCATGTGCCCCTCAACACCAACAACACGCATCTCCGCTGATCCCAATTGTATGTGTGACTTGCGGCCCGACCCCTCATATTGACTCCTTGCATCCCTCAGTATACATTACGGTCAATATACATTCTCATTCACCTTCCACTCTCTCACGCGGTTCTCAACCATTTTTTTTCGCTAACTGACGCCGCGCTGTCTCTATCGACCTAACCTCCCTAAAGCCTCACTCCCCATCCGCCCAACATGCCCCCCCTCCTACCACAAGCCCTCCCGCGGCTCATAACCTACTACCAAACCCACCACACCGTTTCCTCCGGCGACCCCATCTCCGTCCTCCCACTGCTCCAACAACCAGACTGCTACCTCACGCACGTCATCCTCGCCGCCATCCACATCAACGAAGATCCCTCTGGACTTACCCTCAACGACCACTCGCCGTCGCATCCACGGTTCGAGACGCTTTGGGCTGAGATGCGGGTGATGCAGGCTAGTGGGGTTAGGGTGCTGGGGATGTTGGGGGGTGCGGCGAAGGGGAGTTTTGAGAGGTTGGATATTACTGCTGCTACTGGGACTGGTAATGGGGCTGGGGCCGCGGGGGATGGGGTCGATGAGAGGTTTGAGAGGTACTATGGTCCTTTGAGGGATCTAGTGCGTGAGCGCGCGCTGGACGGGCTGGATCTGGACGTGGAGGAGCCGATGTCGCTAGAGGGGATCATTCGGCTGATTGATCGGCTGCGGGCGGATTTTGGGCCTAGTTTCCTGATCACGCTGGCGCCCGTGGCCGCGGCCATGTTGGATGCGAAGCGGAACCTGAGCGGGTTTGATTACGAGGCGTTGGAGGTGATGCGGGGCCGGGAGATTGCGTGGTATAACACACAGTTCTACTGTGGTTGGGGCGACTGCAGCAACCCGGCTATGTACGAGATGATGTTGGTCAAGGGGTGGCCGGCGGAGAAGATTGTGGTGGGGTTGGTGACGAACCCGAAGAATGGGCACGGCTGGGTGCCGTGGAACATGCTGGCGTCAGTGTTGCCAGTGTTGGTTGGTAGATACCCGCGCTTTGGAGGAGTGATGGGGTGGGAGTATTTTAACAGCTTGCCGGGCGAGGAGTCGAGGCCGTGGGAATGGTATGATATCACTTAACAACACATTGGAGCTGGAAAGAAAGGGAAAGACCGAGGGCTAACATTATGGTTAATAGGGCGCAAGTGATGTCTACATTGCTGAGAGGTCGTCGGACAGCGGTGGAGGGTAGTGCGACGGTTGAACAAAGCGTGCGAGAGGAAGCAGAACGGCGCGAGGCGACACGGGAGGTCGATCCTGATGATGAGAAGGGAGAGGGTGTGGTACCGGTGCCAAACGAGTTTGAGTATCACTCCGACGGAGGACAGTAGAGTAGGCGGTGTCATGCCTATCCGTGATGACCGAAACTGTTCAAGAGGGTGAGTAAAAATGTCTTTCCTAACCTGTGGTTCTCCCAGAAGATTCCAACGGCTAGCCACCATCCATCATCATCTTTGTTTGTGCCTCTCGATCCTGAATTCTCAAAGCGATTATCCCGATCGAACGGCCCGAGAGCCAGGGCAATGTTAGGCCGTACCCTTATCAACAATTTGCTTACGAATGAAGTCATCAACGGTTCCCCAGGCCGATCTATGAGGCAATATCATCAATACGATCGTGACACTGTTCCCTCGTTGCCCGCGAACGGAGTTGACCCCCGAGGGTAAGCATTGCTCTTGAATCAGTCAACAGTGTCGATGGCTTCACGAGACGACTACACTACTGGGGCGACTTGTTACCCCTGTTCCTTCCACCATGTGGCGAGCAAGGGATATGCTGTCGAGAATTGTTTCTCGAAGCCCAGAAGCTTCGTCTATGACGTTGCTCTGTGATGTCAACCGATGGACGTGGCCTTCGTCCTAACTGTGGTCGCATTCATTGTCGAGATCGCAAGTTTGCAACAGCGAAATGGAAATCTAAAACCACAGGCCGCCAAAAGCCCTACGTCACATAGAATGATAAAATGTGGTCCGGCAGAGTCAGACTGCACCGGAGAAAGACGAGGAGAAGGCCCAATAGCCGGATCGAAAGCTTTCCAGTAACCTTCAAGGCCGCCTACTAAGCTACCAGTGGCTACGTAAGAGGTTCGCCGGCCCACCGAGGCGCGTGCAAAACAATGCAAAGGGATGACGGTTGCCGAGACTTTTGAATACGCCGACGTCGTGGCCGTTGTCATGCATGGGTTAGGAGAGTGCGAATGCATAGAGGCAATGCTTCTGAAAACACTCAAACACGAACCATTCTACTCAGGACTCCTCTGCTTTCCATTCGTTTATATTGCACAGTATCAGACATGCGGCTAGACAACCGATTACCACACTCAACCCACGATGTATGGGAGGGGGATGATGTCAGAACCTGTAGAAATGTTTGGTGAAACCATCTCATCTCTTGTGGTGTTTCGGCTGGGTTCCACTTCCCATGGGGAGACCGGTCTGGAATCCAAGCTAGTTTGCTGGGAGGTTGGCGAGGCGAGCTAGCGCATAGGACCACGATGACTCCCCTAACGTTAACCTTGAAGCCGGAGACCGATGAAAACGGAAAACCGAAATGGGACTGGAACGGAGTGTAAGGCAGGCGCGGGGGGAGGTCGGTGGGCGTGGTTCTCGACCCTTCTGCTCCTGCGGCCAAGTGAGGAAGGGGAAAATCTGGAAATCTGGAACTTGGAAAATGGCATCTGGGAAAAGTGGTTCTTTCCTTCAATTTCTCTCGTTCTCTGTGGATTGGTGTGAGGCAGGGGGGGCACGAGCAGGGGTTGTGCAGGTGGTTGTGGGCAGTGTGACGTCACAGGGTCTCTCCATTCGCTGCATGGGGTGGACACCCAGAACAACATCATCTTGACTCCTTCCTTGAAAGCTCAAACATACGATTCTGACCTCACAGCTGCTCCGGGGGAAATTGCGAACGGCTGCAACGGTCCCCGTTTTGACTGAGGGAATCGAAAATTTTACTGGAGTCTCCTGATTTTTCTTTGTGGTTTTTCGTGTTTTGTAGTGTAGTTCTCCAACGCTACCTATTCTTTGAATCATTGTGCGTCTGACTTTTCGATCGCGGTCCTTCGTTTCGGAGCAGGCAGACTCCTCAAGCTATTGCGCCATGGGCCCCCTGTCAGTTCATGGAAGAGCGGCAGGATGGGAATTTCTCATTGCCGCATGTCGGAATAGCGTCAATTGGCTCAACAATGCCATGGGCTCGGCTGCACGAGTCCCTGCCGACCCGCCGGCCTGACCTGGCTAAGTTTTCTCGCGGCTGCCCCCTCCTCCGACTCATCTCACTAGCCCCCTTTGGTAACCATTGGTTCGCGTTCCTGCACGTAGGCGAACTCGGAGCGGGCCCCCGGCATCGTGAAGGAAGACAAAAAAGAGATGGCGCCGAATTTGAAGACGGTACGACGACGACGGGTGCCGGGGGGTGACAAAAGCGGTCGGTGTTTACCGGCAGCTTCTTCCGAGTTGAACGAGGGTTGAAATTGTACCTGTACCTGGGGTAGGACGGACCCAGGTACGCCAGGGCCTCACGGCCGTCTGCACGCAAGGCGGTTTGGCCACTGACATCATGGTAAGGCGCCCTTCCATTCCTATTCAGGCGTCATCTAGCATAGTTTACTGGCCACTCTGCCCGGCTCCGCGGTCTTCCCGATGCACCCAAAGGACTGTCTTTGTTCCTGTACCTTCAGTGCTTTGAATATGGACGTCTATCCAGTACGGAATTTGGCCCACGGTGGATCCTTCTGACGAAACTAAAGCTTTTAACGTTTAGGGCGCTTCCCCGTTTCTACCCTGTCAACCTGTTAAGAGCTGAAAACGAGTCGTGGAACTGGCCGAAATATGTTGCCTGCGGGCGAAGCTGAACACCGCCCCAGGGCTGGCACTGGCGTCACTCTTCGCCTCTGTTTTCTGACAGCAGCCTTGACGCTTTGACTCGACCGGAAGCTGACACAACAGGCTCGTGGGGAGCACACGGCCGGCAAGCAATGGCGCTGACCTCACAGTCCAATTCTTTGGAGGGGATCAGCAGGGTCTTGCCCTTTTGGTCGGCCGCTCGACACACGCCGTTTTGTGACTCTGTGCCGTCACGAGCGACGGTCGTGATGCATGCACCTCCACCCCGTGCTTGAACCGGACCGTGGGCCTAGCGGACAAGATACTGTGCTGTGTACCATAGTAAGCCCGACAAGCCGACCTCGCAAAGGAAACAGCTCCGGGGATCGCCGGAAGCAGCTGTTAAACGAATGCTCGTGGGACAACAAACGACCAGGACAAATACTAGAAACAGGCACAGAGATGAGTCTCTGCGGTCATTGCTTATGCAGGGCAAAGCCCGGTGGCGAAAGCAGGGCCTCTGTACACTATGTACACGTACTGTGCGAGCACCAGCTCCGCGAGGCTCGCAGGCCCAACAAGGTACATGTATCTCGTTACTGGAGACCGACGGTTTGTCAGGCCACTCGTCAGAGGGGTACAGAAAACGGCTGATCTGGGTTGAGAGGCATTCTTAGGCCGCTGATCTAACCATGTTCCGGAAAGGTTGCAGCAAAGGATGGGTGGTAACGCTAACGCAGACTCGCATCGTCATGGTTCTGATGGGGGATTTGTGCGGTTCTCGACCGGCAACTGGACACTCGCACACTTTGACGAGGGCTTCGGCGAGCACTCTGCATGTTGTCCCTCTGCGAGATTGGGCCTCTGGGTGTCCGATATGCAGATCTTACCGTGACGGCAGTACACGGATGGTAACAAGGGTCCCCTCCTTTTCGGAGGACCCTTTCTCTTCTCTCAGAGCTCCCAAGACGTTCCGATTTCTCCGACCTACACGAGTAGTGCAGAGGATTAGGTCTTCTCGGTCTTCAAGCCACCCGTTTCGCTCACACCACAACACCCCACGGGCCGCCCACCTGTTTCGATCACCCCGCCCCCCTGTGGAGAGTGATCGACCACCTCGTTCTCCATTGGACCCATCGACTTATTTTGCCTTGCGACAGAAAACTCCCCGGGCCCTGCTTGAGTGCTAGGGCGTTCTTCCGTTTATAAAGCTTTGCTCTCCCCTCCTTTTTTCTCTCACTCCCGATTCTGATCCTCAGCCTACTGTTTTCTACATCCCATCAAGGCAAATCCCAATTACAAATATCAAGCCACCCACCTCAATATCAACAACCGTAATCACGACTCTTAACAATAACTGGTTAGTTCCGTAGCACCACACCACATCGTACTATCTCTCTTACAGTCTTTCTTACCGTTTTACTGTCCAGTGGGGTCTACTTTCGGTCCATCTCATCAGCCTCTTCATCACCACACAACTTAAATCAAACCTATTTCATCTCTTCTTTCCCACCTTAGCTACATCAACCAGACTTCACAACTCGTCATGTCGACCGCCCAAAGGACATTCGCCGCGCTACCGCACTCTCCACCTGCGCCCACAGACATTGGAGCGTACGCCCGTTCTATGCACCAGCACACCAAGCGGCAGATGGAGTCCATCCCACAGACGTCGCCGAGGAGCAGCAGTACCGGTAGCGGCGACAGCGTCGGGAATTCGAGTGGTGCTCAACACCATCACCATAGTAGCAGCAGCAGTGGCAGTACCGGCCATGCGAGCGGCCGCAGCACCCACCGCGCGCCTTCACCGACGGGGTTGCCTGATGGCGTCATCGGCCGGAGTAGTCGGGACTCGAGTCAGTATAGTTACCGGACTTGAGGAGAGAGAGGCCGTGGCGTGTTTGAAGGAGAAGTAAAGGTGACGACAGCAACGGCAACATTAAGCAGCTGCTCATTTACGTTTTGATTCTCGAGCGGGATGGATGGATCTCAGCTACGAACCCTTCCCATCTTCACTCCTTTTCCCCGGAGCAGCATTCGCTACACTCCTGAAGCAAGTCGAGGTCGGGAGGGGCAAAAACACGGCATCACACACGCATCATCAAAGCAAAGCAACAAAGAATTGACGCGGCCGAAATTGGGCGGACCGGACAGTAACAGAAAAGGTTCCGGTCCAGGGAGAAGTAAGGAAAAATGGTCGTCGGGAACATGGCCCAGGAAAAGGCCGAGCCGGTCCAAGAGGAACGGACGGTTTAACGGCAACAACACGAAAAGGCGACACCCTGAACGGGAATTAACGAGACACACGACATGATAACTGCACTACTACTTCATGATGAGGGGGATGGAGGATGACCTTGATGGACATATGCCATGAGGGATAACACCAAAGCAAAGCAAGTGTTTGCCACTTGGGGTTTTGTTGGCGGTGTAGCTGACCTACTTCACTTCATCTTCACTCTATTTTGGATTTATTCATTGGCAATCGCTTTATTTTTTATTTTTATTTTTCATCTGCGTGGTTGGGTATTTCGTGGTTTGATGGGTCTTTCGCGAGCATGGCGTTGATGGAAGATGGCATGGGGATAGCATAGGCAACATATAGGGTTTGAGGGGTTTACTCTGTTCATTTTTCGCCGCCGCGCCATGAATATATATGCGGCCTTTCTTACATATTATGCGTTGCTGAGTACCTTGGGAATATTTGTGACTTGGTATATGTGAAAGTGTATGTGTTCAAGCAATTAACCTCTCGGACTTGATCATTGTCTTCTACGTCTGACCAGAAAGAATACACGCCATAAACTCGCGTATGTTCGCTGGTGTGCTGGAATGATGATATATTGATCGTCGTTGTCATCTCTACTCGTAGATCCCCACGCCGAGACACCCTCTCAAACGAGGGGCTGCTTCTTCTTGATGCCGAGCAACGCCGCATGGTCCTTTTTCTTTTTGACCTGCCGCTTAAAGCTCGGAGGTGGTGGTAACGCGTCCGGCGTGGCCGACGAGGATGGAGGCTTTGAATCCGAGTTCGAAGACCCTCCCGAGTTAGCCCCACCAGATAATGCCGTGACCCCATTCCCATTCACCACGCCCAGTTTCAACCTACTACTCCCTCCATTTTGTCCATTCTGTCCCTCTTGCCCCTCTTTCACCCCCTCATCCTCCCCCTCCTCCACAATCTCCTCCAAAGTCTCCTGCCTCCTAACAAAAGCCGCAAACGCCCTCCTCGCAGCCTCCGCATCCTCCTCCTCCTGCCTCCTCCTCTCCTCCTCCTCAGGCCTCACCACCCCAGCGACCACCGCATCCAACACCTCCCCCCCACTCTCCCTCTGCGCCTTCGCCAACCTCGCATTCCGACTCCGAATCTCATCCAACGCATCCGCCACCGCCATCTCCCTCTTCGCATCCTCCGTCTTGGCCTCCAACTCCGCCATCGCATTCCTCTCTTCCGCCCCGCCGCCCTCCCCATCCTCCGCCATCTCCCTCTCCAACCGATCCAACCTCTGCTCATCCGTCTCCTCCGCCTCCCCCCCATCATCCAACCCGCGCTTCCACGGATCTGTGTTGCGCTTCGCGCCCCGCTCCATCACATAATCTTGATTCTTCGGGTCGGTGCGGAATACAATCTCGGCGGAACACCGCGTGCAGCGGATGTAGAAGCGGTACAGCTGGATGCCGAGGTAGCGTTCGCCTTGCGGGGTTTCTTTGCGGGCGTTGAATTTGCGGCCGCGGTACATGTATTCGCCGCAGGCGACGCAGCGTAGGGAGAAGGGGGCCATGAGGCGGACGGTTTGGACTTTGGGGGCGAGGGCGTCGGTTTTGGGTTTGCGGGAGCGTCCGACTAGGGAGGGGTCAAAGTCGGGGGGGTAGTATTTCCTGGGAGAAAATAAGGTTAGTTACCCGGTTTATTGGTGAGGGATAGGACGGGGCATGGGGGTTGGGACGTACGTGAGGACTTTGCGTTCGGACATGTTGGCGGTTTGAGTTTGGGGTTCGAGGTTAAGGGTTGATTGCTGGAGAGATCGCTCGAATGTCGAGTGGAATGAAAGCGGTTTAATAGGTTGTGTTGTGTTGGCGGTGGGTCTGTTCACAAAATGCGCGCGACTTCGGCGTTGGCGCAAAGATGGTTGTTGATGTTTGGTGATGGGAAAGTAGAAAAGATGGAGGTCGAGAGGCAAGTCGCAGTTGTTGACGCCACCTGAAGGGATGTAGGGTTAGGGTTATAATCGAACACCTGAGAGTGCTTACATACATAACCCTAACCCGTGGCTTTCCCCCCTATCGGGGTTCCCACGAGCATGACAGTTATGTGACGCTCGAAGGCGGCATCCAAGATAAAGCCAATCTGAAAAATGTTGAGTAAAACGTTTTGTATCATGTATTGCGGTATCTTAGAATATTTCAGCTAATATCGTGGTATTTGTTGCAGTACGCTTGTGTTTTTGAGCCCGATCGTCACCCAAACGCAAGTTTTGGTCTAAGGCGCCAGGTTATGGGAATAACCCTAACCCGTGGCAGTTAGGAGGGTTACACCATATCCCTGAGGCGTGTACTCTTTACGTTGAACACTGAGAACCGTCGACATGATAGGTGGTCACGAGTGTGCAGTAAAACCACCTCTCTAGGTAGTGAGATGGCTTGTCTGGTAGTCTGTTGGCCAGTCCTAAGGCTGAGGCCGCGAGGTAACCCTCTTCCAAGTTACATCACACCTTCCCCCAGCACCCCCATCTTCATAAGACTATCAACATCCCCCAAACCCAACTCAGTCACCAACTACTGCTGCTCCTGAATCCCCACCTCCAACATCTCCGCCAACAAATCCCACTTCCCCGCAGCCTCTTCCTTACTCGCCCTCGCCACACTCCTCAACCCACTCGCCACAAACCTCAAATGCCGTTCAAAATCCCCCTCTATCTCCCTCAACACTGTCGCATACGGCTTCCCATCACCCCCCGCCTTCCCCTTCCTCATCATCCACTCCCCCAGTCCACTCCCTTCCTCTTCTTCCTCATCCTCCCCGTCGTCGTCATCATCATCACCGTCATTGTAAGATTCGTCTTCCCCACCGCCATCAACGCCTAACCTCCTCCTCTTCGCTCTCCGCATCCCGCTACCCCTCGTAGCGACAGACGACATGGATGCCCTCCCATAAAACGAGAGTCGGGATACTTCCATCTCGTCGTCGTCAACTTTGGCGTTTTCCGCGCGCTGGGCGTCTTCGAGACGGATGGCGAGGTCGAAGATGTCGAGCACGCCGTCACGGATGGGTTTGAGTTTGGGGGTGAGGCAGGATTCGTCGGCCACGCGGCCGACAAAGGTGGCGTGGGCGCCGATCATGTCGTCGACGCTGAGGGTGATTTTGGGGGGGGTGGTATTGGTGTTGGTGGGGGTGTCTGTGGTGGTGTCGGTGGTGCTGTATAGTTTTGTACGTAGCTTAGCGATGTTGGGCGCGAGAACTAGCGTGGTAAGGTAGGTGGTAATGGTGTTGGTGAACCAGAGGAGTTTGGCGCGGAGGAGGTAGTAGCGCTCCATGCCCTGACGCTGTCGATGACGAGAGGCGAGTTGTAGGGGTCGTTGGAGTAAAGAGAGGGCGCGGCGAGCCTGGAACTGAAACGTAAACAAGGCTTGATAGCCCTGGATGGCCTCTTCCGGGATGACGATCTGCACCGGCCAGCTCAGGCGGTAGTGGAGGCGGATAGCGGGGAGGCTGTAACGGACAGACGAGCGCGAGGCCATGGCGCCATGGGTGGTGCTCCGTGGATCGATGTCGGCAGAGAGCCGGTGGCTATCAACGCAGGGTGCAAAGGCTTCCTGGGCGAGCTCGGTCAGCGTGAACCGGTCGCGCCAGCTGCTGCTGAAGCTGTCTAGATGCCGAAAGATGGATGTGGCGAAGCGGCTCGACCTTGCACCGTCCGACATTAAGTAAAGGTGTTGCAGGTCGGTCAAACTCTGTGAAAGCCCGTAAGAACTGAAGAGAAGCTCGCGGAGGGTGGCTGCCGCGGTGTGGTGCTTGCTCTCGAACCATCCTTGAAAAGCGGCAGCGAATAGCTCACTAAACGGGGCAAGTTCGAGCTCATCGGAGCAAACTGTCGCAAAGTCCATCGGAGGCTCGATAGTGTCTCGGTACTGTTGAGTTGACGCGTGCTGCTTCATGTGCTTGAGCACAACGATACTCTTCCCCGCTGTAAAAATGCGTTGGATGGACGGGTTCAGGAAGCGAGGCGCGTGGAGGTTGCCCTCGGGAGTGCGCAGCAGCTTAAACTGGCCTCGCCAGATCCGGGGCAGCGGGAGTTTTGTCGGCGACTCGGAGACGAAGAACGTCCGGTCACCGGGGAGTATCTTCCCTTCTTCGATCCACAACCGGATCGGCTTGAGGTAGACCCGAAAACAGTCAAAGAATATCGTCCCGAGGAGTCGATACGTCGGTCGGTTGCCCTGTACTTGGGCTATCCCCACGGCATCGTAAAGAAGCTCCAGGTACCGGAAGGCATGGGGGTTCCGCTCCTCGCGGATTTGACGCACGATATCGGCCAGCGCATACAGAGGGGCCAATGTGGGATTAAGCTCGCTGAGCACCCCAATGAGGCTGATGACAACGTCTTTCTGGACCCCAACAAGTCGATTTTGGATTGCGGATAGCTCAGTGTCCAAGGAGAGTAGTGCTCTCTGGATACAATCTTGAAAAACCTGTAGCAGCGGCACCTGTTCCTTGGTCTTGACGAAGGCTCGAAGCGGGGCGAGTTTTCGACCACACTCAGAGAACGCTGTGGTGAGCGCCTTGTAGGAATCCCAAGAGATCCCTGGAAGCTGATATTTGGTGACGAGATTGCATTTAGAATCGAACAGGCTCGTTTCCAGCCCCGCTAACATAAAGAGGGCCTCCCGGAGCAGTTGGAGTGTGGTGATGGAGATCTTTTTCGGTCGCCCATCCCCACCAACGGCAGAAGCATGTCTCCAAGCCTGAGCATCTTTGATCTTGTTTAGTAGCGCCTCACCCTCGTGAGACTCAGTCGCCATGTCCAGCACGATGCGTTGGCTCCGATCCCCCACCGAAGAGGCAGTGGTGAGGGAGTCGGCCGACGCGTCCGACCGCCCATCCACCTCATCCTCATCACTCGATCCTGGGGAATAGTCGACAAACCGCCAAATGTCCCGCTCCTGCTTCCACCCGTCCTCGCGGGCAACATCGCGCCAGGTCAGCGGCGGTGGGGCATCCTCCTCCGGTGCAATCAGGGCGTCTAAGTCGCTCAGCTTCGAGTTGAGCGCCGGCTGGTCGGCGAGTTCGAGCAGGAGGTGCAAGACTTCTGGCGTGTACTGGTTGCGGTGAGGTTCCAGGGCGGCTAGTCTCGTACGGAGGGCTTCTGCGAGGCCATCTCGGCCGACGACCGAGAAGCGCTCTTCAAGTCCGCTCAAGCGCTCGGCTACCTCGAATTGGTTGGTGCGAGGGAAGTTGTTGTTGCGCAAAGTGCGAAAGGCAGCCTCACGTCGAGGCCCTCGCTTTTCATGTTGAGTCTGATTTATGTGAGTTACTTGCTACTTGAGCCACGGAAAGGGCATAGCAAAAATCAAATTGCACATACATTCGAGCTGGAACCACTAACAGCCGCGAGAAGGTCATCCGTCAAGGCCCCCAGTTCTGCGAGAAATGCCATTGTTTTAAGGTTGTTGAGCCGAAGCTGGGCATTCTGCTGGTTGTGTACCCTGCATGGAAGTTGCAGAGTCTCGGCGCAGAACCCACTTTACGCGGTTACAACACTGGGCGCGTTGCACCGGGTTGACGCGTCAGGATACCAACGCCTGGTGACAAAGTCAGGATTTTGAGTAGTACCAACGAATTGAGACCCTAAGAAGATGCCGGATGTTTTCAAGCCGTTTCAGGGTTGTAAAAATTCGATGAGTTAGCTAACAGCGTGTGTTCCGATTTGTTTGAGTTGTGAGAGTTCTGGACCGTCGTGCTGTGTGGAACCGTTAGCTGGGCACGCACGGGCCAACGGCTTCAAGGCTTAGCGGTCTTGGCATATCAGATGACATCAAGCCCCCTATTCAAAATTTTGGTAGTGCTGAGCGCATGAAGCAGTTGATTGGCACAAGAACCAAGGCAACACGCAACCTGCTATAGGAGCGTCGAAGAACAGACGAAGCACGAATCAATAACCCCAGAACGACGCGCCCCACGACGACGACGAGAACCCTCCCATGCCGAGACCCGAATAGTTCATGCTGGATTGCCGGCCGCCCGCGCAGCACCAGCAGCCCAAGTCCCTAGCTTGATTTGCTTATCGCAGCTCTGAGTTACGGCCACGTCGAGCCCCCCGGATCCCGAATCCAGCATAACAGCGACCACGAGGACGACAACGGCGAAAACGACGGCCGGTCCATTATGGCGATTGCTCGCCCCGTGCGGGCCCTGGGGTTGGCCGCCGTTGTGATGTGGTGTTTCTTCATATGGCAGCTCTTCAAGCCCACAGGATACTCTTTGGGGCCGGGCGACAACACCTACATAACGAGAGAGCGGGACCCAAATCTAGATCGTAAGAACGAAACCATTCATCTACTTAGCCCTTGGTCGTTTAACACCCTAAACGGAACCCAGTCCCCCGCTAACTGCGAACCCCCGAACAGCTACCGGCGAGCCTGAAGGCGTCCTAGCATACGCATCCGACGAATATGCGCCCGGCAGCGCAGGCACAGCGCGCATCGATGCCACGCTCCTGGCGCTGGTGCGAAACGAGGAGTTGGACGGGATGCTGCAGTCGATGCGCGACCTCGAGCGGACATGGAACCACAAGTTCAACTACCCATGGACCTTCTTCAACGACGTCCCTTTTTCGGCCGAGTTCAAGGAGAAGACGCAGGCGTTGACAAAGGCCGAGTGCCGATATGGTATGGACTGACCCCCCGGGTTTGATGAGTGTGGTTTGGAGCTAGGATGGGGGGCTAACAGAAGGCGCAGAACTTATCCCCAAGGAGCACTGGGACATGCCGTCGTGGATCAACGACGACCTCTACAAAGAATCAACCAAGATCCTCAAGGAGCAAAAAGTACAATACGCCGACATGACCTCATACCACCAGATGTGCCGCTGGAACAGCGGCCTCTTCTACAAGCACCCGGCGCTAGAAAACATGCGGTACTACTGGCGCGTCGAGCCCAACGTGCACTTCTTCTGCGACGTCGACTACGACGTCTTCCGGTACATGAACGACAACAACAAAACCTACGGCTTCACCATCAACCTGTACGACTCGCCCGAGTCGATCCCGACCCTGTGGCCCGAGACGCTCAAGTTTGTCGCTGACCATCCGGAGCACGTGCACGAGAACAACGCGATGGACTGGTTGTCGGACAAGACTCGTCGCCCGAGCCATAATGAGAAGGCTAATGGGTACTCGACCTGCCATTTCTGGAGCAACTTTGAGATTGCAGACATGACCTTTTGGCGCAGCAAGCCGTATGAGGACTACTTCAACCACCTTGACCGTGCCGGTGGGTTCTTTTATGAGCGTTGGGGTGATGCCCCTGTTCACAGCATCGCCCTGGGTCTGCTTGAGGACAAGAACCGGATTCATTGGTGCGTATCTGCCTCCCTTTACCCCTGTTCAGAAGGCATTATATTCCCATCTAGCCATACTAACTAGTCTGGGATAGGTTCCGTGACATTGGCTACCAGCACATCCCCTTCTTCAACTGCCCCAACTCGCCCAAGTGCAGTGGCTGCGTGACCGGCCGCTTCACCGACGGCGAGAACTGGCTACACCGGGAAGATTGCCGGCCGAACTGGTTCAAGTACGTCGGTATGGGTTAAGCCAGCCCGACACCTTGGGGAGAACTAGCGTTAGGTATAAAAGAAGAGGGAGAGAGGGCCCGGGTGGGTACTGGAAATTGGGGGCCGGTTTCGTCTATATATCGCTCGGTCAAGCGACATGGCTTTTTGGACTACACACACACACAGCACACCCGCGCATAAGGGGGGACGGGTGCGAGGGAGAGGTGTTTGGCGCAGGCGGTATATGTTTTATGAGTGGCGCTCTAGAATAATGAATCTGGAATTGGCGGCGGGCAAGGGGAGAGGGCGGTAGGTAGGGCTGGAAAAGAAAGGCATGAGCGGACCGCCCCAGGACACGCAAACAGATAGAGGTTTCAATCAAACTGGGGATATTTTTTTCTCTCTCCCTACGTTTTCATCCACTCACGGTCTTGTCGACGTCCATGAGCCTGGGTCTGACCATCTGTTTACTCCCCAAACACTGTGACCACCCCCGACGTCCCGCCGACGCAGAACTGGTCCCCAAACCCGCCATCCTTCCACGCAATGCAGCTCACCACGTTCTTCCTCTCTTTTTCCTTGCCGTCTCGTCCAATGACTCTCTTTCTACTCTCGCTACCACCGCCCCAGGGAACGGGCAGGGTGGCGATGAGCTTGCCGGTCATGACGTCCCATGCCCATACCTTGCCTTCGTTTGTGTTCTCGGTTGTCGGTTTCTCTCCTTTCTTCTCGTTTTGGAGGGAGGATGATGATGACGACGATGAGGTGGATGAAAGCTCATCCCCAGCTACGACGAACCGCTCTCCACCACCCAACACACTCTGCACCCTCAGCTCCTCATTCCGCCATCCTCCCGCACTACCACCATCATCCGTCATGCTATTATCCCCGCCGGCAGTCGCAGCAGCAGCAGCCCCCGCAGCATACGTCCGCAAACACGACCCATCCCTCCGATCCATCAACCGAATCTTACTATCCAACGACCCCACCAACACCGTCTTCCCATCCCTCGCCAACGACAAACTAGTCACACTAGCGGGGAAAACATCCGTCACACACCTCCCCATGCGCACATCATACGTCCGCACCCGGCCGTCCACACTCGCCGCCAGAATCTGCGCTCCATCCGACCCATCCACCGCCAGCGCCGTCACGGCGTCCCTGGCCTCCTGCAGGACCTGGATCGGTTTACCACCGCTCCCGCCGGTGTGACTGCGAAGATCCCAGAGACGGACCGTCGCGTCCAGACCGCCCGAGACGACAAGGTTGGCTTCGCCGTCGTCGCTGCCGCCTAGGCCGGCGAAACAAACCGCGTTGACCCGGCCGGTGTGGGAGTGGGCCGTGGAGGAGGCGCCGAGGCGGCGGATGGCTTGGGCTGTGGCTACGTCCCAGAGGAGGACGGCGCGGTCGCCGCCGCCGGAGACGAAGCGGGCGTTGGAGGGGGAGATGGCGAGGGAGAGGACTTCGTAGGTGTGGGAGGTGTAGGTTTGGATCAGTTTGCCGGCCGGGGGTTGGGGTGGTGTGAGGCTAGAGCGGGCGGTGATGCTGTTGCTGCTGCTGTTGCTGCTGCCGGTGCTGCTGCCGGTGCTGGGTACCGGTGTCGTTGAGGATGGGTTGTAGAGCCTGATGGACCTGTCGGAGGAGCCTGCGAGGATGTAAGTGCCGGGTGTTGCCGAGTAGGCTACTGCGTGTACCGGGCCTGGAGAATTTGTAATTTGTCAGCCGGCGGGTTTTGATATTTGGAAGAGGGGATTCCGAGGTAGGGTGGTTTGGGCCCGGCCGAGCGACCTGCAAGCTGCAAGTAAGAAATGGGACGCGGGTAAGGAATGGTAGAGTGAGACCCGAGGTGGTTGGCGCCAACTACCGGCCTGCGTCCACCCTAGATGCCGGCCCCGGAACCCGGTCTTTGAGACAACTCGGCATTCCTCTTCTCCCGCAGGCATCTCCAAGTAGGCAACGGCCAGTGAGAGACCAGCTCACCCCTCCCTCCCTGTCTCTTGCCCACAAGCACAGCTCGGAATCTCTCAACGCTAATAAATGCGAGATAGAGGGCAAGGACGAGCACACACTCTCCCCCGCATATTGACATGGATACAACATATCCGACCAGAGTAGAAAAACAAAAAAAAAATAAGAATAACCCACCATTAGACCCAAGCAACTGGGCCACCGGCCGTGTGGGGAACCTTGGGGCCCCGCGTTGTGTCATGGTAAGTTAGATGGCACCTGCGGCTCGGCACTTCTTGTTCCACACACACCCACAGCAGCTCTCGGGCTCTCAACAGCTGAGGAACTTTTCGTTTTGTGTTTGCTTACCCGCACGCCTCAAGAAGCTTCACAGGTCGTTGCCGCAGCCACAACCGCATCCACAACGGAGCAGTCTCCGTAGATAACCGTCCGATGTTTCGGCTGACCGGGCGGCCGCTCGTCCCTTTTCCTGCTTCTGTACGAAGTGTTTTTTCTCTTTCCAGCGCCGTGGAAGCTTATTTGTGCCTCCTTCCTATTTTTTTTCCTCTCCACCTTCCAGAAACCTTAACCCAAACGCCCGGTCCCGGCCGGCACCGGCTACGCGGCGATGGACGCGGCGTAAGAAACCGCCGATGGATGCCTGGATGCCAAGTCTGGGACAGCAATGATGCAGGTGATTACCGATCAAGAACTGGCCGTCCACACCAACTCGCTGCCGGCCAGAACAATTGAGGAGTCCACTCACACCCGGCACTGCGCCGTTCTCTCTTGTCCTGTGTCGACGGACGTGAGGGCGGCGAGCTGAGAGAGGGTGTGTGTGTGTGTGTGTAAGACTGAAAATGTGTGGTGTCTTCTCCACTTCCACCTCAACCACCACCTCGTCGGCGATCCTTCACCAGGATCAGCAGTCGGACCCAAAAGTTTCAAGTAAGAATTCGGGTCCGAAGCAACGGCAGGTGTCTCTCCTTTCAACGTGGCAGATCGGCGCACAACGACATTGGGGTTACGGTCTCGCCAAAGATAGCCGAGAGGGGAAAGCACCAGGCGAAGAAAAGGGGGGAAGAGGGGGAGAGTTTCTCGGATTCGTATGCGGGGGGCGCCAAGTGAGAGGAAAAGAGTGTGTTGCACTGCTAAAAATCCGCGAGGTCGCCGTTTTCCATGTGATAAAAACCTATTTTTGTCTTTTTCTGCTTTCCCCTTTTTGGTCAGTCGCTTTTCCTCCGTGGTCTGGGGAAGCAACAAAACACGTGTTCTGTGGTCCGTTCGTTGGGGTAAAATCGCACCATTGATGATGCCACTTTTGGGTGGAGGGTCACGTTATTTTTCTCTAAAACGTACGCTAATGAGCTGCGATCGACAAATTGCCATATCGATAAAACCGTTGGGGGCAAATGGATGACGGGATATCGGCGCGCGCCGCTTCGAGCCAGGCAGGCGCGTCCCAACATCAGTTGAGGGGGTGAGGTAATAAGCGCTGCACGGCACAACAACCGACGGGAGACAAAAGACGTTGTGGTGGTGGTGTTGGGCTGTTCGCTAGCGCGGTGCGCCGCACATGGAAAGAACCACCTGATGAAGCTTCCTTCCCGCTCTCTTGCATAATTATTTATGATACAACCACCCCAATCCCCCCACTCATGATCCCACACCCGTCCATTGGGTCCAGCTTAGGACCCCGGACCAATCCCACCTCGCCCGGGAATCGGCATCCTTCCAGAAGGGCGCTAGAAGCAACTTTCGCCGTGGAAGGAAAGAAAAGAAGGGCTCGAAGGAAGGAAGCCAAGCGGGAAGGAAAAGTCCTCGCCGCAAACTCACGCCGCCACGCCGCCCGCCAACCGTTGTTTCCCGTCGGCCATCAGACGAACGAGGCCAAAAAAGCAATGCCAACCCGGGGAATAAAAGAAAGCTCTTAAAATCCAAAGCTGTGCCGCATCGCTAGTTACCGGCAGTCTACTGCGACGTAGTGCTCACTCAACTCGTCGTTTTTGCAACCCAATTCTTACATATTTTTCTCTTTCTCTCTCTCTCCTAACAGTACAATTTCACACCACAGGATCAATGTCAGCGGGGGGTCGGGACCGAAGCGACGTGTTTACTATTTTCTATTTTTGGGGCGCGAAGGGATCTCTCTATCGCGCTTGTGTGCGAGATTGATGAGGGATCTTCCCGCCAACCCAAGTGTGTAATGATGTGCTTCCCTTCAATGAACCCCCCCTCCTCCACCCTCCACTCCCGAAATTGATTAATGGAAAGCACCAGACGGCCGGCACACCAACGGCAACAACCCTTTTTAGAGCTCCGGTTCTAGGACGGCAGCGGAAGCTAGCTTGGGACGCCCGGCGGGCGGCGACCTCAGAAACCTTTGGTCCCTCCTGCAGGGTATTCTTGCGCGGTCAGGTCAGGGGGGGAAAGTTCGGTGGTTGGGTCTCCCGCTGTGTGTTCTTCCATGGGGCTGGCCGCCTGGGCACGCGGGGGGAAGACGGAAGGGGGGGTTGAGTGGGGTGGGTTCCCGGTATCCAGCATGGTACCGAGGAGCTCACTGACTGCTTTCCCAAAACGGAACTCTCAGCTTGGTTGGGCCTTTGTTCACTGGCCTCAGAGGACTGACTATCTTTTCATTTTCCGTTCAGCCGAGGGGAAGCGAACGTCATCGGCATCGTCATCACTTTGTGAGAAATTAAAAGCAACTCCTCGGTGCCGGGTCAAAGGTGAGGTGGTAAGTCAACAGCATTGATGACCCAATGTGTTCGAGAAGAAAAATTACTGGGAGAAAGCGAGAGAAGGTAAAGATGGGTTGTGAATGAATACAGGCATCCAAAATTCGGATGGAAATAAAGTATCAACATGAAGATAAAAAAATGTAGACACCTCTCTTTCTCTCTCCGTTGTCTCGTTCTCCTCTTGCACCTCACTTTCCCCTCGTTTTACCCCGAAAAGGAGAGAAAAGTAGGATGAAAACAGTAAAAATAAAATAAAAAAAAGACAACCCTATTCCAACGCCTAACCGAAAATGCAGTGGTGCCAAACATCCAAGCCACATACCATCCATAACAACATAGTAGACACATATAAACCACAAGAAAAACAAAAAAACCAGGAACAATAAACCAAAGTGCCTACCCAGATCCGTCCATCGCCCACGCCATGTTACCAGCAAGAAAATCAAACCAAGTCTCCATCCATATTGCTCCGCCACACATCCGAATTGTCATAAAGGGTCGGCCGTGTCATCGTGCTTGCGCATACGCATCGCGTTTCCAGCGGTGTCGCCGTGGCCGCAGACTGTGTCATGTCTCTACCGTCTATCATTTCTCACATTCGGAATCGATCCACCTGGGGCTCGTTCTGAAACCGTAACCGCCAGGCCTCGTTGTTTAGGTAGGTTGTCTAAGTCAACCCTCCAGTGATGCCCCCATCCAGCTGTGACTACAGCTATACCCTGGTGTCTCGTCTATAAGCAGCAGCACAGTTAGTCTTTTGCCCACTCCCATATAACTGGAACAGAATTCTCAAACGTACGCATCACTCTGCCATGTCCGACGCATCACATCATCATGAATCCGAGGCAGCGTCTCAGGCTGTCGCCACGAATACCCGGAGCCCGGCCGCGGAAACTCGGGCGTCTGCACTAGCGGCGACCGTCGGCCAGCCGCTGGGCTGTAGTGCTCATAGCCGATCCGAGCAAGCTTGCGCGGGCCAGAGCTCGTCGGATCGGGGCTGGGCGGTCGGTGCGTTGTCCGGGGCGAGACTGAACCACTCGAATGGCTGCTTGGCCGGGTGTAATGGGAAGAGTGAGAGTGGTGGTGATGGTGGTGGTGTTGGTGGTGAGGCTCAACTGGCGGTGGCCGTGAGAGGGTGCCGCCGAGCCGACGCAAATCTTCGGGCTCAGCCGAAGGCGTCGAGGGAGATGTGTTGTGACCACCCCGGGGGCTAGATAGTGTGAAACGTTAGCGGATCTGCCCAGAGACTGCCCAGAGAATTCTAGGCTGCTGATTACTATCAAGGTTGACTCACGCATTCTTGAATTTGCAGACCCGGCCAAACTTCTCGCACTGCACACACCGCGGATAATCGGGATCGCACTTGATCTTCTTCTCGCGGCACGTCATGCACGCAATGGCCAGCCTTTTCCTTGGCTTCCCAGCTTTTGTGACACCCCAGTGCGCGTTGACCGCTTCCCCGTCGATAACCGTCTTGCAGTGACTCCCGTCGTCGTAAAAGTAACACATTCCCTCACCAGGCACTTCAGCTGCACGGACAAAACGAGGTAGAAATTGCGTCCCGGTCCAGATCTTGGGGCCTAGGCCATCCTTCACGGGCGATGTCTCCAAACCGCCGTTGCTTGTCGGTGCAGCGGGAGGGTTGTGGGCCGGAGTTTGGTGAGTTGCTTGGTCCCGGAAGTCCAACCTCCCGCTATCATCCCGGCCCGTCGGTTGGTGAGGCTGGTACCGGTCGTGAGAGGGTTGGTAGTACTGATGGTGGTGGTCACGGCTACCAAGGGAGTACTCTCGGCTTGATTCGTGCTGTACGGACCACTGGCTGCTAGAGCTGTACTCCGAGCGCCCATCGTGCCGTTGGTCCTGTCGGAGTGCGGGCGAGAGCGGTCCCGGAAACACATGGGAAAGCGAAGGGATTTGAGGGCGGTCCTGTGGCCTCGACTCGGCCAGACTCCGAGGCTGCGATGCGGGCGTGGGGAAATACGAAGAGGAACCCACAGTCGGCCGGAGTGGGTGGTCGAGGGGCGAGGAAGCCGAGTAATGATGTCCCGGGCGTTCTGGGTATGGCGAAGGGAGAGGGGACAGTTGAGACACGGGTCCAAAGAGGCTGCTCAACGACGGAAGCTGTTGTCGTGGCGCACTCTGTTCGGGCGAGGGATCCCTCTGGCTTGAAATCTCCTCTGACCCCTTGCCAGAGAGCGACACGTCGCTGGCCTTGACACTCGGCTCATAGTTGGACATAGGAGGTGATGGAGGAGCACGGGCGTTCCAAGGCTTCTCCTCGGATGGACGTAGCGGAAAGGAGGCCGAATCTGGGGTGAGCACCTCGGGTGGTGTAGCTGGGACAGCCGAGCGGAATCGAGATTCGAGAGCTGTTGGGAACCCCATTGAAAGTATATCTGTGGTTGGTGCGACTTGGGTGTTGTGGTCGTGTTTGTGTTAATCCCTTCGAGCTCCGCTTGGGGGAGGAGAGGCGATGCACACAGGCACACACACAACAGCTGATGGTGGAGTGGTTCGTTGCAATGAGGGCGAGGGTGAGTGGGTGGTGAGTGTGGGTGAGTGGGCGAGTGGGAGTAGATATTCGCCGGGTAAACGTGGGTGAGCGGTACACAAGCGGCACAGTTGACTCGGGGCTCCCTTGTGTCGACCGTAGTTCCGCCAAGGCAAGGCAGGAGGAGAAAGGGTACCGATTCCCGGATAATTGAGCAAGGGCTGCGAGATGCACAAGCGATCTGTTGTTGGTCTCTCAAAAGTGCCCCCGGAGAGCAGGGGGGTCCCGTGTTGACAGGGTGCAGCCAGCAACGTCAAGGCACTGACCAGGTCGGGGTGTGTCAGGGGAGGATGAGAGTGAGTCTCGATGTCCTGTGTATGAATTTCCTCTGCCGTATGCGTACACTCCAGGATTGGGCGGCGTCAGCTTTGTGTGTGGATGAGCCGTTCTATTCGTAGCTCGACGCGAAGATGTTTTCTTTGCCCAGACTAACTAATGAACGGTTCATGGGAATTGGAGAAAGTATGAGAGAGTTGAAGCCAAAAGGAGCTGTCCGAGAAAGCCCCCGTCAGTTCGTGGGCTGGGTCACTGGAGTGCGCGGTATTGGCAGGCTAGCGTCCCGATTTGTGTTCAATGAAGGCCAACCCGGGCCGATGGGTGGTGAGCAACCCACGCACCCCTTGTTAGTCTTCACCCACCCCCCCTTCCCTCTCCCCCCACTGTGGACCAGCTGGGGGGGGCAGCAGAACAGAACAGGAGGTCTCCCGTGGCGTTGAACCCATGGCGTTCGGCAGTGCGGCATGGCGTCGCGGACCTCTGGCGCTGCATGCGCTGCTGAGCGAAACGGGAAGTGAGAGCGGCCGGCCTGGGCAGGCGGGCCCTTTGAGATCCTCCAACTTGGCCTGGAGAATCCTGCCGGAGTTACCGTCCCGCGAGCGAGAGGTGAGGGACAGTGAACCAACGCAGCCGATCCTCTCGGCTCGATCTCGCATTCTCACGGGCGGTATCGTTTCCTCGAGGCCGCAAATTAGGTCTGGTTGATACTGCGGTTGCCGTTCCGGAATACTATGTATTAACGTCATGTATTGTACTAGTAAGGAGGAAGCGCGGGCCACACTCAATCAGGGACCGAGCAATGCGTCAAGAACTGCGGTACGTACTTTGTGGAAAGTCAGCCGGGGGAAGGGGGCGTGACCCCTGGACCTTAGGCTAACCCCTTGTGAGACACCCCGAGAGGTCAATGGATGGATACCCGAGTTCCCACGAGGCAAAGAGGGTTCGGGAAGATAAGAGGGCTGGAAAAAAAAGAGTGTGTGATGGGACGAAAGCTCCAGCAGGGGTCGGCAGGGACAGGGGCTACAGAACCTCCCCGGACAGACATGGAGAGCGCCAAGCACGGCGAATGGCATCCCCCGGATCGGGAAGAGTGTCCTGTGCTCTTGCGCTTGAGGGATGTTGGCTGGACGCAACCAACAGACTACCGATCTCCCTACGTCGTTATGCCCGGCGGTCTGGGATAACCGGGCCGCTATGCGGTTCAATTTCGCCGTTACCTGGCGGCGAACGATGACGAACGAAGACGAAACGTAGGGTTAGGGCGTAAGGGTACAGAGACGCTGCGAGCGAAAAGTGCGTCAAAACATCGAGAGCCCTGAGGATTTCTGACATCGCTAGGATGCTACCATAGTACCGATTTGCATCGGCCAGCTGCACCGTGATTTGTTCTGGAACCTCGACGTCGGCTTGGGGAAAGACCCAAGGCAAGGCGGCACGCAGGGCGACAGCTTGAGTGTGACGCTGCTTTCTCGCCTATTGCCCATCGACAACTGGTCGGCGAACGGCTTGCCCGAACAAGGTAATGGTTCTTGGGGGCTCCGGGGTCGAAAGGGCGCCCGTTGCCCGCCGAGGCCCGGATGCGGAAGGCCTGCAACGCCGGAGCCAACGCTGCCTCGATGGCGAGAACAACGACGAAAATAAGCCAAAGAAATGCGGGAAGGAGGGGATTCACAAGGTCCGTCCGTCTTTAGGTTAGCGGGGTTCGAGCAACGGGCAATTTCTCGCAGGTGTAAAATTGGATGGCGGGGGTTTGACGGCTTGTGAAGGCGGGGGAGCTTCCCACTTCAATCCAATTCCGCCGAGAATTCATCGCGCCTTCCTCATCTGTTTTCAACCATGGAGTCGCAACGCTCCTTCCTCTCCCATATGCTACTTCGGAGGCAGCTCTGAAAAGTCGTTTTCAACCCGACGAACAAAGTCGAGCTAGGCCCCGCGGAAAAAAGAAAGCACCTGTCAAACAGCGCTGCGACCACGTCCACCGAGCCTCGAACTCCCGGGGCTCATCTCCCTTTGTTTCAACGGCCGTTTCGATGCAGCGATAGCCTAGGAACCTCCTTGACATTTTCGCCGGCCGCTCCAGGGGAGTCGTGGTGAGCGACGGAGGGTCTATTTATGGCTAGGCCTTGCAAACCGGTAAACCTGGAGAGCCAACCCTGGCAATAGGTGGAAACATTGAGAAAAGGCTAATATGCAGCAATGCGTTCGGCATATCTCGCCCTTGGTTCGAACCCAACTCACTGGATCACCAATGGGAGGCCAAACGGCGCCGGGTACCCAGAAGCATTCTACCAGCTTTCCTTGGGAATTCTGCACCGGCCGCCGAGCTTCGAAGGAAAATTCCAAACACTCGCTTGGTAAGAATGATTTGTGGCCCAAGCTTCGCTGGGGTTGTGTGAGTGGGGGAGGCATCGTCAGGGCGCTCAGACCCTATCATTTGAGACCAAAGGAGCTGCACTCCAACGAAAGTTCCTTCCTCAAACTCTCACTCCTTCAAACACAAAGCCATTTCCCCACCACTCACTCGTCAACTTTCAACTCGCCTCGGTGCACCACGACGCATGAAGGATCACTAGTTGTGCCGGTGGCCACGGGGAAAAACACGAACCCCTTGCCGGCCGATCCAGTCGGACTTCGTTTCTAACGAACGCCACAACCTCGCTTCCTGCAATATTGGGCGTTTCGCTGCCGTCCGTATTTTCTAGCTGGTCCCATCAGTCTCTCATCAGCCAGTTCTGACAGCGCCCGTCTGGACACGGACGCCAAGACAGAAACTGCGGGAGCTGGGATTTCTACCGTCAATAGGAGGACGAAGCAACAGCCGAACCGTCCACAAGACGTGTGGGGACATCGTGACAGAGTTGCGGGGGGGACTTCTTAGTCAACACTTACTATCCGTATTCCATCTCCGAATACTCGTTTCCCTTTCCCTAACTCCAATCGAGCTGATTTCCGACATACCGCACAATAGGCCCTGGCCTGTCACTTTAAATATCGCCCCGCTCCGGGTTGGATCGCACAACTACACTAGCCCTTCCCTCATCTTTCACCAAGCCGGTGCCAACAACACAACGCGCGGGACGGCAAAGATACCCGATTAGCGATGGTCCTCGTTCAAAGACCGCCCTGCAGCAATCCAGCCCTCATCGTAGTATCTCGGATGGCTCAATATTGACGCCTCATCGAGCGCCTGCAGCTGGTCTCTTTCGTATAAGCTCGCCAGGCGCCCGTTATCCAACCACCCAATCTAATTTGCGGGTGTAAATGACTGTGCATCACAGGGGGAACCAACGGCACTGAGCACGGGTGCGGCCGCGCCGGTTCGTCGGCTTGCGAGAGAGATCTTCCGAGTTGCCGCCACCTACGGTCGTCGATCCCGCCAGCGCCAGGCAAGTGGTTGAGCAGAGCGGACGTCTCTTAGGTGCGACACTGCCTAGAGTATTGTCTAAAAGATGACGGACACTTAAACGGAGCGCCAGGATGATCATAGGCGTGACTGAGGGACCTGTAGATCGTATATCGTGTGACAAGACCGCCCGACAATTTCGGAATTCTGAATATCCCACGAAACCCAGCGGCAACTCAACCCTTTCGCATCATCGCCATCGCATTCTACTTTGTGTAGCGGCGCTCGCGCCCGTCTTGTCACACCCTTGTCATGTCTCGGGAGTTCATCGCAGACGCTCGTAATTCTCCCGCATTGTTGAATCTTGATTGGGCGCCACCTCGGCAACCTTGTCTGACTTGCACACGAACATCGGAGAGTTTCCATCCCTTGTCTTGTCTTGGTCGCAAATTGAACACAAAAGGCAAACCAACAGCGAAAGGCCTGCTGCGGCTTAAACCACTCAGATGTACGCGGATCTTCAAAGTGATCGACTAATAGCCGAGCATTGTACCACATGCCTCATTCCAAGGAAGTTACTTTCTTTGAGAAAAATGGCTTACGCGGTCTTGTAAGTCGGGCCAAGCCTTGCGAAGAACCGACCATCAAGTGCATGTGGGTCGGGAAGCCGCAGTGTGACAAAGGCCACAGCCGGCTCTTCGCTTCCCGTGACCCAGCGCCACGCAAACTAAGGTTGGGAGTAAATAGGATCAGCCGGGCCGCGATCCGTGAGATTCTCTCCAGGCAGCGTCTCTCAGCGGGAATCCCAAACAGAGAAGGAGCCAAGAAAATAGTCGAGGGACAAAAACACGGGACGAAACAGCAAGGTTGTCACTTCATGTCGTCGAGGAATTGTGTGTGAGTGAGTGAGAGAGAACCTCAACGGGGGCGTGTGTTCCTTCGAGGTCTGGACCTCGAACCCCGATTTTCGCAGAGTCGTATGGATGGATCCCCTCCTTTCCATTCGCGGAATCTCTTGCAGCCCGCATGCTTTACCGGAAGGCCGTTGAGCCTGTTGTTGGTTTTGCGTTGCCTTCGGCCCCGTTTTGCCCCTGGTGAGTAACTATTGGCATTGGCGACCTGCAAAATAAAACCTGTTGACGCCGAGTTTGTTCCTCCTGGAACCTTCTTCGTCTCTATGGGCACGCGAGCAACCGGCACTTTTTTTCCGTTTTG